ATTAATGTGAACTGCAATTATTATTCCGAAATATATAATATTCAAAAGTGCCCTATAAGCCATCACTACAACCAGACTCAGAAGCATCAATGCCTACGCCGCTTGACTGTATGAGTTTCAGTATTATTATTACCATTATCACGCTTACTGCCATAAGTTTAGAAACAGTCATTCGCACCCATCCCGCATTTTTCTGATCGCAAGAAAATGCAGCAAGGAGATAGAGTGATGTCAGGAATCGGAATCTGATCAATAAAACCAGTCATGCCGAGCCGATGACGAGATAGCCCCTTGATGAAATCCGTTGCTCCGAGCAACCCAGGCCATGCGGTTTCGCATCAAGACCCTGCATCCACGTGGAGAACAAGACGGCAAGGAACAGCTTCAGAAAGTGTCAATGTCTTAGATGAAACCAATACGACAGGTATCAGAATGTAATTCTCGATCCGACGGTGCAAGGCACCAATGACCCGGGTATGTGTTTCTCAATCGCAAACTTAGCCCGCCAGCCCGAACAGTGACCCGGCATGAGTACAGCGGGATCGAGCCGTTTGAGATCGGCGACGGTGTTTTGGATTTGGTCCGTGTCGCTTGTGGCGAGATGAAATCCACCGACGACGGCATGGACGGGTACTGTTCCACCGGAGAGTTCGACGGCGTGTTTGGTGGTGTTAACTACGCCAGCGTGGCTACATCCAGTGAAGACGACAAGACCCTTTCCTAAAGAACATGTTAGCTCAACAAGGCCGTGAGCGTGTTTTAGGGAGCATGTACCCTTGAGATTGCAGATAAGGGAACGCTCATCGAGGATGACTTCGTCAGAGAACCAGTCATTCTCGTCAGGGTCATATCGCACTGCATTCTTCAGACCTGTCTCGTACGGTGTCACTCGTGGAATCTCCCCAGAGACAAGAAAGAAGTCGTCAAGTACGGTGTGTGGCTCATTCCGCTTGTCGACCACCGCACCTGCGCTTCTAATCTCCTCAAAGGTAGGATCAGCCTCGAGGGAGATGATATGCTCGGGCAGAGCAATGCCTCTATAGGCGGGTCGGTCTGGGTGCAAGTCCGCGACCAGGTCCTCAGAGTGGCTCTCGGCTCGTTTGGCATCTTTTATCATGCGGATTGCGCGCAGAAGACCACCTGCGCGAATATCAGCCGAACCGAAGAGAATATACGTCCATGGGTCCGTTTTTGCTCAGAATAACGAACCGGAGTGGTCTCGATGCCAATGTGATAGATGAATCACTTCCACGGAGGAGAGATTTGGTCGCAGCCGCTTCACATTTCTCTCCCAAGCCTCCTCTTCAGGACCAGCATCGAAGAGAATAGCGTGCTTCTTGTCGCCTTTGGTGGCAGTCTATATCGGGTAGGCTTAATATGAAACCATATTCAAGAGTCCAATGGCAGAGAATCGCCTTACCACCAGAATTGACAAGCCATGTGCTGCGCAACAGACATCTTCCAGCCTCAATTCCTTGCACGCTTCCCCGCGGTCCGTCAATGTATGCTTTGAGCCCATCGCAATTGATCCCAGATTCCCCGAGATTTCGACAGTACCCGGGGCTGGGGGTGAGAGCGGATCTAGCTCATTGTCGATGATAACAATGGCTTCGAGAGAGTCTACCTCTTCTAGGTTGATGGGCATTTCCATAGAGTCACTAGATTTATAATTAGAGGCATTGGGTACTTAGGAAGGGGCTATAAGAAATACCTGAAAGGATCGTGGCGTTTATCCAAATTCATTGTAGATATGTTGTATACACAAAGAAAGGTGAATCTCAGAAGTTCCAAGTTCTCCACAAATGCGGGGGAATCACACACCTTTTTCCCCTGAAACTACATAAACTACACAAACTACAAGACTGCAATTAGAAGTCAAACCTCGGTCTTTTCTTTCTCATCCTCTCTTCTCGCATAATGCGGGTTTTCCTCGATCGCCTCTTCCTCGTCCTTGTCCTGTTCTTCTCCCCCGTCACAGCGCTCGGTACATCATGCTTCAAAGTCGTCTCCGCACTAGTTAGCCGACCGGGCTACCTCTTCGATAAATTCCAAAGTGAGATCTGCGACGTTGGATGTCAGCCGACTGTCCCGCACTGGGATCTATGGACGCGCAATAACACCTTTGTCCCCGCCGTCCGCAGTCTGGTGCAGCGCATGAATGTACCCCACAAAGAAGAGGCTCTGTTGAAGATGGGCGACGATGTTGCGCTCAATATCAAGGAAAGCTGCGGACCAATGCTAGGTGGTGGAATACACATTTGCTCTGATTCGGATACTCTGGCTGGGTTTGGCAACTGCTTCAAGCGCAATTTCCTCAAAGCTTCGATGAAACATCTTCCTGCTTTGATCCCAATGGCCTCAGAGGAATCGTGCAAGGAACAACTAAGGTTCTTGGAGAGTGATGAACTGTGGGATATTACGATTCCTCAAAATATGAGGGATTATGCGAAAGTGTGTGACACTTTGGGGCCTAATGACCATGATGAATTATGAATTATATCTGGATTTCAACTGTAAATAGTGCTATACATGGAATTAATATCACATCAATACTGATTTCACTCCATATCATCTATATCATCTATATCATCTATATCATCTATACCATCTATACCATCTATATCACGGAAATTAGATGCGAGTACGGAGTATAGTTTTGGTAATAAGGACATCGCTGAATTCCCCGAACTCCGACTCCGGGCGGAGCTACCACGGATGACGACAAGCCGAACATCTCCAGGGCTTACACTCAACATATAACACTTCTCACTATTCTACCTATTCTACCTTATACCTCAGATGAGACTTGATTTGAGTGCCAACACCGCAATGCAGTGATTAGACATTCGCCTCTCCACAACTTCATATGGCGCACACGACCTTTCTCCGCTCTCTGCGGCCCTCCATCCGTCCCTCAATCTGGCGCCCGCACCGATATGCCCACTCAAGCCAATTCCAACCTTTTGTACCACCGTCCCCAAGTTCCCTAGGGAAACCCACAGAAGCAAAAACTTACAAACGAACCATCAAATGGTTACGTCGAATCATCTATGCCTCACTAGCAACAGGCGTCGTCTACGGCATCGACAGCCAGTTCTACGCCTCGTCGCTGACCCGAACAGCCCGGACCTTTTCTCTCGGTCTCTTCGTCGCGCTCGATTACAAAATCAACTTCCGCCCACATCCGCCACTGGCCAGCTCTATCGCTGCTGTGCATGCCCGAAACGCAGAGCGCTTGTCAGATCTGTTGAGGCATAATGGCGGTCTCTACTTGAAGATGGGACAGGCGATTGCGATGCAATCTGCCATACTGCCCCCTGAGTTCCAGCGGATGTTTGCCCGCATGTTTGACGATGCGCCTCAGAATGACTGGAAGGATATCGAGAAGGTCATCCGTGAGGATTTTGGGAAGTCGCCTGAGGAAGTATTCGGTATCTCGTTTACCGGTGCCCCCGATAAGGGTGTGATGGAGCGCAAAGCTCGAGCTAGTGCTAGTGTTGCGCAGGTCCACTGGGCTCGTCTGCAGGATGGCAGGGAGGTCGCCATCAAGATCCAGAAGCGGGAGATCGTACAGCAATTGGCATGGGATCTTTGGGCTTTCAAGTGAGTTTGTCCGAGTTCGAGCTGCGAGAGGATGTTATGCTAACATTGAAACCAATAGGGTCGTGACCTTTATCTACAGCAAAATGTTCGACATCCCCTTCTACAGCCTCGTTCCCTATATTAGTGAAAGACTATCACTCGAAACAGACTTCGTGAATGAAGCAGATAACTCGGAAAACATGGCCAAGCTAGTTGCCGGTGAACCGCGTCTGCGCAATCGCGTGTACATTCCTCGTGTATACCGCGAACTGAGCTCGAAGCGCGTCATGACTGCCGAATGGGTAGAAGGCGTACGGCTCTGGGACAAAGACGCCATCACGCGGCCCTGGCGCGGCGGCTGGCGCCAGGGCAGTCCAGGCTGTCACGGTACACCGCTTGACCAACCGGAGACAAATTCTGAGGAGCGAAACCCGCGCACGTCGATGACCAAGCCAGATCGCGGCTACTGGCGAGGCCACAACAATCGCGGTGGACTGGGACTGTCTCTCAAGGACGTGATGACGACTATGGTAGACCTGTTCTCTGCCCAAATGTTCTTGTGGGGATACGTCCACTGCGATCCGCACCCGGGTAACATCTTCATCCGCCGCAAGCCATCCGGTGAGGCAGAGCTGGTTCTGATCGACCATGGCCTGTACATCCACATGGAACCGGGCTTCCGACACCAATACGCGCGCTTCTGGAAAGCGCTCCTTACCTTCGACAATCGCACGCTGGGCGAGATTGTCAAGGGCTGGGGCGTGAACAACCCAGATTTCTTCGCGTCGGCAACATTAATGCGTCCCTACAGTGGCGGGGACAAGTCTACACAGCGCGGTCTCCAGGGCCTAAGCAAGTCAGAGCGTGCAGAGCGACACTACGAGATGCAGCAGAGCATGCGCAAGGCTATCCGCGATATGCTAGGCGATGAAACCAAGTGGCCGCAGGAGTTGATCTTCATCGGTCGCAACCTGCGCATCGTGCAAGGGAATAACCAGTTCCTGGGCTCGCCGGTGAACCGCGTTAAGATTACTGGTATCTGGGCTTCGCGTGCGCTTATCGAGTCGCCGGATCTGCCGCTGGCCGAGAAGATCCGGAACATCGGTCGCCATTTGATCTTCCGCATGGTGCTGTTTAGCACTGATATCTTCTTCTATTTCACCAAGGTGCGACAGTTCTTGCATCTAGGTGGTGGTATGGAGGATGATATCGAGGCTCAGATGCAGAGTATGGCTAAGGATATGGGGGTTGACCTTAATCACAGCGTCTTCGAGGGATAGACCCCCGGTTTTGTAGAATCGTGTGGATGGAAGAGTTGGTATAGAATATATACCGTCTGGACCTATCTAGAAAAATCTCCCAAATAATGACACACACTTATGATTGGCACTCCCCACTGTTGGTTGATATATATCCTCCTACCCTGCCTTACCCTCTGCATCAAAATCCACATATATCCCCTCACCACCATCACCACCACCACCAACCCCAGACCCTACTAAATCCCCTAACCTCCCAAGCCTAGCAAGATACGCAGCCCCCGTATCCGCCCAAACCTGATACTCACATACCGCCAACCTCTCCCCACTTCCACTCCCACTCCCACTCCCATCAACAGCAAGCTTAATACGATAAGCGAACGTCTCATCCCACGCCTGTCGTGTCTCTTTCCAGACGAATGTGGCGGACCCACGAAACGAAACAGCCATACAGCTCGTATCAACCACCCAGTTCTCTTCGGGTTCGAGGACCATGTTCTTGATAGACAACAGGGAGGAGATAAGTTCGAAGTAAGTTGCTATCCCATCTTTGCCGGTAAATGGTCGGCCTAGGAAGGGGGCTAGTTGGGGGAGACCGTGTTCGTGGACTAGGGGGTTTGGAGAAGTTGTGAAGGTCGAAAGGAGGTTGTCGGGGTTTGGGGATGGGTTCGTTAGGGCTTCTAGGAAAGCGTGGATTGGTGCTAGGAGGTCTGCGCGTGTTGTCATGTTAAGGGATTTTTGTTGAGGTGTAGATGTAGGATATATAGATGCAGGTTTGATATGATGGAGGTGAGTATTGACATCAATATGACGTTGATATATATGTTTTTGATATCCTAATCCTACTGTTTATGTATGCAGTATCAGAAACAACCATCTATACTTGGGTAGAGTCGGGATCAATCATTGGGATATCTGAATTTTGGTAGATAGTTCACGACTGTTTTCCATCCATTTGCCCAGACGAGCTTCGCCCCCGAAAGGGAAACAGATGTAGAAGACATAAATCAAAGACCCCACAGTAGAACTCCAGCGTCTGCTTTCATAGCCTTCGCTTGATAGAAAGGATGAAAACGCGAGAAAGAGAAAAGCAAAAATGGAAAGAAAGAAACACCGAGTCCCCAAAGAATAATACATTTCCGCCCCAGCTCTCAAAACGTCCCCCAAGCTCACTGCCGCCAGGACTTGCCGCAATTCAGACACGTACAGAACAGGGTCATCGGTTCATCAGCCGCACGAGTCTGAGCCTCAGTGTAGGTAACCTTGCGCTGACCACACTTTCCGCACTGCAAGCTCTTACTGATACTGCGTTCCTGCTGGGCAACCATAGCCTTGTCCATATTCTCCTTCTGAATCTTGGCATCCGCCTCACGCTGCTCAACGGAGCGCAGTTCGTCGTGCGTCATGCGCACAAATTGGTCAGCGGTAATTTCTCCCTCGACAACGCGCACCCGGAGCTTTGGGTTCGATTTGTTCTTCAGGTTCTGGAAAAGACTGCGGATCTTTGTCCGGTATTCCTCCTTCGTCTCCGGTCCAAGGTACTTGTAGGCGGAAATCTCCACTGCAATGGCGCGCGATAGAACAACCCTCGGAGGCTCGGTTGATCCAACACAGAGTCCATCGTACATCAGTCCCGTGCAGCTGTCACGCACTCGGTTCCCGGTATGATTGATCTCCGCCCCATCTGCCTTCCAGGTTCGCTTATCCGGAGGCACGGATAGCTTCGACGCCTTGTCTGAGGGTGTAGCAGCGGCTGGGGTGGACGCTCCTGTACCGTTTTGCGCTGGTCGTGGAGATCCGCTCGAGCCACGACTGGCTGCTGTACCACCGCCCTGTTTCTGCTTGTTGACCTCGGTCCGCCACTTGGAGACGATCTCGCTGGAGAGCCGTGCGACTTCGGGAGTCTTGCTTTGCTTGAACTTGTTGACGATGATTCCGATGCGCGTCTGTCGGAGGAGGTCTTCGGTTGCCCGGACGCCGGTTTGGATGTCCTTCAGGAGACCCAGGATCACAGCTGGAGACTCGTTCGATGTCGCGGCTTTGCCCAGGGCCTTGGCCTTAGCTTCGATCTCTTTGGCGTCCATCGCCATGTTGTGCGGGGTAGAGGGATAACGCGATCAGAGTGCGTAACGGGGTCAATGGAGGACCGGATGAGAAAGATTTAGGAGACCTATAAGCCACAACTGTCAGCATGTCATCTCAAAAGCTTAGAACGCAGGGTCTTTATTAGCCCCGGATGCCGGCGCATTCTGCAGAACCACGCCATGCACATTTGTCCCTTTGGGATCACAGATAATGGCGCCCATATGCCTTCAACAAATGTCACACAAAAACACGGCCATCAAAATACCCCGCCACAGAGACTCACGCGGGAAATGGTGGTAGCTGTCAATTTGCACGTGCCCACATTCTCCCTCATTTGCCTTCGGAAACTCGACCAAAACAAACAGAAAAGCTTGGAGACAATGACATGAGAGCTGTTATACATATTGCGCCATGAATAGCAATGGGGAATTGCGCAGAAGCAAGATGTAGTGAGGGGTGTTTTGCGCGGGCGCTCACCTAGAGATGTTTCACGGTCGCGTCAACGATATAGTGTTGGGAGATGGGACCGGCAAAGAAAACAAAGAGCGGAAAGGCGACGGCAATGGAAGCGCCAGTAGTGACAGGTATGGTAGATGGGGTATGTCAAAGCCGACAGAGGCAAAGGGAATTTGATGAGCTGCGATGTCCGAGGTTTGCGCCAAGCCTCGCATTCCATTTTCGGAAATTCTTTTTCCTTTAATTTATATGCAGTTTTGTATATACAACTACTTGGTTAATTTTCGAAAATTTATAATTATTTGAATGGCCCTGCTTGTCCAGATATGTATTCTATCTATATGGTTGTGTATCCTCCGAAGAAAACAGGAAGAGTCCATGGCTATGCAAACAGAATGTGGATCAAAGCAAAGGAAATTATGTGCAGCTAGGGTTTCATCATTGTAGATTGGGGGTATAACAAATGGGGGTCTTTTTGAAGGTAAAGCGTAAGCGTCGTCAGTCAGATCCTCATACCCGAAGCTTGTGAGTGGCCGTGGACACAGATAGGGACCATGAATGGCCAAGAGGACACCAATAAGCCAAGGGCGCGGGTCACAGCCATTGGTGATATCGACGTGGCATTGGATCCATGATCCGTCCGTGATGGAAGGCAGGTACTGATAGAAGTGACAATTCTCCAACAGCGCCAGAGGTTTAGATAGCCGTCTTGCCCAGAACATCGGCCAGGTCGTCGACGTCCCGGTCATCTCTCCGAGCAACCTTCTCTTCCTCAGCAAGCTCGGCATCCTTGAGGTCCTTCTCAGCCTTGGCCTCTTCCTCCTCTTCCTCCTCCTCTTCTTCTTCCTCCTCTTCTTCCGAACCCTCCTCCTCGAGTTCATCCAACTCATCAACACCCCAAGTATCCTCGGGGTCCTCGTCGGTACCGTGCTCCTCCTGTCGAGCCTCCAAGAGCTCACGCAGGTCAACGATGTTAGGGTCATCCTCGGAGAAGATGTTTCCGTTGAGCTCGATACGACGGAGGCTGGGAAGTGCGGTCTTGGCTGCGTGAGTGAAACCCTTGACGGCTTCCGCCTTCATCTCGTTGTACTGCAGACGCAAAGTCTGGAGCTTCTGGTTCTTGTTCGCGGCCAAAGCCCGGGCAACCTTCACACCACCACGGGCAGAGAGCAGACAGTCGCCGACACCAAGCTCGCGCAGAGAGGGCCAGCCAGACAAGGCGTTTGACAGAGCAGTGGAGCCCACATTGGTGAAAGTGTTATCCTGCAGATCGAGAACCTCCAGGGAGTGCGCGTGGTAGAGACCCTGGGTCAACAAGTGGCAGATACCCTCCGATCGGATACCGTTCTGTGTCATCTTAACCGACTTCAGCCCGGCAGCGTGGGCCTTGTAGGCCCGAGCCCATGCCTCCATACTGCCGTTCTCCAAGCGGTTTCGTCCGCAGACAACACTCTCCAGCAGCGCAACCTCCTCGCCACAGTTGCGAGCTTCCTCCTTGCGCTCAGCCAGCTTTGATAGCGCATCAGCGACCTGAGATCCGGCGGCAGGGCCGAGTCCATTGTTGTTCAGAATGAGGTGGCGGAGGGGCACGTGGCGCGAGAGGAATTCGATAAGAGGGGCCTGAGTTCTGAGACCAAAAGCATTGTCGTTAAGGTTAACGGTGTGGACGGTCGGGATCTTGAGAATGGCGTTCAGGAGTGAGTTCAGAGCAGTGGGGATTTCAGTCAGGAGACGACCGGTGAAGATGTCGTCGAGGTAGGCAGCTTCGAGGCACTTTTGAGTCTGCAAGACCTCGGCCAGGCGCTTGGAGGCATCAATGCCCAGGGTGTTTCCACCAAGACGGATTTCAGTGTAGTCGGTATTGTCAATCAAGGGCTGAATGTGCGCATTCATGTCCTCGGCGCTGTCGAGCTTGAGGACTTTGCCCTCGAGGGAGAAGACCTTAGGAGGGGCCATGGCGGGGTAGTTGATGAAGTGGGATATTGAGATAAGAAAAATAAACAAAATAGGATAAGAGTGAGGTCAATGACAGACAATATCCCAGCAATGAGGAGACCCAAGTAGACCCAAGTAGACCCAAGGATAGAAAGAAGAAAACCGAAACAGTCTGTAGTGTAGCAGAAAAGGAGGCGACCCCCGAAGAGGCAAGTTTGTTGATAACAAAAAAAAAAAATAACTACGGCGTGGCATAGAGACCAGTTACGCTACATGCGCCATTAATAATGTCCGATGGTGTCAGCCCCGGAGATCACCGTGAGGACTTGTTCCCATTTCTTGTACTTGACACTCCCTTTCTGTCTGTCGTTTACTTAAAAATATTCATCAAGCACATCTGAATATCTATCACAATGTCCTGGCTCTTCGGTTCCTCAAATGGTAAGCGCCAATGTCTCTTTTCGTCTACCTGGGCCGAATACTTGTGCAATGCGCCGGTCATATATATCAGAGAAAGACCTCGACCCTTGCTTACACATTGCTTCACAGAGAAAAGCGCCGCTGCCCCTGAGCAAGCGCCCGCTCAGCCTGCCCAGTCCGAGAAGCCCAAGGTACGACCCGATACTGCCGGACCAACAAGTGCAAGCGATTAATAATGCCTTCCTTCTAGCCCTGCTGCGTCTGCAAACCCGAGAAGACCGCGCGCGATGACTGCATGCTTTTCTCCAAGTCCGACAACCCCGAGCAGGAGTGCAAGTCCACCATTGAGCAGTACAAGACTTGCATGGCTGGATTTGGTTTCAAGGTCTAGACTCAATCTCTGACCGAATAGCCTCGGCTGTACTACCACTATACAACATTGTATCATAGCATTCATTGGCAGGAGTTTCTTGTTTTCTTTGGATACCGTCTGTTTTTAGGGCATGTTTGCCCATGTGTGACATATTGCAATCTAGAGTTTGGACTCCAGATGAAAGGGAGGAGTTTCCCAATACAACGTCTCACCTCTTATAGAACGAATTTCAAATCGAATCAATCACATTAATAAAGTAATCTAGCAGCTATACTGCCTCATTTTGGATAATCATATAATATGGGGTATCACTGAAAATCATACAGCCATCCACCTAGGCAAACAATCACTGCTTCTTTTTTTGGCTTTCCTCCTCGGTCGCCTGCCGACTGATCTGGCGACATTGGGTATATAGTTTCCACATACACCACATATAGGCAATCCCGAACCCACCTGCTCCGACCAGGGCATTCAAGACTACCCAAAGATCTGGCTTTCCGGGCGGCGGAGGCACGTATGCCTCAAGGATATGCCAGGCAATCATGGCCAAATAGAAACCAAAGTGTAGGAGAGTCGTGAGAGTGCTGGGCTCGAAGTGAGCATTGGAGTCTTCCGGGGATGCCCGACTTCGGTAAGTCTCGAAAGAAGTAGGAGGTAAGCCGAGGAGATAAGCCCACAGCAAAGTCATAACTATGTAAGGAACGCGAAGCTCATCGCGCTTAAGGAGGGGGTACATGGTCCACGAGCCAAGCACGTTGGCCCAGCCGACCCAGGACCGTGTTTCTTTGCTCAGTCCACCGTTACCCGCAAGTAGCAGGGTCATCGGTAGCAGAGGCAGCAATACACTCTTTTCATGGACCTGGAAAGAGAACAAGAAAAATCCCCAAGAGACGGCGGATAAAGCGGGGAGGAGAAGCGAAGCGCGGGGGTGGCGGAAGATGATAGCACAGGGAACAATGATTGACGCCAAAGTGGCACCGAGGGATGCTCGCTGCAACAACGTAGCATCAAAGCGGGTGAGCTTGTAGAAAGTGTGAATGGCGCACCAAGCGTTGGCAACTTTGTCTTCGAAGAGCCCACGCGCAAAGGGGAACACCCGATGAATGATCTGTGTTAGTTGGAATAATAGGCCATATGCAACGGAGTTCTTGTTCATCTGGACAGGAAGTACCTGCAACAGAGGTGGAACTGGAGAAGATGCAAATATTTTTCGAGCTTCGGCATTGGAGGCACCAACCATAAGAGGGGTCAACAGCAAAGCAAAAGTAGCTAATGTGATGAGGGCTATGCTCACAAGGCGGGGGATATTAACCCGAGGGAATGTGCAGACACCGAGAAGGTAGGCGAACATGACTGGTGCATAGTACAACGCCATCTGTTTGAATCCCAGTGCACCAACGAAGAAAATACAAGCCCAGAGCATACGTCCCGCCAAGATAGCATCCAAACTTGCGACAACTAATCCTAACATGACTGTGTTATATTGGAAATGGCCATGGTCGATGAGGATATTCGCTGGTTGAAGGAGGATTGCCACGAGAGCAATTGAGGCGGACCATGCATGAACACCCTGCATCCGAGTGTAGCGGCGGAGGAAATTGACCACGGCCGGGATGAAGACGAAGTATTCAGATACGACAACGGTGGCGCGCATGTATACTTTCAAACGGGGGTCCTCAAAACCTCGGGAGGCATCCAAGGCGAACCAGGTTGGATCAAAGGCGGAGCCACTAGACAGGCCGACAGGTCAGCAGGAAGCCATGATAAGTCAACAATGAATGGTAGGTAGGGATATATACATCTTTCCGAGTAGCCAGCTGTGATATGCGGTCAATGGTGGATAATCGAGACCCCAATATTGCAGATCGTATGTGTACCACTTCGCCAAAGGCAGATGTGTGGTAATTTCCATCCAATGCCTCTGTGCTTCAAAATCACCGTGCATAGGGGGAACCTGGAAGCCTAAAAGGGGTCAATTCTTGGATACACCTCCAAAGAGAGACAATGTCGCATACCAGAATAACCCCATAAGCTGACAGCCCATCGGAACAGGCCAACGGTCATAAGGACAAGTGGTAGGATCAGCCATTGAGACACACCGGCCCGAGCAGCCCACAGAAATGAGACCAGCGGAAATGCTGGAGATTGCTTCCCCTCGCCCAGATCCAAGATCAGGTTATTGTTGGAGCCGGGGGAGATCGCAACCTTTCTCTTCTTGCGGGGGCGGTGCGAGGAGGGTGTCGGAGGGGCCATCACGATAAAGGCCAAAAAGGAAGTTATATTCTCATTGACCGAGTTAAAAGAAAAGTCGAGGGTCTAAGCGAGTAGAAGTGATAGTAGAAGAATTGACGTAGTACAACGTAGACAAAAGCAGAAGATACCGCTAATTGACACGCGATTGTGAGTCGTCAACAGCCACTGGACAGGTACCCACATAGTCTTGAGACTAAGTGCCTGTTTTAACCTGTTGTGGAAGGCGGAGTGGTTCTGCCAGCCTCTGAATTTTTTTTTCAGAAAATTTTCCTTATCAGAGCTGATGGTCCCCCAGCTCTTCCCTTTTTTCTTCTTCTTCTTCCCATCCTCTCTACTTCCTTTTCTCATTCCCCTTTAAAAAAAAAGCAGTCTGTTTCAGGTTGCTTTATTTATCTCTTGAATACTCAAGAGATCTCTATCACACTAACTAACGCAGTCGCGTGGGTTTTATTTCGTAAGTTCGTTCGGATACTCTGAGGGCTTTTTATCACTCTGAGGGCTGTGGGCTTGACATACATCTATTCTGTGGGCTCTGTGGGACTTCTTCCTCGTGGGTTACATATTCTAGACAGTATTGGCTGTCGGTTGCTTGTGGGCTTGAAAACTTGTCCGTCCGTGGGTAGTGGGTTAACGTCCAGCTGTGATTTAGTTCACTTCTGGCAGTTCTTCTGAGGGCTGTTGTTCCATTTTACACATCCAAAACACGGGTGCTTTGAGGGATCGTGGGCTTTGCCGCACATACTACAAGAATTTCACTTGTAACTACAGTATGTGCCACCCTACCCAAGCTACAAGCCTGCCTCCAAGCCCTCTCTACCCATGAGTCCCCTCAATTTTATCAATTAGCAAATGCTAATATCTCGTCTCGCCTTTAGTTCAAAATGTCCAAGACATCTACCAAGGTTGCCGATAAGGCCAGCAAGGCCAGCAAGGCCTTGAACAAGGTCAAGGATGCTGGTGTCACCAAGGCTTCCCAGTCCCCCGCCGCCAAGAGCAAGGCCGTTGCCAGCAAGGTCGCCTCCAAGGAGAAGGCCTCCAAGAAGAACAAGAAGAAGGAGCCTACTCCCAGCTCCTCCGAGTCTGAGTCCGAGTCTGATGAGGACATGAAGGATGCTTCTTCCAGCTCCGAGTCTGAGTCTGAGTCCGAGGAGGAGAAGCCCGCTCCCAAGAAGGCCGAGAAGAAGGTCGCTGCTAAGGCTGAGTCCTCCGATTCTTCCGACTCTGACTCTGACTCCTCCGAGTCCGAAGAGGAGAAGCCCGCTCCCAAGAAGGCCGAGAAGAAGGTCGCTGCTAAGGCTGAGTCCTCCGACTCTTCCGACTCTGACTCCGACTCCTCTGAGTCCGAGGAGGAGAAGCCCGCTCCCAAGAAGACCGAGAAGAAGGCCGAGTCTTCCGACTCTTCCGACTCTGACTCTGAGTCCTCTGAGTCTGAGTCCGAGGCCAAGAAGGCTTCTTCCGACTCCGAGTCTGGTTCTGACTCTGACAGCTCTGACTCTGACTCTGACTCCGAGGAGACCCCTGTCTCCAAGAAGCGCAAGGCTGATGAGGAGCCTGCTGCCGCTGCCAAGAAGTCCAAGACCGAGGAGGTTCCCGAGGGTGCTGTCGCCAACCTGTTCATTGGTAACCTGTCCTGGAACGTCGATGAGGAGTGGCTCCAGCGTGAGTTCTCCGAGTTCGGTGAGCTCTCCGGTGTTCGCATTGTCACCGACCGCGAGACTGGCCGCTCCCGTGGCTTCGGCTACGTTGAGTACAACAGCGCCGCCGATGCCGCTAAGGCCATGGAGGCCAAGAAGGGTACCGATCTTGATGGCCGCACCATCAACCTCGACTACGCCGCCCCCCGTCAGGCCAACCCCCAGGGTGCCGACCGCTCCCAGGATCGTGCTCGCTCCTACGGTGACCAGACCAGCCCCGAGAGCGACACTCTCTTCGTTGGCAACCTTCCCTTCAGCGCCACTGAGGATGCTCTCCACGAGGTTTTCGGCGCCCAGGGCTCCATTCTCGGAATCCGTCTCCCCACTGAGCAGGAGACCGGCCGCCCCAAGGGCTTCGGTTACGTTCAGTTCTCTTCCATCGATGAGGCTAAGGCTGCTCACGGTGCTCTCAACGGCCACGAGCTCGAGGGCCGTGCTATCCGTCTTGACTTCTCTACCCCTCGCCCTGCCGGTGGTGACCGTGGTGGCTTCGGCGGCCGTGGTGGTGGTGGTCGTGGTGGTGGCCGTGGTGGCTTCGGTGGTCGCGGCGGCGGCGGTGGTTTCGGTGGACGCGGTGGTGGTGGTCGCGGCGGTGGCCGTGGTGGCTTCGGCGACCGTGGCGGCCGTGGTGGTGCCCTCAACAAGGGCAAGGGCTCCATCCCCGAGTACAAGGGTACCAAGGTCACCTTCTAAGCTTGAGGTTCTTTCCTGCATACGTTTGATTTCCGCAACATATTGGTGTCCATGGGTCTCAGGTTTTCTTTTTAGAGAAAAAAAAGTTCGTGTTTAATTACGTGTAATATGATCTTAGCTAGCTCAGGTATCTTTAATTTGATACATTTCAATTTTCATTTTGATCTACTTAACCTGCTTTTCTTTTAAGTTTGTGGAACCATCGGGTAGTATATTGCCAACGGATGCCGCCTTCCCCGCAATATTCCTTGTTTTGCCTGCGAAGTACCTTGGCTCATTTATCTATGCTTCTTTGATCGAACTATTGATGAAAGAAGGTCTCTTTGCGAGCTCCTTGAATCCCAAAATTCTACAATAAGAACCTCAATATTCGCCCTTTCCCACTGACAAACCCTCGCATCGTCTTTCAACCTCTGCCTCGTCACGGGCTGCAAATCACCTGTTCGGTCTGCAGATCAACTCATCATCTGGAATCTTTCCACCTGGGAGATATCTTTATCTTTCTCTTGTCACCCTTCTTTTCTATTCCGCAAGATTAATCTGACTATTTTATTTTCCTCTTAACTCCTTTTATCTCCTGGTTCTTGTGAGCAGAAAGGAGGATAAACTCCCTTGGGCATCAGTGATCGTCGACTCCATATTTGATAAGATAATCTTCCCCCCACCCACGTTGACCGCTCTCTTGTACTCCAGGGTGGCCTGATCCCCTCTCTTCTATATTTCTATTTCTATTCACATACCCCCTTCTCTCATATTCTTGCAACTCTTCGGATATGCAACCAAATCACTGCGACCTGCTGGGTCAGGTGCGTGAGCCTAGAGCCGCAAGTCAGATGACGCGCGATGGCCATCAGCCGCTTCGGGATAACGGTCAGCCTCAGCAATCCGGTGCGGCACCCATGAGATCAGAGGGTATGTAGTCTTTTTTATAATCTGACTAGTACCACCTCTGCCGATGAACTTTCAATATGCATACAAAATCCCTCTCACATCGCTATAATGTACTCACTACGATACTACATAGATTCCTGGATCGACGTGTCCTCGCAACCGTCCTCTTCCTCCTTCTCCTCTGCTGCCACGAATGAAGACATAATTACCACCGGATTGCAGGTCGAGCGTGGAGAAGCGGGCGCATATCAGCGCCGTAATCGGCGACGCCGTCTACAACATCTTGCTGCTATCACCACAGCCCAGGTGGACTATGCATCGCGGGATGCTAGCCAAGCCAGTAGCAGCCAAGAGGAATATGAGGAGAGCGAAAGCGAGTCTGACCGCGTTCTCAGCAGCTCAAATGAAGATATAACCCGCCCAGCGCTCCCAGCCGCATTATCTGCGCGCTCTGCACCGCTATCATCAAGTTCAGACGCTGCCTCCAGCGATGATGAAGATGATAGTTCTACTGCCCTAGGTATGGGCATCAGCCCAGCACCTTTTGTACCTCAACCGAACATATTCACACACCCACCGGCCACGTCAGAACCTGGATGGACTGCACGGCGCCCTCAACCCAGTATCCCGTCTACATCTACTCACCGTGCAGCTTCTCGAAGAGAATCATACCCTAGCCCACGATCATCACGGAGAACTCAATACCAGCACAGCCCTTACAATATGATCTCCCCTTCCCATCATGCTGACCACGATGCCGCCCTTCGTGCTAGTCTATCCACACTTCTTTCATGTGCGGCTGCCGCCAGAGGTCTCCCGAAGAATGATAATCGGCCACCATCCACCCCAGCTGCTCCCTCTGGTAGCGGACAACCAGCTTCATTCCGACTTGTAGGCCCATCGGTTGCCATGGGAGAGGAGAACAGCGACGAAGAGGACTCATCCTCGCCGCAGTATCCAGAGTCAAGTCCGTCTATAAGAGCACCAACGGTATCATCTGACCCTACTGTCACCAAAGCGAAGCGCCGTTCAAATTCCCCTAAAGACCGCAGTGCTGCCTCGAAGAAGAGTCGTCGCGTGAGCATGACAGATTCAACAATGACTGTTAGCCCCACGATCATGACATGGGTTATCAGCGCCGGGGTTGTCGTTCTATTCTCTGCAATCAGCTTTTCCGCAGGATACATGATCGGTCGTGAGGTTGGGCGAGCTGAGGTCGGAATGATGGGAGATGGTGTTCCTGGTCCTCGCCCCTCAGCAGCGTGTGGCCAGGAAGCGGTCCGCGGCGGACTTCGAAAACTGCGCTGGGGATCTGCGGCTGCAGGTTCTGCTAGTCTTGCATCAATGTAATGTTCTATGAAGAATTGCGAAGATGATGTCAACGAATTACGATATGTGCCGCTCGAATTGCGTCCATGCTCCTCTGAACATGGAACCGTATACCGGAACGTCATCATGTTTCTCTGTTTGATTGATATTCTACTCTAGTCTCATTGACTGATTGTCATTGGGATTCGGTTGTTATATGCCGGGAGGTCTTGCGACCTGCTGACCATCAAAAATCGGCGCACCCTTATGTTTCACGCAAATGGCTTCTGTTTTGGAGCGATGGAGTCTTGGTTTTAGTCCCCCTTGGGGATTATATGATGGTTTCTTTCCTATTTCCTGCGATGTTCAATCTATACCCTCCTTTAATCACTCCATCTTATATACATGTGTCGAATGAATGACTCTTGCAAAATTGGACTTCTGTTGGTAGTATATTAAGCCATGTCTCACGTACTGTCCCAAGCACCCATTTGGATACCGCTAACGCTCATTTATCCTCGCTTTCTCTTTCAAATCTCACAATCCCACGTTTTAGAGTCAGCGGGAACTTCCTCAGCAGTGCCGCCTGCCCAGGTCTGGACCTTGCCTTCCTTTTATGCGTTGATCCTGTCTACAAGTTCTCAAACTAAGCCAGATTGATCATTGGAAAAACCACACTGGCCCAAGTGAGACTTGATATTGGGGTGTATAGCGGACTTGGGATTTCTTATAATGTTGGCTATACCTGTTTTAACGCCCAGAGGACCATGGCGCATCTAGAATTGACTTTGTACCAGACAAGCTCCCGCGGTATCCACCACGCTAGCGAGCGTAAAATTGTCGATCTTGGAGCATTTTAGAAAGGGGGTATCTCATTGTTGCCTGCATGTATATGTAAATGACGAAATCTGCATTTCATAAATCAGAAATAAGAGAAACGGGCCATAGGTTAATTTATGCAACCCCTTCCATGTTGATACTTCCCTATGGCTCGAATCGTATGAGTAACACCTCCCTGGAACCATTTGTCACTTTTTCCATGTTCCAAAAGTGGAGTTAAAAACTTAGACCTACGGTTTGGTTTGGTGCGGCCATACTGAGATTCAAACTGGAAAATCCCAATTGGACAGCATGAGCCGAATCATGTGCCGCACTAGACCCAGAGGAATTGCCAGGGCGATACAGCAGAATATTATTGACCATGGTTCCCATAACCCCAGCAGGTGTGATCAGTATTCTGAAATTGGCGGCGTAGAGTTGCACGTTGAGCTACAACTTAATTGCTAGACCTAGTAATGAGGCGAGGTGCCAGTGTAGTTCCTCAAAAAGCAATTCTAATGGAGACTGAAGTTGAAATGATGGAGACTTGTTGGACTTCTTGTTTCCCGGTAACTTGAGCCATTAGTTCAACAAGCCTCGAAAAGGCAACATACTTCGAACAAATATAGGCCTAGATATAGCTCTGCTAGACTAAACTGGGTAAGATGACTTCGATGTCATTGGCGAAAAGCTCTTCTGAGCAAATTAAAGTACGGATTTGCGTTCTCCATGTATAGATTAAAGTGGGCCATCAACAGAGCTATCCAATAGGAGCTAGCCATCTTCCCAAATACATTGCGCTACACCTAATCCGGTTCACATGAAGTATACTAACCAAAATAGGTTAGACTGTCACTATGCTTCTAGGACAGCAGCTTTTCTCTTTTTTTTGAGAGCAATCATGAATCTCAAGTCTTTCGCTGTCAACATTGAATGATGGATGTGATCCGAACTGATCTGAATTTCATTTGACTTCTCGTCCTGGCCTACGGGCATTTGATAATCCGGTGGGGAAATATCAAAAGTCCCTGCGCCTTCCCGCCCCGCTGGGTCTGCAGCCGGTTGTACATGCCTTTAGTGGACGAATCTTTGAACACTAATAACAAATAAGCGATAATGTGAGATTTTGGGGGATCATGATTTCGGTTATTATTTTGTTGCTACACAATTGGTTTCACAACTTTCTGTCTTTCCCCTCTATCCTCCTCTGACAGCCACCTTTTAGTTGCTATTCAAAATGTTCTTCCAAAGCGCCCATGAGGAGAAAGACAAAGAAGTCTTGCTCCATTTCATCCGGCAAAACCCGCTTGGTGTTTTGATCACCGGCATGAACTCCTCTCAGCAAGACTTCCTACAGTGCACCCATGCCCCATTCGTGGTGGATTTCCCAGAAGAAACAGGCAAGACGGATCCCTATCTCCGTGCCCACATCGCCAAGCAGAACCCACAAGTCAAGACTATGATGGAAGCCGTGGATGACAAGCCACCAAACGTTCTCGAACTCGACGACGACGTACTAGTGCTTTTCAATGGCAAACACGACCATTACGTGACTCCGAAATACTACGTCGAGACAAAGCCAGACACAGGGAAGGTCGTGCCCACATGGAATTACTCCGCCGTCCAGGCGTATGGCAAAATGTCGCTATACTATGATTCTAAAACACCTGAGACTGGCGAATTCCTTGCCAAGCAACTGCGTGATCTTTCGCAGCATACGGAGAAGTCTATTATGGGGTACACTGGCGGCGAGAAGCCGGAGCCGTGGGAGGTGTCCGATGCGCCTCAGTCATACACTGACCTGCTGAAGAAGAACATCGTTGGGATCGAGATTCGAATCACCAAGCTTCAGGGGAAGTTTAAGATGAGCCAGGAAATGCGGCCCGGGGATCGCGAGGGTGTGATCCAGGGTTTCGCGAAGCTCGGAGGTGATACCGGCACTGCGATTTCGAATTTAGTGAAAGAGCGAGGTGAATTGCGTGATGCAAAGAAGCGAGACTTCTGATGCTGGAATGGAGATTTAGCATAACGTTATTCAAAGTTACTTCTATTGAAATTGCTAGTAGAGCGCGACTGTATAGCATGCATTGTATATGCTGGCCTTGAGAAACTAATTTACTTCTCTTATGCGAATATGACTCAATTTCTAGATTTCTGTTGAAGAGAGATAAAAATAAGGAGAGAGGCCACTGTTTGATGAAGACAAAGTGAGGATACTACATCAATTTTGGAGAGCTTTTTTATATGTCTAGGAAGAAGTGCCGCAACGTTCTAAATTATGAGATATCTCCCCATTTAACTATCATCTGCCAAGACCCCGCGCTAGCGGAACCGATTAGGGCGGGGTGCGCCCTCTGCATTTTATTCCGCGTTGCAAACTGCAAACTAGTTTACATTGAAATATACTTGTGTCGGGCTTCCAGAAAGCTACTTCTAAGAAGGTTTCACAATACTGGAAGAGGAATTGGAAGAGGGGGCCCATTACGGTACTTTGCCATTTGATTATTATGTCATAGTATGTCCACTCCTAAGGCTTACATGAAGATTTATGTTAACTAATGCCAAACAGGAACATTGGCCCGAGGGGTTAAAGGAGAGCTCCCAGCAATGGGAGCAACTAGCGTGGAAATACTAAGAGTTGTCACTTATTGATCGATTTGTCTGGCTCCCTAGCCGAATTCTTCGACTTCATGCTAACATTCGGTTAGAGCTACCATGACAGGGCGAGATGGGTCCTCGCTCAGATAAGCTCGCCTGATTTTACAGATGAGCAGATCCAAATTTTGAGCATTTACCAGTCAATTCACGAGCGAAATATTTGTGCGAATGAAGAAAGTATAATGCAGACAGTCTGGCTTCGGACATGCTACGATGAGGACATAAGCGAAAAATACGAAGATATGAAGACAGAGGGAGAGATCGATGCCGAGATAGGTCGTAATCGGTACCTTGACGATAGCAACCGCTACGCTTTTGACGACAGAACGCCAGATCATTGGAGACAGGTTCTAGCCCGAGTGCCAGGTATCACGGACTTCATGGGCATCGATGACGACAGAGGTGTCCTTAAATACCGGTCGTGGAAGAATGATGAGGAGATTCGGGCCCAATATGAGGACCTAGATGACGAGGAAGAGAAAACACTAGCCCTTAAAGAACTGGAGTTCCAGGTTGTGTTGTATCTCCTAGACGGCGTGGCCATTGAGACGGGTTTGATCAAGATGCTTTGGTTGGATGAGCATGGCAGCAGTGCATGGGAGAATCGAGTAGAGACATCTACTATAGAACCGCTTGCTGTAGCTTTTCTTGGCTGCACCCAGCTGAGCGAAATTTCGGGTGGAAGATATGGCCGAGGCTCCTTGGTTAGATAATGATCCATGAAAGGCCCAGGGATGAGAGGGGGTCCATGCAGTGTTGCAGTACTTTGGTCAAAGATCCTACGATAAGCTCTGAATGGCCTTGGAGGAGGGCTTCGATATCAGGCCCTATTGTATTTAGACATGTAAAATACTTTTATTACAAAATATATTGTAGGTAAAGCCTGATATGGTGCACTGGCGGTTAGAGCCTGCTGTAGGCCGAGCAATGAAACGGAAAGGGAAAGCCTAGAAATGTCAGAGTATATAGTGTACATAGCTGTAATATGTAATACGAGGGACAACTTATATTGTGTCTGTTAGCCACCCAAGTATATATTTTTTTATTAAACTTGTCTCGTTTACAACAGTAATCAAATATTTGCTAGACTAATGTACCTATATGTGATACATATAAAGCCCTGTGTCGTGTCTTTTCAGCCACATTGTCTATGAACTCCAAGTGGTTATGTATCATCTCGATCTCCAATGGATACCTACTTATTCCAATGCAAACCCCTCTAACTCTATATCCAACTAAGATGGAAGATTCTCATCTTTTGTTTTGTTAGACATTGGACATGATAAAGAAGCCAGGGCTTTGCATAGCGCTCCACACCGATAGCAAGTGTTTGTTTTCTAATTACAGACGTCACTTATCTCCATAACTTGAGAAACCCGAGTCCTCGTGATTTCATCAGTAGTATAGCTTGGCAATTAGGGCTTATGGGGCTTATTTATGCGAACTTCTATTGGCCGCCGGATCCGATCGGCGTTCGAAGTATGCCTGCCCAGCTCCAAAAGATGCGCTGTACCGTGGACTACGACATACCTGCCTGAGTATATGTCGGGTTTGATAACATTTTGGCCCAATAATATCATCGCCTTGTAGTACGGATTGTAGTATTATGGTGGCGGGTTGGCGGGTTGGCGGGTTGGCGGGTTCGATGTCTGTTTTTGGAAGATCCACCCGCCTCGCGATGGGTTGCCCTACCAAACTAGAACCAGGCCGTTCATATGACCGGAGTATAGACATGACTGCCAGTCTGTTATCAAATTGTCCCAGAGCATATAAAGGAGTCCCCCTGATCATGGGTAAAGCAACAAACACTCGAAGACCATTTCCATTGTACTTTCTTCTTACTTCATCATGTCTTCAATGTTCAACTACTTTGGCTTCAATGCCCCTGCCTCCAAGGAGGATGCCAAAGCTTCCCCTGTTCGTGCCTTGCCTGCATCATGGTACACTTCACCAGACATGTACGAACTGGAGCGCCGAGCTATATTCTCGAAGAGATGGCTCTTCATCACCCACAGCATGCAGTTGAAGAAAACCGGCGATTGGCTTCGTTACGAGCTTGCAGGTTTCGACTTCATCATCACTCGTGACCGGCAAGGTGACATCAACGCATTCCACAACGTGTGCAGACACCGTGCGTACCCGGTCGTTGAGAAAGAGGGTTCAGGAAATTCCCAAATCCTCGCCTGTCGATACCACGGCTGGTCTTACGGACTGAATGGCAAACTAGCCAAAGCTACGAAATACCAAGAGCTGAGCAATTTCGACAAGGAGCAAAACGGTCTTTTTAGAATTCATCTCAAGGTTGACGTTAATGGCTTTATCTGGGTCAATATGGATGCGAATGAAGTCCCAGAAGTGTCATGGGAGGAACATTTCCGGGATGTCGACAAGCAAGAACGCTACAAAGCCTACAACTTTGACAACTACGATTTTGACCATGCTTATGCGCTTGAGGGCGAATATAACTGGAAGATTCTGGCTGATAATTTCAACGAATGCTACCACTGCCCTACGACCCACGCCGATATCCCTGAATTCCTCAACCTTGAGTCCTTCGACAGCGATCTCAAAGATGGACACATCCAACACCACTGCGAGTCCACACCGGAGCAGATCGAGAAGGGTCTTTACACTGCCAGTACTTACTACTTCCCCATGTCTGCCATGGTTGTCTCGTAAGTATTCTCAGCCTATGCTTTCTAAAATAGAACATCCTCTAACATATACAGGCCACACTTCATCATGATTCAGAAATTCCTCCCCTCAAGCCCGAAAAGCTCCAAGATGGCCTACGAAATCTACCGAAACCGAAACTCCTCCGATACCGACTTCAAGCTTATCAGTGAGATGTACGCGCGTGTCATGGGAGAAGATAAAGTCCTCTGCAACAATGCGCAAAAGAATCTCGACCGAAATGTCTTCACGAGTGGCGAGCTTCACCCGAAGTACGAGAAGGCGCCGCTGTTCTTCCAGAGCACAGTCCGCGATGTCATCACTGAGCACTTTGAACGCGAGAAATCCGCGGGGCGGGAGATCTGGCCAGCGAGACCGAAGGTGGCATGCAATGCAGATGTCAGTGAGAAGGATGAGGAGATTTGCGCTTCTCTGGCTTGTGGAGCCCAGAGAGAGGTTTTGGCTTGGTGATTGTTTTGAGGAGGAGTATCTGCATTGCATTGGTTTCTTTCTGATTAACATGCGATATTTGGACTTCCTTGAATTAAATTTAGCCTTATTATTGCCGAGATTATGGCTGTGATGAGATTTGATTTAAAAGACGACCCTAATGGTTTGAACCAACATGAACATTCGCTGTGATCGTATATATCATGCCAATTCTTATCCTTTTTCGATCCTATTTCGTGCTGCCTCATGTCATGAAACCTTCCCTAGCTGGCTATAATAAAGGTCCTCTGTAGCCTTTCTCGGCTGAGGCTTAATTGCCTCTTTCGCTATCTCATGATGTTCTCGAGAACTAAGGTGCAACCGTAGCAAATATACATATCCATCATGTCAATCTTCACATCCAGAGCTCGTCTTTTACGGTGATTGAGCTACTCGGAATGATGTATGATGAGCATTACTGTGGTCAGGATCAAGAAAGGGGATCAATGTGTGACACAGACATATAGTTACCTATAGCAAAACAAATGTCAGCGCATAGCTACTAGGGCTTGAGCCCCACTTTTTATTTAAACCTGTTTTTTTTTTTACCGATTAATACCAAACACCCTTTGACCCCTGACTCCGACAAACCCCTTCTGCCTAAGGATGCCTAGAAAACAGTGCCAAGAAAATCCTATCGGGTTTAGCATGTTGGACTCGAAGTTTTATAAGGCCTGACGCGCTCTTTCCTGATTAACAATTATATTTCTACGTAACTGAACATGGCCTCATTCAATCTCCCCTCAGAGCTAATTGCGATCATCGCGTCTCTGTCCGACACGGAAACCCTCAAGGCACTGAGGCTAACAAACCACATGCTATGCGACTTCGCAACCAACAGTGTGTTCTCTACGGTCTCACTATACACCGATGATAAAAGCTGTGAAGCTTTTGAGTCCATCATAACACATCCGCAGTTAAAAGAACATGTACGCAAGGTTCGCCTTAATACTGTCGAGGTCGACTATGTAAGTGATGTATCGAACTAAGGCGGAGCAATATGTACTTGGCGTACATTCAATAGTTGGCTAATATGTATCACACTAGCAATCTGACCGAGATCACGATGAACTTGAGCTACCTCTCAAATGGAGGGAGCTCCTATCTATGCTTCCCAAAATTCCAAATCTCGAAAGCGTCATTCTGCGCTTCGACAAAAATGCCACGCTAGACGATGATTATCCTGAGGCACCCCAGTCAGTGGATTACCGGGAAACCATCATACAATGGCTGGGTACGGGGCTGGTGTCTTTAGAGCGACCGTTGAAAGAACTGGGGATTCAGAATCAGCAGAACGTGACACCATTGAGCAATGATTTCCAGCAAGTATTGGGCACCCTGAGTTCGCTGAGACTGAATGTTGTGCATTCGTCCGATTCTGCGTGCCCTGAGAACGAAATCGAGGTTTGTACCTACTCAGGCTTGTCCACAGGTCCAACATATATATGTCTAGGTTTTGGTTCCATTCCTTATACTAATTTGGTGCAATATCTTATAGAGAGAGGAAGTGGCTGAATTCCACGCACGTATACTCCCATCAGTCTGGCTGAAACCCACGATGGGATCACTCCGGAAGCTCTCTCTATATTCCAACTTTTACTGGGGGTTTTACCCTAAACTCAGCCTCGAAGGGATTCATTGCCCAAATTTGCAATCGCTCGCCTTGGGAAATTTCACCTTTTTCGAAGACCAGCAGCTCGATTGGATTCTGTCGCACTCGTCAACACTTGAAGAACTTTACCTCGATGATTGTTCAATTTTATTCCAAATAAGGGTATCGAGCAACGATTCCCAGCTTGACAAGTGTCCGCTACCGGAATCCAGAATGGAATTGAAATATCCTGGGGAGTGGGGTGAGGCCTGGTACTACGAGTATCCACGCCGATGGGATGACTATTTTGCCTCATTTGGGGCAGGCCTTCCACATCTCCGTCGTTTTGCAATTGGTCATAATGGAGCATGGTATTTAGATAGAGGGTATGAGGTGCCTTTTGAAAAAGAACTGGACCTTGTGCCGGCTTTGATGCGTGACCGGTACATGGAATTTGATGGTGGTATAGGACCATCTCAGTTTCTTTCACCGTGGTCAGACCCTCAAGGGGAGCATTGGCCACAACGAGATGACGAGGATCGTGAGGCTTTGAAGGCATTGTATCGGAAGACCAAGCAACAGGTAGACTGTGGAGAGTTTACTGTAGGAAATCGCGAGGTGGTCGATTTGGTAGAACTTCGTCCTTGGTGATGAATCAAAGTCAACGATCAACGAGCTAAATGAGAACAAAGCAAGCAACGGTTCTGGAATTTTTTTTTATGGATGAGCTATGGGTTCTTGCCGCGTTCATTTTCTATTCTCAGAGGATTTCTACCAAAAAAAATCGCCTCAGATTTTCGAGATTCTATATATCCTGGAGACGTGGGTCTATTTTAATCCACAGTGAAAGTTTGGGATCTATACTTATAAGTATTTGTTGTATCATTGGCCTCTCATTGCATGATAATCCATACATTGATATAATAGTAAGCCGGCACGTGAGTCGGAAGTTCTGGAAAAGTCAAAGCCGAACCAATCAAAAGGCGGTGAAAGCGGGTATGTGAAAGGGGGCTCACATCCCGGGGCTTACCCGCGGATAAGAGCTACCCCGGGCACCCCGGGCTGATATAATAGGGGACCAGCCGCCGCTCGGCTGTTGAGGGTTGACCGATGCCAGAATGGAACCATCTTGGATTCACGCGATCGTAACATTCGGCAGGTGGCAACGGGATTTTTGGCGGTTTGGCACCATCGCGCTTTCCCCACATCCATGACCAGCCGAACGATATGCCGTCGCGCGACATGTATATAGACCCTTAAAGGTCACGCTGACCTTCTTGACTTCTTAACTTTTTATAACTCTCTTGAATAATACAAAATGTCTTCCACACGCCAGTTTGACCCCACTTTCACTGCCTCTGTCGTCAATGGCATGGGCCCCAACACTCCCGAGCGTGCTCGCGTGGTTTTGGGTTCTCTGATTAAGCACATCCACGATTTTGCTCGTGAGGTTGAGCTAACCTCCGCTGAGTGGATGCTCGGCGTTGAGTTCATCAACTCTATCGGTCAAATCAGCACTCCTATCCGCAACGAAGGTCACCGCATCTGCGACGTGATTGGTCTCGAGTCGTAAGTCTTATATCTGACTTGATTTTTATTTGTTACTTCAAATAATAAAAATGAACTCTTCGAAGAAAAATGGAAAGCTAACTGATTTTATTAGTCTCGTCGATGAGATCGCCAACAAGATCGTCACCGAGGACGGTGTCTCCCCCACTTCCAACGTCATTCTCGGCCCCTTCTGGTCTCCCAACGCTCCCTTCCGCGCTCTCGGCGACAGCATCATCCAAGACCCGAAGCCCAATGGCCGTGTTACTTTCATGCACGGTGTGATCAAGGATATGGAGAGCGGCAAGCCGGTCGTCGGCGCCGTCTTGGACATCTGGCAAGCCTCGGCCAACGGCCAATACGATTTCCAGGACCCCACCCAGACCGACAACAACCTCCGCGGCAAGTTCCGATCGAACGAGAAGGGAGAATTCAACTGGTACTGCTACCACCCCACTCCCTACTCTCTGCCGACCGACGGCCCCGCCGGTGTCCTTCTCAAGCTTATGGACCGCTCGCCCATGCGTCCCGCTCACATCCACCTCATGATCACCCACCCCGAATACGCGACCGTGATCAACCAGATCTACCCCAGCGATGACCCCCACCTCGCTATCGACTCCGTCTTCGCTGTCAAAGATGATCTCGTTGTGGACTTCAAACCCAAGACCAACGACCCCAAGGCCACTCTCGACTTGGAGTACAACGTGAAGATGGCACTGAAGAAGCACCACCCTAACCCCAACTCCGCTCCCCCCGTGTCCTCCTTCGAGCGTCACGCCAAGGCGGCCAAGGAGGCACAGGCCCAGGGAAAGCTTTGAGCGGATGGGAAACGATTGCACTATTGGGACGGCGTTTTGACATGACACATGTACATAAGCATTTACTTGAATTTCCACGAGATAATCTCACGTTTTCACGATTTATCTCCCCCTCCCGCTGTATACTCCCATATTAATGTCGCCCAAAAGGCCCGTGGTATCAACTTAAGCTTTCAAGGTTAGCGCGTGTAACGTTTTAGATCGTGTAGATCTTCCGATATGCAGGCGACATCTTAATCTGCATATACCCGCCTACATGATGACACTGGCTTGGAGTCCGGGGTCAGAACATCTGGGCCAGTAATATTTAACGTCGATTTGGCCGCTAAACATTCCTCCGTCTATCGAGATATAGAGGCTGTGTCACTGCACCCTTCTTACTAGAACCAATAGTCTTATACCTAGTACAGACCTACGGAGAGCCCCGGATATTCAGCCGTCTTCCCCCTCCACAAGGCGCTACCAACAGGCATAAACGAAAGATATGTCGTTCATTCCCTAATATCAACAGACAAGAAACCAACTATACTACCCCTGTACATCACTGGAAAGTCCTCCGCGGATGTCCCGATGGATCAGGCCGCCAAGAAATATCATTTTCCTCTTCGGACGGTTCGTGGTAGGCCGTGGAGGACTGGGGTGCCGCCCGGCGAAGACGTTCTTCATCGATGAGGTTGGATTTATCAATGGCCTCCTTATAATCTTGGGCTGGGGTTGGTGTTAGCAGGTCTGAAAAAGACAAAACCAAAATATAGGGAATATGGAGAACGGTCGAGGAAGGCTGCGTACTCATTCTTTCGTCCATGTCAGAAGAACCGGCCTGAACAGGGTCTTTCATCTGTGAGGCGTCATTTGGGTCGACCTCGGGATTGAAGTTTGTGTGTTGGGAGCGGTCGGCCATTTTCAGAAGTTGAATTATTAAACTGATATGGAATATGGATTCAGCAATGTATAACGATGGTGGTGTTAGGAATTTGATGGTGGTTGGTGATCTGGCTATAGATATATGGTTGAATGGTCCTACGACGTCATCCTGACTATTCATGACATTCTACAGGTAACCCACATGAAACTCGCCACTCAGCAGGGAAGATCGTCTAAAATAGAAATTGATTGACGGGCTGGCTCTGTGGTTATAATGTGGTCGTGATTAAAGGTGATACAGGTCAGACTGCCCGTGGTCGATGTTCGAAACCTTGCAACATATCAAAGGCTAATACAGTACGTCTCGAAACTGGCGCGACTACCTTCCACTCTTTGACTGTTTCTGAACCCGAATGACTCAGCGGCGCTAATATATTTTGGGAGTTTTTCCGAGATACCCCTGTTAGTGGGGATTGTATTCGCTTTTACGAAGAGTACCGTACGGCCACGTTGAATGTACTCGATTGTAACTTCAATACACTCGACATCTCCGTGCCCCACCTCCAAATCTTTCTCCCTTGGTACACGAACTCTCGATGATAATCATAAGTGAGTGGCGCTACGATGGCACCCAATCTTGCCGCGTCAAAGCATGAGCTTATTTATGATATGATTCATAGTGGAGAGCTATCTGTCTCGCAGATGGCAAAGGCTGCTGGCTGCCACAGGAGTACCATCCTAAGAATATCCTCCAATATAAAAGATTTTGGTAGCGTCAAAGCGCCGCCGGATAAAGGTGGTCGACCACGAAGCATCTCTCCGATTATGTTGACAGCTCTTTGTGATCACTTGCTCGAAAGGCCTAACCTCTACCTTGACGAGATGGCAATTTTCCTGTGGGACGAATTCGAAATCGAAGCAACAAAATCGAGTATCAGCCGCGCTCTTGCTTATAAAGGCTGGTCTAAAAAGACCGCCCGAGTCAAGGCTCGAGAACGCAACCTAGATCTGCGTGACGAGTATACTCATTTTATCTCAGATTTCTAGTCGTACCACCTCGTCTATGTGGATGAATCCGGGTGTGATAAAAGAATCGGCTTTAGACGTACTGGATGGTCTCCACTTGGCATGGCACCAGTTCAAGTATCTAAATTCTACCGGGATCAACGATATCAGATATTACCGGCATATGCTCAAAATGGAATTGTTCTCTCTCGGGTATTCCGAGGCTCGACGGATGCATCCGTCTTCGAAGATTTCATTGAACAGCTCTTCAGCACTGCGGTAGGTGGCCTGAGCCGAAGTCTGTGTTGGTCATGGACAACGTATCTTTTTACCACTCCGGTCAAATAGAAACGATGTGTTCAGAAGCTGGCGTAAAGCTTGTGTATCTGCCTCCGTACTCTCCTGGCTTGAATCCTATTGAGGAGTTTTTTGCTGAACTAAAAGCTTTCATTCGGCGCAATTGGCAGTCCTACGAAAATGACCCGGATCAAGGTTTTGATAGCTTTCTTGAATGGTGTATTGATGTTGTCGGTGCGAGAGAAAAAAGTGCGGAAGGACATTTCCGTCACGCAGGTCTGACATTAGAAGAGATCTAAATTGGTTCCCGAATTTTACGGAGCCCATGTTTCCTAGTATATACAACTCGAGAGATGATTCCGGTAGCCGTGAGCCTTGATTAGATAAGCCTTTGAGGTTCCGTTCCGCCAACCGCTTTCTCGGCTTTGTAGTCGCATCTTACAATACAGATCTTTGGAACTACATGTGTCATACGTCCTTGACATTAGGTACCGCAAAAAATACTTGCCTGTAAGTAAAAAAACAGAATAGCTCTATGTGGTGCGGCAATATCCGAATGCATCATTGTCGAGTGATATGTATTGCAAATATCGAGATAGATAGAGTGTATGAAATAAAATTTGACTTGTTCAGAAATACCACGCTCTCAGAAAAGTAGCTGATATCCCGATTAAGATCGCAAAACCTATTGTTACCAGGCTAAAAGTGAAAGGAATCACGGAATCATTTGATAGCTCTATCTCATGTTGATTGGCGCTTTGCACGAGATTTTCATGAACGAGATTGCTTAACAAATGTGTCAACTGCTCCAATGGTACCCCTGTGAATTGGGGGACTTTTTCAGGCACGTTGGACACTTCGAAGACTTTGTGCTTTTGGTTTGGATGCAATCGGCTATGGCAGGGATACTTCTGTACACAGGAGGAACACAGATCCATACAGGCGCACAGTCTGCATACAAAGCGAGTCTCTGTGATCCTCCAGTTGCACATGTTACAGGAGATCTGCCAGATATCCGTTTTAGAGGAAGCATCCCGAGGCAGATGGAGCTGGAACAGATAGCGCGCGTTGTCGAACTGGGCAAGAAACAAAAAATAGCGACCTAATTGTTGCAAGATGGGCCATGGAGAATTGAACTTTTGAAATTGAAGCGACTCGGCGAGTTCGAAGATTGATTGATGAAGAGTAAGCTCTTGAGCATCAGGAGGTGTCAACACCAAATGAGAGCAGTGATTATGTATTTCCTGCAGTAGAGTTTCGTGATCGGATGCCCAGTCCATGACATGTCTACCATAACCATCTGGGAGGGAGGGATCAGCACCAGAATTGAGAAGGGCAATAGCAAATTGAATGTGACCATGACAAACCGCCAGGTGGAGAGGAGTTTGTAAGAAATGACTTCGCTTGTTGAGAGCTAACGCCAGTTGTGGAAAGCGACGGAGTATGTGGAGCATATTGTTTGAAGCTGCAATATGAAGAGGAGTGCGGCCGAGTTCATCTGCAAGCAGTGAATCTGCTCCAGCATGAAGAAGGATTTGAACTTCATCAACATAGCCCCCATGAATAGCCGCCGAGAGAGGTGATCCATATTTACCACCCTGAGTGTTGACATCGGCGCCAGCTCCGAGCAGTATCTGCATTGTCTCAGGGCTTCCTCTCGATGCAGCGGCCTGTAGGGCATTACCGTATTCACCACCCTGGGCTTTAACATCGGCGCCAGCTTCAAGCAGTATCTGCACTATCTCAGAGCTTCCATTGTATGCAGCGGCAGCAGCCTGTAAGGCATTGCCGTAGTGACCACCCTGGGCATGGACATCGGCGCCAGCTTCAAGCAGTATCTGCACTGTCTTAGGGCTTCCATTCCCTACAGCGGCCTGTAGGGCGTTGCCGTAGTGACCACCCTGGGCGTTGACATCGGCGCCAGCTCCAAGCAGTATCTGCACCGTCTCAGGGCTCCTACTCCTTGCAGCGGCCTGTAGGGCGTTGGCGTATTCACCACCCTGGGCGTTGACATCGGCGCCAGCTCCAAGCAGTATCTGCACTGTCTCAGGGCTTCCATTCACTGCAGCGGCCTGTAGGGCGTTGCCGTATTCACCACCCTGGGCGTTGACATCGGCGCCAGCTCCAAGCAGTATCTGCACTGTCTTAGGGCTTCCATTCACTGCAGCGGCCTGTAGGGCGTTGCCGTAGTGACCACCCTGGGCATGGACATCGGCGCCAGCTTCAAGCAGTATCTGCACTGTCTTAGGGCTTCCAGTCACTGCAGCGGCCTGTAGGGCGTTGCCGTATTCACCACCCTGGGCGTTGACATCGGCGCCAGCTTCAAGCAGTATCTGCACTGTCTCAGGGCTTCCATTCCCTGCAGCGGCCTGTAGGGCGTTGCCGTACAAACCACCCTGGGCGTTGACATCGGCGCCAGCTCCAAGCAGTATCTGCACCGTCTCAGGGCTCCTACTCCTTGCAGCGGCCTGTAGGGCGTTGCCGTATTCACCACCCTGGGCGTTGACATCGGCGCCAGCTCCAAGCAGTATCTGCACCGTCTCAGGGCTCCTACTCCTTGCAGCGGCCTGTAGGGCGTTGCCGTATTCACCACCCTGGGCGTTGACATTGGCGCCAGCTCCAAGCAGTATCTGCACTGTCCTAGGGCTTCCATTCACTGCAGCGGCCTGTAGGGCGTTGCCGCACAAACCACCCTGGGCGTTGACATTGGCGCCAGCTCCAAGCAGTATCTGCACTGTCTCAGGGCTTCCATTCCCTGCAGCGGCCTGTAGGGCGTTGCCGTATTCACCACCCTGGGCTTTAACATCGGCGCCAGCCTCAAGCAGTATCTGTACTATCTCAGAGCTTCCATTGTGTGCAGCGGCAGCAGCCTGTAAGGCATTGCCGTATTCACCACCCTGGGCATGGACATCGGCACCAGCTTCAAGCAGTATCTGCACTGTCTCAGGGCTTCCATTCCATGCAGCGGCCTGTAGGGCGTTGCCGTATTCACCACCCTGGGCTTTAACATCGGCGCCAGCCTCAAGCAGTATCTGCACTATCTCAGAGCTTCCATTGTGTGCAGCGGCAGCAGCCTGTAAGGCATTGCCGTATTTACCACCCTGGGCATGGACATCGGCGCCAGCTTCAAGCAGTATCTGCACTGTCTCAGGGCTTCCATTCCCTGCAGCGGCCTGTAGGGCGTTGCCGTCTTCACCACCCTGGGCTTTAACATCGGCACCAGCCTCAAGCAGTATCTGCACTATCTCAGAGCTTCCATTGTGTGCAGCGGCAGCAGCCTGTAAGGCATTGGCGTACAAACCACCCTGGGCGTTGACATCGGCGCCAGCTTCAAGCAGTATCTGCACTGTCCTAGGGCTTCCATTCCATGCAGCGGCCTGTATGGCGTTGCCGTACAAACCACCCTGGGCGTTGACATCGGCGCCAGCTCCAAGCAGTATTTGCACCGTCTCAGGGCTCCTACTCCCTGCAGCGGCCTGTAGGGCGTTGCCGTATCCACCACCCTGGGCGTTGACATCGGCGCCAGCTTCAAGCAATATCTCTACAAGGCTCTCATAGCCTCCAAAGGAAGCTGCTTGTAGAGCACCTCCACCTCCTTCTATTTCCACATTCACACCCTCCTCAAGGAGCCATTTGACAAAACATATATGCCCACCACTCGCTGCCTCATATAACGGTGTCTTGTCGCTGTGGCTCTTTGCCTCTTGGTCGGCTCCCTTCCTCCGGAGTATTTTGCCGGCCGTGACATGACCCCCTCGGGCTGCTAAGTGTAACGGTGTATCTCCATCTCTGTTCCTTATCGCGACATCCTTGATATCCGACACCACAGGTTCTATGAGATCCTTTAGGTTGGCAGCAGCAGCCATATGTAACAGTGTTGTGCCTCTTGGTGGGCATAGTCTGTTAGACCTATCTAGTTTCTGGTAATTCCCGACCCAAAAACTGAGCACTCGTTGTAGAATCTCTTTCTCACCCTGTAGAACATCGGAACGAATCTCAGCAGCCTTTTCCGCATGAATAAATAGGTTCGTAGTGGTATAATGAATCAACGAGTATTCTTGGATAAGGCCCTCTTTAGTTCCTTTAAACCCGCTGGGTCCCGCCAGTATATAAACTGTTGCAAGATACACTAAACACGATCGGTAGAGAGTTGCCTGGCATTGAGAAAGAATCTTATTCTCGTTCATGGACGACATGCTCATGCCGATATTATGACACAAAGCTTTGAGCCCTTTTTTGCGCAAGAAATCATTGACCGACTGGTGTACTACCTGTACAGTCTCATTGTTATCCCCGCTTGGCACTACTTCGGCTAGTCCACCAGAAAGCGCCTTGATTCTTTGCAGCATATCTTCATTGCTTTCGATAAATCCATAGATCTTTTCCAGCCTCTTCGGACGCGCTGTTATTTGGGCGTTCTTCGCCACTAATGCGTACCGCATTTCAGTCACGGTCAGGGGTCGCTCGGCCAGACATACCCATTGAAAGAACAGAAATGACTGCTCGCGGTTGCTCTTCTCTATCACGTTGTTCAAAATGTACACGTAAGCATCTTCCAGGCCATCTGGGACCTCGCGTAACCAGCAACTGATATCGTGAAGCGATTCTCGTTCACGAACCTTCCGCTCGATGAGGGGAATCATAATATGAACCCATTGGAAAACTCCATTCGCTTGCTGGGTCAATTGCTCGACTAGCATTTCCCTCATCTTCTGGCTAGCGTTGTCTTTGGCCTCTGTCTTGATAAGTTTATCTTGGATATATGTGGCAATGTCTTGCTTATTATGATCTTCGACCTTTATCTCTATAGCCTGTCCACTTTCCATGATAGGATAGTGTCGACATGAGATACAAACTTGGATGCATAGTTTCATTTTCTCGGCGTGATCAACGAGGCGATGAAAATATCCTGCCAGCTGCTCAGCAGATTTAGCCCCAGCCTCGTCAAGAGCATCCACAAAAACCATCACGTGCTGCTGGTTGGCTGATTCTAGAATAGCACTTGCTAGTAATTCTTCTAGCACCACCTGTGGCCATTCCCACTGACGTTCGCCATACCCAAACTGCTTACATCGCCGGTCGTATTTCTCACGTATCTGAGGACGTACAGTCGGATCGCGATCGAAAAGCTGGTTCATTAATGATCTCAGCATTCCTAGTGGTGTACGTTGCATCTCTGTACCCCGAGCGGTGAAAAAAAAGTCGAGGCGAATACCAGGGCGGTCGTCATCTGATATTTGGAGTTCGTCGTGCAGAAATACCATCAAGGTCGACTTTCCTACACCTGGCTTGCCCTTAATCCATAGCAGACCGTGGGACTGGCTCCTCCAGGACTGGTACTCTTCCAGGTCTAAGATCCATTTGCAGGTGTTCGTGTGGCACGGCTCGATATTATCCCTCCTGTCAAGCATCTGCGGGAATGCCAGTGACTTAAGCACCTCTGTCACACTTGTAAGTGCAAATTCTGTTTGACTCATAGGGAGCGAGGCGAACCGTTGTCTATATTCTGCTGTGGGGTCTCTCGTCGGTCTGAGCCGGAAAGTGGCTTCCAGGTAATATTGCCTGGCTTGAAAACGGCTTCAGGTCTCTCACCAGATGAGAAATAGTTCTGAGTTATCGGACCATGGTTGGTCCCCACCTGAGTCCCCGAGTTCTCGTTACCAAACGATGTGGAAGCCATGCTAAATAGCTTGTGAGTCGCTGTCACAGACAGAGAGAAGGCTCCAAAATCAAAAAAGGGAAGTTCAGCCCCGCGATCAGGTGACTGTCAGGCGCTAAGCCTTGGTGGCTACTCCTCCCATCTGGTTGCCCATAGGCATTTAGCAAATGTAGGGGCTTGCGGGGGTCCGCAATAGGGACTATCATGTCAAGGGAGAGATCTAGACTCAAATTCAACTAGCAGATTACATAGCTATGGGGTCCCTCGAAATCAACTGCAGTTACCTAACACTGGTCCACCGTTGGTATCAGAATCATTACACGACGATTTTGCCAAAGTTATAAAGCAGTGAATTTCAAGGCAATAATATATATTGGAAGGCTGTCGTCAATATGTAGAGGTAAAAATAATTTCGAAAACTACTACTGTATTTTAGACTAAGTTAATGCTATTTTCGAGGCAAGTGATTTCCCCGCGTCGCTTTACCCAAAGGCCGATATCACGCACGAACCGCCGAGCAGCACCTATTTTCACGCCATGCTTGACAAAGAAATCTGGATCTTGATCTTCATAGATTTGCGAAAGGTCGAGGCAGTTCTCGAGAGCCACATCGCATGCTTTCTTGATGTTATCTCTGAATGCCTCATTACTTACACGTGACTGCTGCCATTCTGTATAATCGTCCACAGCGACATCTAGCAGGCCGTCGATTATAATTGATCCGGTACAGCTGGGCCCGGTTGGCATAGTAGCATTAGCAGGAGGCTGTATCGATTGTTGAGATCCAGCTAGAAGGACATTGATATTGATTAGAGGACACACTAGACCCGATGTGGAGTTCTCCGCAGCTTTATTTTTCTTGTCCAGTCGCTGGTTCTCTTCGGCATAGAGCTGCTCGCGAACACTATCAGGGATATCAGCGTAGGTCTCGAGAACCCCACCTTACTCTATATATTTGACGAGAGCCTTCAGATGGTATATCTTCAATCTATAGTGCCTTTTCCCCTCTAGATCTTACCAGTAGTATTGTCCTTCGTGGCGATATAGAGGCCTAGGCTATTATATAACACGATATATATCGCGCTAGACAGAATATTGGCCGGAGACCTACTCGGCGTCTATCTAAGCGTCTCGGTCAGCGAGTATCCGTATAGTCACCGATGACTTTCCTCGCTTATCTATTCTAGAAAGGAGAGGTCCACTGTCTTCTACGTAGTTAATCGATATCTAGAGCCGGATCTTCTTGCCACGACGGAATAGATAGGCCTACGCTAGCAGCTATTTCTCTACCGCGGTCTAATCAACCCTAGTACCTTCAAAGTATTTGTTAATATTCCGTTAGGAGTTCACCGATAAGACTATATTAGTATCATCTAGTCTTACCCGTCGGCCACGGGCTATCTTCCGCCCTAAAATTGTACAAGCATCCTCTTTTATCTATTCCCAATAGGATCTAGGTGGTTGAATAAGGTCTTGTTTTATATCCTTCACCACAACTCGATTGTTCAATTTGACCCTCTACTCAATCTAGTAGTAGATATAGTCTAGAGATTGTTCATCCTATACACTTCTATCTATACGTTCAACCATAGGATCAAAACTCTGCTAGTCCGATAGATATTGATGTAAGGAAGGTGAACATTCACCAACTACGTCCTTAGAATCGGGTGAAGGGCAGATTATTGATAGCGTCCATTCGCTGTCTGGGTAACCATGGGTGGGGGCATACGAGGGAGTCCGTTCCTATAGATTGGGTAGTTCAGGTCGGTAAGCATCATCGTCATAATCATCGTTGAAAGGAGTGTGAGTCATCCCCCCCAGGCAGAAGATGCCACTGAGGAGTCTATTAACATGGCTGTGTCAGCTTCCACCAGGGGTGTTCCAGGGCGTGAAGAAGAGATGACTGTAGCTGACAGGCTAAGTATTATGATAAGCGGGTTCATGGGTAGTCTGTAAGGACAGGAAGCAAGTAATGCAAGTCACTATTTATAGGTTGGGTGCCGAGTAAGCCCCCCAGACCGACTTGGACATAGGAACAGAAGTGAAATGACAGATGGCCAGATTCTCGAGGGACTCCCAAGATCTAGTGTTTGCCTTGTTTACATTTCCATAGAAAATTCTAGTTTACTTGGGTCGCCAATACAGTCACAAGACGAGACGACGTATTTTAATGAAAGTAAATCACGGTATCGAGACTGATATAAGCATATTGTTATTCCGATCAAGGTCCTGATATGGTCTAGTGCTTCTTGGCAGTGGGGCTAAATAATTACTTTAAGAGTGTAGGTGGTCGCGCCAGTTTCGAGACGTACTGTACCAACAAGATCAAATTCGCCTCAAATCCATTGGATCAAGTCTAGCCACCCGTGACCAGTTTATCAAATGCGTCTACTTGTTCAAGTATGATATGAATACGAGAGGGAGATGACACTTCGAACAATTCACGTCGACTAGAGGATCCGTACATTAAAGTTGTGTTCTTTAAAACGAGGCGAACCATGATTAAAAGGGATTTGTCGTGTGGGTTGCCACCCACGCCTCCTTTACAGTAGGCGAATAGTGACATTTCAAGTCACAAAAAGCAGGGACAGAGTCACATTCTACTGATGGAAAGTCGAGCATCCTGGCAAAGAAATAGGCGTGTTGGATTTGAAAGCCCATTCGGATCCCTGCTGAAGTGACGTCAAAATTCATAGGCCGCAGTAATCATAAAAAGCATAAGTCGACGGCGGAATCCAATGATCTTTCCAAGGGATAATTTATGAAGATCGAGGCGTACTGCGAAATTTCAGCTCCCTTCGACCAAGTCGAACGAGATCAGAATTCGCAAGAGTTCTTTTCTCGAACCCGTCCATGACCTGGCTGAGCACTGCCGCTGCAAGTTCACTTCGTTGTATACTCGGAAGGGACTGTCCAAAACGATTGATGATACGCCACAGGTTGGCCACCAATGCTCTTGACCAAGTTGTGTAGTTAGCAATAACACCAGGTTGAGCGATGCAAACTTCGAGTCCTTCTTTTTCTGTCGGAAATCTTTGAACCATGAGCTCTGTGTTGCACTAACCAAAAGACATATCAGCTTATGGCCCACAAAACATTATGGAGATCTGATTGTTACCCGCATGATGAAGAATTCTGGTAGGATTACCGGATCCTTTGTTGGGTCTCGAGGTGTTCCTCCCGCACTCAGGTATATGAAGCGAAAGGGACGCGCTGGCCCAGCCTCGCACATGGCTTCAAAACCGAGCTTGGTGTAGTCCTGACATACGCGCTTGACCTCAGCAAAGTCAATGCCAGGTTGGAGAGGTGTGAGGGCTACAGTCCTAGGGGACCGCAAACTGTTATCGTCACCCTTTATAAGACGACGAGGGTGTTGCTTGAAACATACCAAGTACAAGCGCTAGCCCCGGCAAACTCCGCCTTCACGTCGTCAGGGTATTGACCATAATCATCAATGACAACGTTTTTCACCTTTGAAGAGTCGATACTTTCGTCGAGGTGCACCGTCTGGTGAACCAAAGCAACAACCTGAGTGATCTCGGGGATCTGCAAGCTTTGCCTCACGATCTCGGTGCCTAAGAGGCCGTTCGCGCCAGCTATGATGAGCTTCATGTTTGTCCCGAGGTTCGATTCTTGCGTAGAAGGAATCTCTGTATGTAGGACGGGGAGAGAAATGTGGTGCATTCTTGGAAGGTTTGGAGTTGGGATAAGTGTCGGGATTCGGGGACCACATTGGTTTGAGAACGATGGTGACTTCCCCAAAGGATGACTATGCTCCTTCCCTTCATACCTATACTCGTCTCCCACTGTTCACTCTTCATAACTCTTTACAACGTTCTAAGGTTGTGTATACGGATTGAGACGCATTACATCGTTCAACACTACATGGATCGAATCCTGACCGTTGAGCGGCCAACTCACGGGAATGATCTTGGTCAATCGGATGACTATAATGACGGTCGGAATGTTGATGAGAACTGGGGATTTTCTCTATCTAATCCTACGCAAGCGAGTCCCCTTGCGTTTCCGATGGGCCTCCCCACGGCTAATGCTGCAGATGAAATGATACGAGGTCAGCATGATAATTGGTTGGATGGTAGCATTCCATTTCCAGAGTTCTTTGTACCTGAGCTTGAGCCTTTCGATCAGCTATTTTACGCCGTCGAATGAGATTGTTGTATGTATTATCACTTCCTTGACATATCTGATGTGCAAGTAATTCCTACCTACTAACGATGGCTTGAAGAATGGAGATATGTGTATAGTAGTATGGGCTACCATGACACGATAATTTGGTATGGAAGGCGGATTTCGCAACCCCAAACTCGTTCCAGTTTGGTAACTCCGGGCGGACTTACCCACAGTCCGGCCCGGCCCGGCGCTAGCAGGCTCAAACCATTGTCATCGGAGGTTATCCCGAATCTTATCCAGTCTGTTGTGAGATATCATCTAGGGGCTAGCTTGGCCTCCAAATTTCATGCCCGAGGAAGGGACATAATTTTTGAAAAGCTGTATGAATTGAATCTGTTCGCGTATGGATTAGACGTAAAATGACTCTATTGCTGGTTGTTTCGAGGTAGATATGCTACGGGGTATTTTACGCCTAGTATCTGTGACATTTGGTCCAGTTCTTGTTCCGTCTGGAATATACCGTTAGCCTGAATTCGAGAATTGCAATGGGGTGGCCCAATCACCCCCTATTGCGACACTCCATATCGATGGAGATCCTGTAGAAACCGAATCTGGTTAGTCTAGATTCCGATAATGACCGATGAGTAAGTGTCATATAACTGCCTAGATGTACGGTGGGGAGCAGAGCCGCGTTCCGGAGGTCACATGGCGTTCAGGGACTATAACCGTTTATCAATTCCAAATACGTATAACCTTGTTCGGCCCGGGGAGAGATAGTGAGCCTATCAACATTGCAGTCTCGCAATATTTACAGTTCTGGACAGCTGCCATGAGTAGCTGCCGTGCACCAGCCCTGGAGATAAGCCCCGCCTAGTTATAGCGGTGGCAGCATGATGACGCAGGTCTGCCAGGCAGATGCATGTAGATGCAGTCCACCGCGCTTGGCAGTGGAATGCCTTTGTGGTTAATTCAACCCTTGAACAATGGTGTATGTAATTTAATAACCATCAACTATTGCAATTGCAATTGCAATCGCATGATAACATATTTATGCTAGACTGTTGTAGCTACCATATTCGGTCAGTGTAGCCCCCAGTGTATGCGACAGTCTCGCGTGGTTCTTTCAGGGGATTATTAACCAATGATAGAGGAGTTAAATTTGCAATCTGGGGCAAAGGGAGTACAATGTACACATATTCGTTGTTACTATGGTCAGTCTATGGTCAGTCGACTAGGTTAAGTTACATCCAATCTTCTTTTCTTGAAGGCACATTGGGCTGATGTTTTTGGTTGCAACAATATCAAAGTGCTATCTTCCATGGCCACAACAGGAATGTACTAGGTTCCATTGGATTTACAACAAGAAACTCTCTTGATCTAGTTTAAGCTATCACGCCGTGGAGGGGCAGGTCAAGCTGTGAGATTTCCGGATGTTCGGCTTTACCTAGTCCATCCGTAACCCAACCCATTTTCTGATAAGCTCTAGCCACATATCTATATTCCCATTTAGTCGATTTGTTTTATACAGTCAACGAGTGCCGGACCAAAGCCAGCATTAGTGTATAGATACAATTTCTTCTAAACTCCTATCACATAGGAGATACACCAAGTCTACCAAACACTGTAAATATCATACTTCTCTACGCCGGATATTGAAGATATTCTGAAACCAGCCAATGACACAATTAATGCCCCATATATTCCAGCTTTTCAAAGCACGGATCACAACTTCTTTGTCCTACACCACCGGCTCCACTGGTCCGAGAACCAGTTCTAGCTCGAGTTCAGCTTGTCTTGTAGTAGGTGTTATTTGGAATTCCAAATCCAAATAATCGTCCACGTGTTGCATGTGCCGCGGTTGACAACGATATGTGACAGCCAGTCGATGTACCATATCCACACAGCAACCTGCCACACTTGGAATATTTTAAGAGCTCGAGCCTCAATCTTGATCAGCAACTAACCGATTTGGCAAATAAACCCAACATCGGTCATTCAACTTCTACTCAGCAATCGACAAACATGGCTAACTGGCTGGTACATTCTACCACCATCCAGCTTATCTATACTACCCAAATGGCGTGATAAAAATGCCAATGATGCAGCCAGCGCAGGGACGGAAGTTTATTCAAAGCTTTCAAGGTCATTAACCGTTTAGCCTTGACAAAGCACCATTTTAGTTACCTTGACATAGCAAAGGAGTCATGAGTATAGGGCCATTTAGGATGTAGTGCTGATCACACCATGCGCATGTTGTTCTCTTTGGGCTTTGTCCGGGAAGAAGGATGGACTTTTGATAAGTACACATTGCTAAATGTGGAAGATCGTGAAAGAACCTTTCTAGAAAGGAGGGTGTCTGCCGAAGCAAGCAGTCAATTTGTAATTGCCGACGCTTGAGCGACACTAGTTCGAGTGCACTGAATGGTCTCAGCTAACGGGTATAAATACCCACTACAAATACCTGTCTCATTGACTCCTGTAGTCTTGTTCTTCCTAGAGACGTAATGGCATCAGAACATCAACACTCTGTTTCACTACACAATATGGCGGCTTCACGACAGCAACCTGGACTGGTGAGACAATATACATCTAGCTCATAAAGTGACTCTTCGCGCTAATAACTTAGGCTTGCGAGGAATGCCGGAAAAAGAAACTCCGATGCGATAGACGACGGCCTCAATGTGACCAGTGCGAAGACTCTGGTATAACCTGCCTTGTAAATCAAGTTCGCTCACCACGGGGCCCCAAGAAGGGGCATCTCAAGGCTTTGCGAAATCGCATTGGTTTGTTGGAAATATGACCTATACACATTCCCTGCTAATTGTATCCTTAGCTACGCTGGAAAGTATTATAAATTGTCACCAGGGTAATCTTGGTCCCAAGGAAGTATTGGACGGTAGTGAGAAATATCATTCCGACGAGACAGCTCAATTGTTCAGCCCATCCGAAGAGTATATTCCCAACCCCACGAAGAGCGAATGTCGTGATATCCCCTGCTCCATTGAGGCATCCACAATAACCTCACCTATTACACCCATGACCCCGCCTGAACATGAGAGCTTAGATATGATCGAGGCAGATCTGTACGTAGATCACATCCTCCAATCTAGATATATCTAACACCCAGTGAAGGGACCAGCTATATTTCGACAGAGTACACCCTGTCGCGCCCATGCTCCACCGGGGCCGGTATTTCTCCTGGTCACAGAGCTTCAACAAACCAGCCTCCCACATCTGCTTACAATTTGCAATGTGGGCACTTGCAGCAGCCTCATCCGCCCATTTACAGCACATGCGGAAATCTCTCTTCACCCGTGCACGGTCCGCGATTGACGCTCTAGATCACGATATCGAATCCAGCAGTGCGGCCTGTCTCCAAGTAGCCCAAGCATGGCTTCTTCTAACTCACTATGAGTTCCGCTACATGAGCTACCGCCGAGCATGGCTTACCGCAGGACGCGCCTTTCGAATTATCCAACTCGCCAAATTACACGAGATCGATCGGCTCAATGGCGTTAGTATAAACATGGCACATCCTGAAGCATGGGCGGAGGCCGAGGAAAAGCGTCGCACCTACTGGCTAGCATATTGCCTAGACCGATTCCTCAATATCTCTGACGAGTGGCCTCTAAGTCTACAGGAGGAAGCAGTGAGCAATTGCGGCCTTTTTTTTTACAAATACTTCGAGCAAAACTAACATCCACGTCAGCTCTGCATATATCTCCCCGTCTCGGAGTCAGACTTCCAGCACAGCAGGCCCGTCCTTATGGACTCCTTATATGACGAGATCGAGACCTCCGGACAGAAAATGCTACCGCCTTTCGCGGAGACAATCGTCCTGATCACGCTATGCTGGCACAGCGTTACATTCCAGCACGCCGGGTACGGCGACAAAACATCTCCGACAAACGGAGATGCCTGGAAGAGCCATACTTGGCTATACCAAATAGTACAACAGCGGTTGATACTCGTCTCACTACCCCCTTCCTCGCCCGAACTCCACGACCCCATGCGTCTCTTCACAAACATGCTCGCCAATGCCGCAGTGATATGGCTATACAACATCATGGAGACCCTACAGGTGGAAGTCGATGAGGATATTATCCTAGTTCCGCTCTACTCCGCGTACGAGATCGTAGGTTTGGCGAAACCGCTCACCCGATCCAGCTTTTTCAAGGTAAGACCACCCACTTCCCCTTCCCGTAAATTGACGGTAACCTTTGTGTTTTACGATGTTACACAGGCGCATGCGTTCTCTCCCATGCTACTCTATCTCTCGGCAAAGTTTCTCAAGACACATGCCGATCAACTGAGTACGTGTGTCTCCGCGTCGGAGGATAAACAGCAGAAGTTGGAGGATTTGAGAAAGGCTTTACGTGTTTTGCAAGGTGGGAATAATTTAGCTATGAGCTACTTGGAGTTGCTTGACTCGGACTCGGACTCGTTCGACAAATTGTGCAACTTGGCATCTGCCCAAGGGTGTACTATGTCTGATGTCCCAGGTCAGCCGGAGCCACCTTTCTTTTTGGATATCATGAATCTTTTCTAGGTCACCGTATTTTAAGCTACTTCTCTTCCAAATTCCTTTTTTTTAAAAATCTTGTATGCGTGTAATATGTAGCATTCGAGTTCAAGTGGTCGGTGATTTTGAATGAAGTGCCATCCAATATGTCTCCAGTGTAAGGCGGGTTGTCCTGACATCACATTCACTTATCTATAAGTATCACCTCATTCTTGAATGTTACTCACTTTGAATACATTACCAAAGGTTTAACTGATTAGTTGGATTGAAATTGGGACTTCATTGGTCATGGTTGAGTAACCTCACCTAGCTAGCGGTGCCCAGGTGGTTAACCCATATGGTCCCGCGCGGGCACAGGCGGGAAACAAAAAACAAAATTAAGACCCAGAGGAACGCTCACCTTCTTCCTAGCGAAATCCTTCTGCAGCCCATCAACACCTTGGACTGCAGGAATCGACTCAAAAAAAAAATTTCAAAGCGAGACAACAACCTTTTGAGCCGATACACCCCTCATGTGACAGTTCAAAGCGGTCTGAATTCGCTCCAGACCCTTGCCCACCACGCGCGGCTTAGGGGCAGCAACAAAGACACCAGTGGCAAGAGCCCCGGGAAGGAAATGGTTGTATACCATAGCGCCCACCTCGGTATGGGCCGCAGAGGTACCGGAGATCAACTTGGTTTTCACACCACACTTCTTCGACTTCTTCCAGATCTTGAGGCTAGACCGCATTGATGCTGCTATAGCGCGGAACAACTGGAAGCTTGTACTTGGCTTTTGTTCCGGGAATGGGAATGGGATGTCGACCCGGGCGACAAATTTCGAACCACCCTTTGTTCTCCGGAGAACTTCAATGCAAGCTTCAGCTGAGTCGTTTCCGATAGCGATCGCGCCAACAACCTTCTTGTACTCCATAAGGTCGACGATTTGCTGGATGGTGAGCGGGTTGCGATAGTCAAAGACCGCCAATGCGCCAAGGCCAGTGACATATTCGAAGTTTCGGGGGGAGCAAGTGGTGATGACTTCATAGCCGGCTGCTGCGGCGAGCTGAATGGCGTTGTTACCAATGCTGGTCGATCCACCCCAGACCAAGACTACTTCGGGAAGCCAGTCTGGGCCGGTGCCCCGTGGGACACCAGGATGATGGAGGCATAAGAAGTCCTGTCCGAACAAGGCGGTTGCGGCAGTTGACAGACTCAGGGGAATGACACAAGCCTCTTCGTAAGAGAGCCACTCAGGGATCACTGCGGCCATGTTGTCACGGATCACAGTGTAGTTCTGGAAGGCACCTTCGGATGACCTGTTGACAGCTTGGTCCATGGAGAGGGCGTGAGCAAGAACCCGATCACCAACCTTGAAGTGAGTGACCATGGCGCCAACCTGGACGACCTCACCTGCGCAATCATTTCCGAGTACAAAAGGGCACTTGATCCAGGGGAACATCCTCTTTTCCACCAACTGCTTGGTCCATTCGACTGGATTAACGGCCACAGCACCATTCCTCACGAGGATCTGATGAGCCGACGGAGCTGTGAATGGTGCGAGACCAACCTGGAGAGCCTGACCTGACCTGATAAGCCATGCAGCCCGGTTGAAATCAGGCCAGCTGAAGACATCTTGGTTGGAGGGAGCATTGTGATAGGTGGTTTGGTCAAAGGTGGGTGCCATAAAGGCGGCTAGGGTAAAATTCATTGTGCTGATAAAGAGAGAAGATGAAAGATACAAAGCTGGTGAGTAGATGTGTGAATATTGAGGAATGAGAAGAGCAGAATCTAAATTGAGAGGGAATAAAACCTTGCAACGCGCGTTGAACCGCCTAATGACATGGAAGCTTCACTATAATTCATCAAGCCGCCGGCGAGACTCGAACTCCCATCCGACAAATTGTGTTGAATCCCATGTCATAAGCCCTAATGGGTATTTTCTATTGGCACAAAGCCTGGATCATATCTGGGACTGACAACCGGAAGTATGGAATTTCATCTCTCCACCCATTGATGCAAGCTTTTGTTTGTATGGTACTACATATTCACCTGTTGTTGATCAGGCAGGTTTGTATTTCTCTTTCGTTGACGAGGATTCTATTGTAGATTCAAGGCATGACAGTGAAGTGAGGTAACATTAGGTGTGATCTTTAAAAGAAATAAAAGCCCAAGAGAGGCTATTTAATAAGCAAAGGCTGGATTTAAATGGTTTCATCACCGCCTAAAATATTTATTGTCCTAGAGGTTCCAAATATCCTATCACCAACTTGCCGTGGGGAATCCGGTCGAACTTCTGGTCCTGTCCATGAGATCTCATCCAACAGGTTTCGTGTGCATCTGATGTAGACTATGCAAACATCACGCAAAGTGAGATGCAAGCTTACAGCTACGCACAAGTTGCGAAAGATAATGTGTTAGGTATTCCTTAATCCCAAGGTCAAGGTCGTCCACTAGTCCTTGATTCAGTACCTGCTTAAAGCTGGTACTAAATAGTATTTGCATTTGTCGTATTGGGTTTTGAAGTTTTTGTTGGTAGCAGGGAGGATCTATGCGTCGTCGCATTCTCCTTTCCCCGTTGTCAAGGGTTATAGGCTTTTCAATTTGACACAGCTCTGGTGAATATTCTCATTATATCCTCATATAGCTGCCGTGAGTAGGTCAAGGTTTCTAATATCACCAATTAGGATTACCCAAGTTCAATGAGATTTCTGAAACCATGTCCCCGCGAACCTTTGAACTGTGGCACACAGTCGATAAGCGCTTAGCCAATCTTCTTATTTCAACTCCAAGGTATTTGTTCTTTGACTCGGTCGCACGCGCTGAAGTCATTGCTCATTCCCTTGTTTTGGTTGCATGAACCCCCATCAACCGGTTGCTTTGATGTAGGTATCTGCCACCCCGGGAGCCTAGACCTCTGGCGGCACGATGTGTTAGATCGCTTGAAAGAGAATCTGAAGAGAATCTGTCATCTCACCTCCAAAGAGGAAACAGAGATACTCGAACAAAGGTTATTCGGGGTCACATTTTCACTGGGGGCTCCTCGGATGCAACAACTCTCTTTGTTGACCGTGGCAGAGACACTTTGGCTGGTTCTTTAGAGCAATCCAAAATGGTGTCCTCGAGAACCAATGTTTTTAAGTGGTTCTTTGGAAATTCTCAGACCCTGGTTCTTACTGTGAAAAGCATATTTGTGTTTCATATGATTCACTCACTGCATGAATGTATATTGCCTCCGCGATGTTGCTTTCAAATGTGACATTCATGACATAGTTCTTTGGAGATGTGTATAAAGTCGCGCGTTGTTCCTCAAAGTCTGTCATCCTCTCAGGCAAATCACCACAAGATGGGGTCTTTTCAAAAGGGTGTCTTCCTTGTCCTGTGCTGTCTCCATTTGATTTATGGGACAGTTGCGTTGTCTGAAGCTGAGCCCGAGGTTAGTGCCTACTTCCGCTACCTCCTAAGACAACCGGTAGCTCAAGTTCTAACCCAAGATAGTACAACCAAATCGAAGACCGGTCCCAGTACACTTACCCTTACACGTGCCCTTCCATTCTTATCGGCACTAGGGATACATGTGATGATCTGGCTTCCAGGTGTAGTATCTCGAAAGCATCGTTCACTTCCTTCAACCCGAAAAGTATGTGCTCCTCTTTGTCGCGCGGAAAACCCGTATGCTGTGGGGCGGGAACAACTCTCTTTCCACCAGACAGTGGTGGTTACTGCTACGCTTATACTATCCGCGATGGCGATACCTGCGCGAAGATTGCCAAGGGGTACAAGATCACCGAGACCAAGATCGAAACTTGGAACACCCATACTACGGCATGGTACGGGTGCAACAAGCTGCAGGTTGGGGGCCAGGTTTGTCTTAGCGAAGGCCAACCCCCAATGCCAGTTGCAATCGGCGATGCAGTATGTGGTCCCCAAGTGCCTGGAACAGCACGTCCCAAGTTGTGGACCGAGATTGCTTCTTTAAATCCATGCCCTGCGGGTCAATGTGTAAGTTCTATCAAGATTGTATTTCGATCCCGCGGCTTATACTGACTATATCTTTAGTGTTCTACAAAGGGCAAGTGTGGTACCGGTGCAGACTTCTGTGCCGCTTCTGCACCCGCAGCTGCCGTGCTTCCTGCATCTGCAACCAAAGCTGCAACCAAAGCTGCATCCAAAGCTACATCGGTGAAGACTACATCCACAACTAAAGCTATATCAGCTACATCTAAAACCAAAGATGTGCCGTTGTCAGCTAGAAGTGTTGTAACAATGACAGCCGAAGCTGTGACAGTTACAGCTAAAGCTAAATCTGCAAAGAAAGCTGATTCACACACTTTCACGACAGATATACCCTTGGTAGATGTTCCCTTGACATTTTTACACCCGGAAGATACCATGTCCACATCAGCTGCCGCTCCAACTAACACTGCTACTGATTCTGGTGACTTCCTGAAAGCGGCCCAGAAGATCAGTCTTTTGGCGAGTCGACTTCGGAATACAATAGGCACTACAACTACAACCACTACCAAGGCCAAACCTGCTACAACAACCAAGAAGTCAATCAAAACCACCACAACCAAAGCCTCCTCCACCAAGACCGTGAATGGCGTTGTCACCGTACCCAGCGGGTGGTCACTGAAGATGTTCGATGGCATTGGTTGCACTGGCAGCTACGTGTTGCTTCAAGGGCACAACAAGAATTTGGATGATAGTGACTGCATGAAGTTCCGCAGTGCGAGTAAACTCAAGACCGATGTTACCGACACCTCCGTTTCGTGTCGTTGGTGGACTATACCAGAAAGAGGTAATTGGGAGTGGAGGGACTGTAAAAGTGATTCTCTGAATAAACCTAAATCGTGGATTATGACGAATGGTCTCTGTACTGTGTCTCCTAATACGCAGTGCGATCTTGTCAACGATCTTTCCCAAACTTATGGCTGGCGGGGTCCTGGTTTATGCCATGAACGCCAGACGGTGGATCCGACATTTGGATCTTTGAAGTGTTATGTTGGATAAGGTGGAAATTGGTGTATATATGGACTTTCTATTTCAAATCAGAGACTCAAGCTTTTGTGGTTTTTCCGTTCCCCAATTTGTGAACTTCGCAATCAAATTATCGTAAACATCAATCAACTGGCCGAACTTATTATACAGTACTAGATGCTCGCTTCTCTTTTACCAGACTCCGAGCTGGCCATCGCTTCTCAACTGCGGCAATAACGACCGTCAAAACAAGCTCAACTGCAAAGAACATGGCAGCAATCTGATACCCCACTTTGAAATGCGGTGCTTGACTGCTATTATAGGCCAACAGAGGCACCCAAGCATTGAATGTGAAAGCGATTGCCTCCATCACCCCAATAACAACAATACGATGCTCAGCCGAGAAACCGCACGTTTCACTAACCCAAGACGTGAAAATGATTCCCGCGCCAGTCTCAACATAAGTCAACAGCCAGCCCGCCATCATCGCCGCGGTGTTGTGCACCGGCCAAATAGAGAGAATGATAGTCCCTACAAATGCCGGAACACAAGCAAACACAATCACAGGCCAACGCATCTGCAAATAATCACTCGTCCAGGCGTAGAGGAGCGTGAAAATAATCTGCAGCCCATATCCGGCAGAAGGGATAACGTTGACCTGTTCGACTGTGTACCTTTTAGTTGACTTCAGCCACACGTTGAAATACGAGTAGATTCGTAGACCGCAAACGTGCGCAATGAAAACCGTAGAAAACAGGTAGACTGGCCATGAGCGAAAGACATCCACAAATGTTCTCCATGTGAGTTTGGCCGCTGGCGCACGCCCGACGGCTTTCATTCTTTGCTCGGCATATTCAGTATCCTCTTTGCTGAGCCACCGGGTCTTCGAGTCGCTGGGAGAATCAGGGATAGCCCAGAAACCGTACAAAGCAATCGGAATTCCAAGGATCCCGTCAAAAATAAACAACCACTGCCAAGCAGCCAGCCCTGCGCGGCCATCCATGCCAGAGTACAGCGCCGCTTGGAGATAGCCTGAAAACATGTTTGCTGCGCTAGAAGAGGCCTGGAAGATGGCGCTTCGTTTCGCGAGTTCTTGTGGCGTATACCAATTTCCGAGCAGCGTGATAATGCCGGGGTAAGCGGAGGCTTCGAAAAGGCCGATGAAAAACCGAAGTGCAAAGATGGTTTTGGGGCCCTTTGCGCCCGCAAGAGCCATGACGAGAATACTCCACAGGAGCTCAAGAGTCGGTAGCCAGATTGATGGCCGGATTTTGGTGAGGATTAACTGGGATGGGATCTGTCCGACGATGTAACCGATGTTCCAGTATGTTGTCAAGTAGTTCAGGTCGTTTCCTTTCAAGTCGAGTGCCTCTTTCATGCCCGAAACGTAGGCATTGGAAGTCTATCTGTGTCAATTCACAGGTTCATTTCCTTAGCTCATGGTTTACTTACGTTGGATTGATCCAAAGACTTGATGAAGTATGCCGTACAGGCATAGCTCAGTAGCCACCAGTCCACTTTCTGAACAAGCCTGCGCTCTCGAGGCGACTTATCCCAGGTGTCCCATATTGCAGCCTTGAGTCGGGCTCGTCTGGTTTGTTGTATCGGTGCTACCTCAGACTGTTCGCTTGGGACATTGAGTTCCTGGCCCTTGACATCAGGCGTCGGTTTTCGTTGATCGTCGTGGTCGAACACCATGGTCGCTCAGATCAGCAGTGGGTATAGAAAATGGACTACTTCATGAATTCAACCCGAACTAATATTTATATACTAAACTTGGAAGAATGTATCAATTATTTGAGACAAGCACATCATCCAGCCCTATATCGGCGCGGCACCGCTCGCTTTTACCCGATCGGGACTGAACGCGTTATCATGAGCTGATATTGCGTGAGCGGTTTCTGTCGAGCGGATTATCTTAACTTCACGTTCCAAATTTGAAATCTTAAAAGAGCCCTGGTAGTCGCTATATTTTCGGCTATATTTTCGATTTATTTCCAATTACCATGCAAGTTGAACGGGTGGCTGTTATCGGCGCAGGGCCCTGTGGCCTGGGAGTCGCAAAGTACGTTCCCATACTCCTTTTAGGACAGAACATGATTGATGAATTATATGCAGATATCTTCTTGCTGAACAAAAATTCAAGATCACCATTTTTGAGCAGCGCGACAAACCTGGTGGTGTTTGGAATTACACTGGCGATCAAGGCGTCAACAATGCATCGGTGGTTTCTCATTCTAAGCCAAGCCAGGAGCCTCAACAGCCTGTGAACGGGACTTTTATTTCCCCTGTATATGATTCTCTCGAAACAAATATTCCAAATTCGATGATGCAGTTCACCGAGTATCCGTTCCCTAAGGGAACCGCGCTATTTCCAACCCATGTCGTTGTGAAAGACTATCTCCATCAGTATGCAGAGGAGTTGAAGCCGTTCATAAGCTTGCAATCCTTGATTTTGGATGTGATCCTATCGAAGAAACACCCAAAGCCAGAATGGACTGTGACGTGGCGCAATTTGAAGACGGGCGGCACCTTGTCGGAGCAGTTCGATGCAGTCGTAGTCGCAAATGGACACCACAATGACCCATATATCCCCGGAATCCCTGGCTTGGCTGAATGGAATCGAGCCTACCCAGGCTCGATCATTCATTCTTCCTCTTATAGGCGTCCCGAATCGTTTGCAAACAAGGTATGTAACCTTCCTCCTACCAAGAACCCTATATACTTAGACAGCCACAGAAAGTTATTGTCGTCGGTCACTCCGCCTCGGGAATCGACATCGCCACTCAAATTGGTCGTGTGTCAAAACACCCGCTGCTGATTTCCGAACGGACAGCAACAACTCTCTCCCCAGAACAAGCAGCGGTTGCCCAAACCCTTCCCGAAATCAGCCTTCTCAGTGCCGAAGGTGGTCGTGTGCAGTTTATCGACGGTCGCGAAGAGCGAGATGTCGATAACATTATCTTCTGCACAGGATACCACTTTTCCATTCCATTTTTATCATCTCTGCAGCCGTCTCTTATCACGGATGGTGTGCGCCCTCATCATTTGTACCAGCACGTCTTCTATAGTAAAGAGCCCACCCTCGCTCTCATAGGCTTTCCCCAACGGATTGTACCATTCCCTTTCAGTCAGGCACAAGGGGCTTGGGTCGCTCGCGTGCTGTCGGGACGAGTAGCGCTGCCTTCTGAGATTGAAATGGAGCGGTGGATTGGGGAGTGGACGGTCGAGCGCGGGGAAGGACATAGCTTCAATGTTCTTGCTTTCCCGCTTGATGCAACCTACATCAACTCCCTGCACGAGTTAAGTTCACATGCCACGCGAATGGATGGGTTGGAAAATGACGGGCAGGGCAAAAGACCACCCTTCTGGGGCGAGAAAGAGAAGTGGACGCGTGCGAGATTCCCGTTGATCAAGAAGGCGGCGCAGGCACTTGGTGATCGGCGAGCTCAGATTAAGAGTTTGGAACAGCTTGGGTTCGACTTTGAGAAGGAGATTGCTCAAGATGTCGAGGTTGGGAATCCGCGTCTATAGACGGAGACACAAGGGTATCGCATATAGAAGATAGAAATTCCAGTAAATTCCAGTGAAAAATAGTAAAGAAAGGAAAGTGACTCGTTCAGATCATATCAGATCCTACATCACCCAAAGATTCGTCCACTGCGTGTCTAATAGGCTTTCACCCATGTCATTCTCTGCTGGGGTCAGAGCCCCGTCATTCGCAATGCTAACCCGATTACTCGGGATTCCATTTTCTAGCCCAGCAACCAAACCATCCATAGTAAAGGATTGATGCGAAACCCTTCGCTCCGCAACCTTTGACCTCAATGGCCAGATATAGAAGCTTGCCTCACCCATCGTCTGGCTCAGCAATGCTTCCAGTTCATCTTGGACAGATTGTAGCCTCAATTCAGTATCTAAACCCGAAGTGTCTATCACAGAAGACCCAGACAATTGGCTTCGTGCTATTAACGGGCTGTTTTGCGTTGTGATGATATCTGCAAGGTGGCGCAGAATTCGAGACGCTTCATGCGCAGCGGTCCAGGAGGATGGAAAGAATTCAAGCAAGGTTGCGAGAAGAGGAATCTCGGGGATATCATCAAAGGCCGGGGCCCATTGACGAGTGCAGTAGAGAAGTATTGCAGCCAATGAAAGGAGGCGACAGAGCGTAATCCAGTTCATGGGCAGATGCCGGTGGTCATGCAGTATAAGGCTCAACCGGATGTACTGCTGCGCAGCACCCTGCAGATTCGGGAGATTTTCTTCTGTCGCAGACTCCTCCCGTGCAGGAGTGTACAATAAGAGAAGTAGGTTCTGATAGCGGACATTAAGCCATGTGATGGTGGTATGAAATGGAAGCTGGTCCGGTTCGCACAAAGTGGAGCTAGATAATAGACAGCCCTGTGTATACCAGTCTTCGATTTGGAGTCGGAGCTCTTGGGGGCTTGTAGCGGGGTTGGGATCATAAATGGCATTGATAATACGTGTCTCGAGTTGTCGCAGAGAAATCACATGACGGCTGACCTGCAAGGCTATTGCGTACTGATGTCCTTCCTCGGAGCCGTATTCGTGAATCATGATGCTCGGTAGTGGGACTTTCATAATGTTGTCGGGAAAGGCAAATGGCAGCCCATAGGATATGCTGATCATGCGAGTGAACACATATACTGACCAACCAAGCCGGCGACGGAGCTCCAGTGTCCGAGGTGAAAGGGCCCGGCAACTGGGAGACTCATTCATCAGTCCGACCGCCAGAGCATGATTGGTGAGAACACCAGCGATGGCTCGTGGATCTTGGTCGCCGGGTTTGAACAAGAGATACAACCCAAGCAGGAGCAAAGTGCCTGCTGATTGCTCGTCCACTCGAGAGACACACTCACAGAGTACCCCCTTGAGACACGGTTGTAAATCTCGCTCGTCGATATTATCTGCTTCCCCAGCCCGCTGCAGGGTTGTAAAACCGATAGCCATTATCATATAGAGGCGGTTTGGTACAGCTGTTTGAGGGAGAAGATCATTATCTGCCTCTTTATTGCAAAGGGTATCGAAATCTTGAAGAACGAATTCACTATCCATAAATGGGTAGCTTCGATGAACGTGTCGAAAATAGGCCTGTAAGCACTTGCGACTCGCTGCAACAGAAAGGCACACGTTCTCTTCAGGTTTGGGAGTGCGACTCTCTTCAAATCCACTCTCGCTGCAATCAATATCTATGGTCGCCTCGGCCGATGAAGACTGTATTGAACTGTGGAAGGCCATATCCCGCCCAGTCTCGACAGACTCGATCGGCGATCTACCAACGGGAAGTGCATCATTCACAAGCCGGCTCAGCCAGTCAATACGTGATCGCAATTCACGCTCACGCGTATGTGGACTGACCGATTCCTCCATCAAAGAGCAAGGCACCCAAGCCACCTGGCATTGCTCGCAGGATCCGTCGGCAGTTCGGGAGCACCGCTTCTTGTGTTGGCGACAACGGCGACACGCCGGCACAGAGGACCTTCGACCGCTGGCATTGGTGGGTTTTCCCTGTCGGGTTATTCTCTCCGGTTTTGAATTATTTCGGTGGACCCGGAATCGATGCACGGCGCCCTCCATGATTGTCGGATGGAAAGGGTCGTCGGGGAGATAGCGCGATAATCAACTAACGGAGCACGTCATTTCTCCCCCGAACTGGAAATATCCATCGGTGCCGCACCGCGTTGTATATTCAAAAGGACATAAAGGATTCTTTGAAATGGCTTCTCAAAATCACGTCTCTCATTCAGAAGCAATCTCATCATGGTATCCGAAACCGAAGCGCTGGAAATCTACCGCACCGCGATCCACTTTGACGGATTGAACATCGCCAACTGGTCACGCGAGATCTTCGAAGCCTGGCAACAAGGCGGCATCACCGGTGTGTCGTGCACATGCGGTATCTGGGAAGGATTTCGCGGTGCCATCACCAATGTGGTACAGTGGAAAAAATGGTTCGAAGAGCACTCCGACCTCATCGTACAGGCGCATTCTGTCCGTGATATTCGCCAAGCAAAGCGCGATGGAAGAACAGCAGTTCTACTCTCCTGGCAAAACACAGCCGGCATCGAAGACCAAATCGATTACCTACGTGTTTTCCGTGATTTGGGCGTACGTAAGATGCAACTCACCTACAACACACAGAATTACTCTGGGGCTGGGTACACCGAGATCCGCGACTCGGGTCTCACTGGTTTCGGTCGACAGGTTGTTGATGAGATGGGTCGATTGGGTATGGTGGTTGATTTATCGCATGTCGGACCGGTCACTAGCGAAGATGTTATCGAATATGCGACTAAACCCCCTTGCTTCAGCCATGTGTTGCCGGGTGGTTTACGCGATCATCCGCGCAACAAATCGAACCATCTTCTACAGCTCATTGGTAAGAAGGGTGGTTTTGTTGGAATTAGTCAATTTGGACCGCATATGGCCAAGGGCAATGAGTCAACTATCGATGATTACGTTGCTGCGATGGATTTTGTTATCGACTTGGTTGGCGAGGACCTGGTCGGTGTGGGTTCAGATGCCAGTGAAGGTCATGCTCGACCAAGTGATTTCATGGCTTGGTGTAATCTCGACAAGGGGTATGCGCGTCAGCTCACTCCCTGGGGTAGTCAGACTGTTGTGAAGCCTCTGGGTCCGTTGAAGGAACGCCCGGAACTGGCCAAGGCTATGGCTCGGGTAGGCTGGTCGAAATCAAAGATGGAGAAAGTGTTGGGTGAGAACTGGCTAAATTACTTGGAGAAGATTATTGGCGAGTAATATATAGAAATACCAAGGACTTGGTATTAAAAAGTCAATACGACATTCCATTCAATTCATATATACTAAAAATACTCTTTTATACCACCCAAGAATAGTCGGCCGTTTATGTGGCCTGATGTCTTTTTTGTAGACATTTCTACTGTTGCTAGAATGTAGGTGAAAAGGGCTTAACATACACAAGTCGACGTTTCAACATATAAACAATGCAGGCGACCTTTCTATATACAATCAGGGATTTTTAACATTCAGTAGCGCCCCATCCTCCTCCACCAGGACTGTTTATTTGCATCATTTCCCCAGCCTGAAGGGTGAGAGCGGCTTTTCCAGTGAGAGAAAGTCTCTCCAAGGCAGTTTTATTGTCATTCCACTTGAACGCATAGTTCTTCCCCACAGAACCAGGCGACCACCGTTCATTCCATAGGGAGAAAAGACTCGTCGGTCACTAAGAATGCTGAATTTGAGCGGAATTCTAGCCTCAATCTCACGCGTCGCACCGTTCCCCCCTTTATACTTGCCATCTCCTCCGGTATTGGGATTGATTGTGTGTCTGCGAATGATAACAGGGGTTCTCTTTTCGACAACCTCTGCATCTGTAATCTTTGTATTCGTCGAATGTGCCTGGACGGCATGTTCGCCGTGCCAGCTGGGACCGGCACCACAACCACCTCCTACTGTTTCGCCGTAATTCCACCCCGGTTCAATGATCCCGGTAGCAGGATCTCTGCCTCCCATACCCCAGCCGAAACTGTTTGCACAGCCAGAGAAGGCTGCGCAGCACTCGAATGCTCGCAGGATTGTATCGATAACGCGCTGACTTGCTAAGGTACTGCCACATATGGCCACGGAAGCACTGGGTCGTAGAATTGAGCCTTTGGGGATGCGGATATCTATCGGCGATAGACAGCCATCATTTAGAGGGATGTCCGCATCGAGCAGACACCTGATACTGTAAATGACAGCTGAATGGGTGATGGATATTGGGCAATTATAATTTCCCCACATTTGAGGACCAGTTCCTGCGAAGTCAATCACTGCTCCGCCAGCTTCGTCAATTGAGATTGAAACTTTGAGGACAGTGCCATCATCGAAATGGTCACTGGCTGTCAAGGGCATGGTCCTGGTTCGGGAAACATTCTTGAGGTATTCTCTGACAGCAGTTTCTGAATTCATCTGGATCGCATTCATGTAACGATGCACAAAGAGGAAACTGAATTCGGCACACATCTTCTGCAGAAGAAGAATACCACGCTGGTTGGCCGAGATTTGCGCCCTGATGTCGGAAATGTTATCATCCAATCGCCGAGTTGGACTACAGCCAGGGAGATCACCCGCAGCCAAGAAAGCTTTTCGCACATCGTTCTCGAGGAAGACACCATTGTCGACTATCTTCATCGACCGAACATTGAACCCTTCTTGCCATAGCTCCTTAGAGTCTGGCATCATAGATGTGATTCCTTGGCCGCCGATGTCGGTGTGGTGACCACGAGCCGCGACATAGAAAGCAACAGTGGACTCGCCATCCACGAAGACCGGGGTGATGATAGTCAAATCTGGAAGATGAGTTCCGCCACATTCAGGGTGATTACTGAGAAGGACGTCGCCGGGCTTTAATTTTCCTTCCCATAGACGGTGCTGGTATTGGATTGCATATTGCATGCTTCCAAGATGAATGGGGATATGTGGGGCGTTGGCCACTAGCTTTCCCTCTCGTGAGAATATAGCACAGGAAAAGTCCAGGCGCTCTTTGATGCTGGTCGAAATAGACGTGCGCTGCAGTGTGTGGCCCATCTGCTCGGCAATTGCCATGAACCGATGAGAAAGAATAGAGAGCTGGACCGGGTCGATAGGTCCAGCAGAATGAGAAATTTCCATATTTGAAACGCCAATCTGCGATCTTTCGAGTACTAAATGATTCGGGAGGAAGTAGGCATCGAAACCAGGCTCCACGAAGATCGTCTGGGTTGCATCGATCAGCAGGGCAGGACCTTGCACTTGACCCGTACGCTTGAATGAGCCAAGCTCAAAGATCGGAACGTCGTGCCACTTTGTCCCGAAAAATACAGGCTGAGTCTGATCAGACTGTAGGGATTCTGTTCGGGATTTGACATCTTCCAGCATGGCATATGGGGATGCATTCTCCGTAGGAACACCACTTCGCCCAACGCCACGGACCTTGATCGAGTCGATGTGTATTTTCCTTTCAAGGACAAAGGCAAACTCTCGTAGGTGCGTAGCTATGAAGGAGGCTCCGTAATCCTCACCCTCTGGTTTGGGGATGACAATGTTGGTGTCTGTGCCTGCGTATCTCAAACTGAGAGATTCTTCGAAAACGACAGTAGACGGATCCGCACCCTGTGATAACAGTGAAGATTTAACTTGGGACTTTAGCTTGTTAATCTGAACCCGAATGTCATCTAGCACTTCGAAATCAAAGAAACCAACGAAAGGAACTGTGTTCTCAACCTGCAGGTCCGCCTGAGAAATCCCGACAGCTGATAGCAGTGAAGAGTGCTTGTGGATGAGAATCCGTGTAATTCCGAGCTTATTGGCAATGGAGCAAGCATGTTGGCCACCAGCGCCTCCAAAACTGACCAAGGTATGGCTGCTTGGTGCGAACCCTCGTACTTCTGTTGCGTTACGCATTGGCCGGGTCATGGTCTCGTTTGCAACATCAAGGAACCCGAAAGCGACCTCTTCTGCGGTGAGCATTTGACCAGTTTGCTCATTGATTTCGCGAGTGATATCATGGAACTTTTGCTTGGTAATATCGAGATCCAGGTGTTGGTCTGCGTTCGGGCCGAAGATAGCTGGAAAGGAAGAGCGGACCAGTCTTCCCAGGAACAAATTGGCGTCGGTCACTGTGAGAGGTCCTCCCTTTCGGTAGCATGCAGGGCCAGGGTGAGCTCCCGCACTCTCAGGCCCAACAACAAACAGCCCATGACGAGCCAACAGCATCGAGCCTCCGCCGGCCGCGACAGTCGCGATATTCAACATCGGCGCTGTAATCTTTCGACCGCCAACCGTTGTCTCGGTCAAATAATCGTATTTGCCGTCATATCGACAAACATCTGTGCTGGTTCCTCCCATGTCAAATCCGAGGACAGGGGTCCCTTCGGAAGCATCGAAACAAGTTCGAGCGATTCCAACAACACCACCAGCTGGTCCACTGAGAAGAGCTTCATTTCCGCGGAACTTGTCAGCTTGTCTCAGGCCTCCGTCGGATCCCATAAACTCCACACGCTGAGGGAGTATACTAAAGCCGGCCTGGAATGCCGTGACATAATCTTTAACGATTGGGTACAGATATGCTTCTGAAGAAGCCGAGGTGCTGCGCTGCAAGAATTTGATAACGGGGCTGACGTCGGAAGCTTTGATCACAGTTTCAAAGCCCATGTCTTGTGCGATCTGCGCTACCTGTTCCTCGTGGAAAGGATACAGATATGAATGCACGAAGGAAATAACCAAAGACGTATAGCCTGCCGATTGCAGCCCGCTCAATACTTCTCGAACCTCGACCGGATCGAGGGCCTTTAAGACCCTTATCACTTCCCCACTTGGCGTTCGTACCAGTGCGGGATCTGTGATTTCGGCCGTCTTGTCCAAAGGAAACGGATTGAGATCGTAGTCTTCGATAGTGATGCGTTCGTCAATTTCTGCTGAAATTGAATACAACGCAGGTGGCTTTCGAACGTTCAAGGCGAACAATTTCGGACGAGTCTGGTCATCAATAACGCAGACATCTTTGAAACCTTTGGTCGTGACAAATGCAAACTCTCGACCTTTGCCTTCGAGCAATGCATTGGTCGCGATGGTTGTCCCAATACGACAGGATGCTATCTGGGACCCGTCTAGCTGTTCCCCAACGGGAATTTGCCGTCCTTCTATAATCTCCAGTGCCCTTCGGATTGCCTCTGTGGGGGCATCACGATAGTTCTGTGGATCTTCTGACAGCAGTTTGAACACAAGGTCATCGCGACCGGGGACTTGCACCAGGACATCGCAAAATGTACCCCCACGATCTGGATAAAGAATCAGTTTAGGTCTTTAGTTTGATGGCATATCGAAATTACGTACCGATGGAGATGTTTATGTCTGGGTTGGTTGCCATTTCTGGGTATGTGTTATTTGACGGAGACAGACCTCGGCAGCAAATGTCAATGCCGAAAGGAATTGATCTTCGATATCATCCAAAAAATAGTGTCGCTACATATGTACGATACCTCAAAACAACACTGAAATCACGCATTATCTACGGGTTGTTAGGTGATACGCCTCAACGGCCGCCAGTCCCAATGTGGAAATTATTTTCGGAAGTTCGCCGAGCATTATCTCGATCCCCTTCACCCACGCTAAATGGCGAACAGTCTCAGCGTGGAGATTCTTTCCAGAGACTTACCGAGCACTATATCCATGTCTCTCTTATCCTGAATGGGGAAAAGCTACCGAGGAATGGTGTACGGGGCAAGAAAACAGATTATTATTATCTACTTTTTCTACGAGACATCATAATCTGTGCAAATTCTAATTTGTTTTTACAAGGACAGTTTCATATGTTTTTCCAGATGTATAGTTCCTATGTGCAACAATGTATAACGATGTAGGGACCCGACTACTACTATAAAAACAAAGGTAGGAGTACGGGTGTACAGAGGCACAACCAGGGTGGAATGTATATCTAACTAGACCTCATGAAACATGTTTCTTAATGAGCTCAATCACCTCCGCATTCTTTTCTAGATGCACGCCGTGATTGGCATTTGCAATAACCTTCAGGTCCGCACCTGGAATCTTCGAAGCAATGGTTTTGGATTGCTCCGGCGGGCAAATCCAATCACGGTCACCCACAATAACCAAAGTCTTCGCCGTGATCGAATGAAGTTGATCTCTGTAATCAAAATATTTTTCCTGTTCGCAGTACAGATCATCTTTGGATGATTAGCTTGACTTTGCGATAGCCGGGATGGCCACTCACTATGGGACTTTGCATAAAACACAGTTTCAATGTTGTGTTTTAAGGCAATATCGGGATCAAATTGCTCGCTATATAGCGGTGCAGCTGCATACAGGACGAGTCGGAACTCGAGATCGCTTTCGAATCGACCGAATATCTTGTCTTTCAGAAATGTGGCGGAAAGGCCTGGGGCCTTAGATGCCCTTTGTTCCAGAGTATGAATAGCTGTTTCTTCGTCTGAGTTCAGTTAGCACAAATGACATGTTAGTCTTTGAAAAGCACGCTGAAAGCCCCAAGAAACCAAATCGAGGATAGCACTTACGGTGATGCGAAGGAGCAGTTCCTCGAAGAATCAAATGTGAAACTCGAGTTGGATACGTGATTGCATACTGCTGGGCTAGGAATCCACCAAAACTACCACCGCATACCATACAGGGTTGGTCGGCTCCGAGGAAATGTCGCCGTATACCCTCAATATCTTCAACTAGTTGACGAAAGGTAAAAGGCTCTGTTCGTGAACTTTGACCATGTCCTCGAAAGTCGAAGGAAAGCACCCGATACAAAGAGGACAGTGGTGAGTATGCCTTGAAGTCTGATTTATGGTCTCCTATTACAGTTGCAAAGCAAGTTTATCAGCGATCCATAGACATTTAGAGGTAGATGTTATGGAGGCTCACCAAACCCTCGGCCGCCGTGCAGGGTGATTATCAGAGGTGCATTCTCAGGTCCGACTAAACGGTATGCTAACTGGGCGTCATTGATAGAAACAAATTCAACCATGCTGTGTTGCTATAGAAGGATATTTGAGAAAAGGAAGTCAAATTGGATCGAGAGGAATGATCAAAACAGTGATGAAATGTATGTATTGATCCTGTGCAATTCAGGACAAAGTACTGAAGGATAGAGTGCACATCTAGTAAAGAGCAGGACGTGTCAAGCTCATGTCGCGATGTCCCGACGTCGGCCCCACACCGAGAAATGTTTCCGTTTGAAGGAATGCACACTCCACATGTTTAAAGGGGAGAATCTACGCAACTGTTGTCACAAATGTCGTAATAACCTTATTTGGACTTTTGTTTGGGCTTTGATCGTTCTAGATCGTTAGTATTTTATAGTTGCTATCTCGCTCATTATTTTCAACATGAACTCTCTTCCGCGTCGGATTCTGTCTGCCTCAGAGCCAATTCACAATGCCTATCTCAGCCGAAGAGACGGAGGTTCAAAAGCCAACTCCAATTCCCAGGGAGTTGGATAATTCCTCTGATATACAAGACCGTAAAAACAACGCGACGAATTCATGTCACAGCTTGGAGAGGTCGACAGTCCAAACTGAAAATGCTCAGGAGCCCCAACGTTGGTTTCATTGGCATGAGCCGGGTACTTCCAAAGCCGACAAAAAGCTCATCTTGAAACTGGACTTTTTTCTTCTCAGCTACAGTTGTTTATGCTTTTTTATCAAGCAGCTGGATGGCAACAATGTGTCCAATGCCTACGTCTCCGGCATGAAAGAAGAGCTCGGATTCGGACCAGGCAATGAACTGAGCTGGATGAACACGTATTTCAGTATTGGCGCAATCCTCGGAGGACCAATTTCCAACCTCGCCTTAACTGTTGTTCGACCGAGGTTCTTACTCCCTAGCGTTTTGTTCACCTGGTCGCTCTTCGTACTTTTCCTGTACAAGTGCAACCACGCATCTCAGCTCTATGGTCTTCGATTTTGTATTGGATTTTTCGAGTCCGCCGCATGGCCCGGAATTCAATACGTTCTTGGATGTTGGTATCGCAAATCCGAACTCTCGCGTCGGAGTGGTCTTTTCGTGATGTCCGGAGTGCTGGGACAGATGTTTTCAGGATACTTGCAAGCGGCACTGTTCAAAGACATGGATGGAAAAGCCGGATTATCAGCATGGAGATGGCTCTTTATCTTTGATTTCATCCTTGCCATTCCAGTCGCCATCTATGGTTTTATATTTTACCCCGATACGCCTCAAAACACCACCGCATTCTATCTCTCCGAATGGGAAAGAAATCGAGCGAGAGAGAGAATCGACGAAGAAGGTCGAACTCCCGTTGGAAAGCTGGACGCCACGGTCTTCAAACGTGTCCTGCTATCCTGGCAATTCTATACCTTTTCACTCGCATACGCCTTCTGGTCTCTCACCTGCGGGTCATACGTGATGCAGTACTTCGGCATTTGGCTCAAGTCTCTGAAAGTATACTCAGTACCTCAAATCAACAACATTCCTACTTCGATGGGCGCCATTAATTTTACTTTCATGGTCGGCACGGGATATGTCGCCGATAAGCTCGGCCGACGAGGACCTGTCTGTTTCGCAGTCGGATGTCTCCTGACTTTCTGCTATGCTGTATTCACGGCCTGGCCTGAATCAAGAGGGTTGAAGATGGCAGCGTTCATTATCACGGGATGTTATGGATGTTATACACCCCTTCTGGCGGGTTGGGTCAATGCGTCATGCGGTGGAGATCAACAATTACGAGCATTTGTTCTGGCGTTTATGGTCAGTCTTGGATCGGCTGTTGTTATCCCCTTCCAGCAGCTACAATTTCCTAGTGGACAGGCGCCAACCTTCACCAAAACCCACGGCTGGGTCAGTGGGCTGTGTTTTGTTTTGGCGCTGACTTTATGGACTGGGTTCGGAATCGATACTGTTGAACGGGTTTTCACACGGAAGCGCAAGGAGCGTCTACCCAAAGAAACCGATGTTTAGTATTTGGTGCCATAGGAAGTTGGAGAATTTCATCTTCAGCTATATATAGATCGATAGTTCGGCTATAAAGACAATTGTATATGTTACGCTAGCCTTTCCTAGAGTAGGTGGTATGATAGTTTGTCGCCGGGCGATACCGTTGGCCGATATTTCCAACCCCCATTATATTTGAGAGATAGTCCGATCTATAAGCAAATTTCCAATGGATTCCTCCATTGGTACTATAGTGCATCATAGTTTGGAATAGTACCTCTTGATGTACAAACCATCGGAAGCGATATAGCGAGAACTACCACTAGATGACCCATCTTAGGATTTTAGCGAACAGTAAGCCTCGGAGCCTCAAACCTTGATCTGGACATCTTCTCCTATTTCAATTATTTTTGTTTTCTTGTCTTCTCTTTACTTTCTGTTTTAAATCTTCTCTCTTTAAATACTTTGATTACTTTCATTATTTTCTCCAAACTATCAAAGTCATGGGTCGCCTCCACCACGCCGATCCCCCTGCGTCATCGTCGCACTCCCTCCATTCTCTCGACGACGCGCCGCCTCCATACACAGATGACACCGAACCCATTTTCGCCCCTATTCAACATCCCCAACCTATCCAACCTGTCCAGCCTCCCACAAGTATCCGACCTCTCTGCATAATCGACTCAGCCTATGTTCTCCCCGGCGGCAAAGACGTCAAACCCACCGACCAGGTCTCTCTCACCCTCGAACCATCGCTCTCAAGCGACTCCAACGAGCTCTACGAAGTAATCCGCCGGCAAATCAAGCTGCCACCACGGCCCCTACTCTACGTCCATGGCACCCACACGGAATCGAGCAATGACAAAAAGAATAACAAAAACAACACTCACACAGACTTCAAGTTCAAGCTAGATCTGGCAGAGACTATGTTGACCGGCTGGGAGGGCAGATCTATGGACGCGAATTGGATGGAAACAGAAATCCTCACAGATGAGGACCTCAAACCCGCGTATCGAGGAGGAATCCTCCGCTCGCGCACGTACAAGCCGCCCAAGTCGCAGGCTGCTATTAGTCTCACGGCGGACAGCGATGCCCTCCTATCCCGATACGATGCCGACGAGGAGCATAACTCCTCTCCGGAAGCGAAGAACCTGAAGATGTGGTGCGAGCGGTTCTGTCGTGACCCCGCTTCGGTGAAATCGTATGCTCTACCCCCTTACTTGCGGATAAAATACACTGCTAATCTAGATTTAACTACATACAGATTCACTCTGCACCGCAAAATCTCCGGATTCGACTCCAACGCCATGCGCAACGTCCTCTCTTCCCACATCCGCGAACTTAACTACCGCGGCTCCATAAGCTTCGACCTCTTCATCGCCCAGCGCTCCATCACAATCTACTCTCCACACTGGATCAACCGGCTCCGCGCGAACCGGTTCGTCTGGTGGACTGTCGTCCTTCTCCAGCTCTGGATCATCGCGTGGCCAGTTATCTTCTTTATGGAGAAGAGGTACGAACTCGTCCACACACGCTGGAATGCGTCGCTCATACCGGAGTCTGACTCTGCGCTGGCTAAGTGCTATGCGTTTGGTCGCGATGAGTCTTCTCTGGCGGAGTACTGGGCTCCGGCTGTTAAGCAGGCGGCTTGGACTCGGCGGCAGGGTGAAGGGGATCGTTTGACCAGGATAGATGCAGATCGTTTGCAGGGGTATAGTACCCAGCAGCTGCTTGGTCTTCGTGGTGCTACTTCGGACACTGAGCTCGAGCGTCGAGAGAGGGTTAATAGTGGTGAGGGTGGGTTTGTTGATAATCTTGTAGGTCTGGTTAGAGGGATTGGGGAGGTTGGGCAGGATTGGAGGTTTTCTGCGGGATGGGGTGCTAACTCGTAATTTGTGAGTCTGTTCTGGTTTGTTTTGGATGTTACAGTGGCTGACAAAATGTCTCTCTGAAGCTGGACCTGGTCTTGCCTAATGAAGTCGTCTACGTACAGTCCTTCAGGACTAACAAGATCTCAGTCGATCCTTTTTAGAATTTTCCTTTTGCTCAATAATATATCCTTTGTGTACTTCATTTAGGTAGTTTTACCCGTAAGTAGCACCTACATAGGGATCTATGAGTTCGTGAACTTGACTTCTAAGGCCCTTTGTCCTATTTACAGTAAACTCGGCCAATCCAGACCACGGCAAACACGCGATAAAAGTCTTAGGGTTATGGCCTCATGGATGTGATCTCAGGAAGATTTAGGTAAATCTCAACATGTTAACTCAGGACTTGACTCGCAGAGATCATCCTCTTTCACCTCGGGTTCATTGTCATGGTGGGCTCTCAGCCTCAAAGCTAAATTTAGCCATACAGCACACACTGCTTTGTTCACATAATACAGTTCTCATTGCATCACGCACTTAATGCCGAGGGCTTTATCGCCCGTCCATTTGATCCACATGCTCTACCTCCCGTTCTCTTTCTTCTATTAACCGTTTCGTTGTCCCCGTCTAAAGTTGAATCTCTTTCAAATTTATATACATATCCATTGCTTTGTCTGTTTCATCTTAACATAGACCGGATGCAAGCACTGACTCGGTCATGGACCTGGCTCTCTTACATAGCCTTTTGTCCAGAGCTATATAATATCTCCTTGGTCCAGTATCTAGCTAAGCCAGTCAAGTATATCAATTCCCCGATAACAAGATCAGAAACCCCCCAGGACTTCCGAATCCACATCTATTATTTTCATTTGAAATTTTCAACACGATGTCCCAATCTCCGTCTTCCACCATTAAGCAGAAAGTCAAAGGCTGGTTAGGTGTTGGTAAAACTGACGGTGAAATGATCCCAAAGAACCTCCCTCTACTCCCAAGAGTCCAAAGCGGAAACGTACAAGTAGCGTCGATCTCCGCGTATCTAAAAGACTCGCTCGCATTCGAGAGACCTATCCTAATCCAAAACCCCCCGACTTACCTGAGAGTCCCAGGAGTGCTCGGATGTACGCGGGTAAACTTTCTACGATCATTAATCCAGACAAAGTCCACATACTAGATAGAACACCTCCAAAGGAAAAGATCGACCGTTATCAAGCGACAGGGGCTCAATTCGAAGACTGGATGGCCAACACCAACTCAGCTGGTCCTGCATGTCCAGTGGTCCAGTCCAGGCTAACCCTTGCCGCTCTAGTCGATTGTAGTCCCCCGGAGAGGCCGGAATTTGATGTATGGAAATCCGAGTTCGTTGTCCCACCGGCTGAAATCAGAGGTTGTCTAGAATCGACAGGCCTCCCAAGGAATGAGAGATCGAAGGATTATCGCTATTCACATCTACACCGCAATGGAAATTTGATGGGTGTGCCCACTTACGAGCATTGCATGGTAGAGGGTGCTATCATTGTTAAGGCGGTTTTCAGAAGGAAACAGGGACCCCAATGGACTGACATTGCTCTAGCTTTATACAAACATGACGCCGCGATCGATACTCTTCGATATGTCTACTACACAACAGTTGAGAATAAGGAGACACAACCCTTGGTAGGGAAGGTGCTTTACCCAAATAACAATCTTCCCGGTCTTGGGAATAGAGCCGGAGCAACAATTCAAACTTGGCACATGCATACTCCGGAGTTCCAGCAAATCTTAGGAACAAAGCTGGGGAGGGCGACAGCTCGTCTTGTTCTAGCCGCTTGGCCCAGGGGTACTCATGAGATCCCCAGAATCAATACTTGGTTTTGGTCAGGTAACCTACACATGCGGTTTGATATTGAGCCGGTTGCCCGAGTCGGTCATCGTCCCTCTCGACCCCCTCTTCCTACTTCTCCTACTACTCCTACTCCTCCTTCTCGTCACAGTCATCGTTAGGCTTCAGGAGCAGCGTTATTTGGTTTCGTGGGTTTTTGTCGGATGGCCCAGTACATAGGTCATGCTGATGAGCCCCCTAATGACTGATTTGTAGATTTATAGATTGGTTTACGTAGCGTCGGTGAACAAAAGTTGGCTTCGTCTATCAAGTTTATATAGTTTATATAGTTGATGTTTTGGTCACAACGGTATTTGGATTTTTATAAACAGAAGATGGAATATCAATAAATATATTTCACACACAATCCGCCACAAAATACTTGTCTGTAAACTATAAATTGGCAGAGCCACTTGAAACATTAAGGCTATCAATAGTATAAAGTGAAATCCTGAATTTGCATTTGGTCCAACCCTCTCATACGCCATATCCGACGCAAATTGCTATACATATACACGGATAGCAACCCTCAATTGACCAACTCAATGGGATGGAGATCACACCATTCCACGGCAGCAAAATCCAAAATGTCAGTGCTGTGTCGTGATCACGAGATAAGCCAATCCGTGACTCGAAGATGAAACTTTAGAGGCGATGGTGCAAGATCACAACCCGGCATAGCTAAATGTGTTGATAACTTCCAAGGGAAAATGTAACTGGCATACCGCATATAAGGAGCGCATACTCCTAGGAAACGGGCGATATAATCCATTTGAAATACACATAAGATATATTATAAACATCACAATGTCGCCAGCTCTCGATACTCAGAACGTCCCCGAGGTTCTAGATCTCAAAGCCAAGAACATCAATACCCCGCAAGCCAGTCTTCTCCGGGAGCCACTCAAGTCATCGGGAAGCTTGAAGGAGTACGAGAATTTCGATTCGACACCCATTATTGGGACTGAATTCCCCCATGTGCAGCTGACCGAGATTCTGAGAGATGAGACTAAAATCCGGGATCTGGCAATTCTTGGTGAGTCCATTGTACTATATCTCATAGTGAACTGAAGTTCACCAAAGCGAAACGAAACGAACACTGATACCACGTAGTCTCTCAACGAGGAGTCGTGTTCTTTCGCGACCAGAACATCTCTTCTGAGGAGCAGAAGGTTCTCGGTCAGAAACTGGGCGAGTTGAGTGGGAAGCCAAGTACATCAAAGGTGATTGGATCTTCCAAGCTTATTGAATATATGTCGAAAAGGATATGCTAAAACAGACAGCTTCACCGCCACGCTGTCTCAAACAGCAAGAGAGGAATCGCTGTCGACGAGAACGGACATCTAGACGATGAGATCTCTGTCATTTCATCCGAGGTATGACCTCTGTTCCCAATATCTCTCTTGGTAAATCTAAACAACCTCTGCAGTCCTATCGCAAACTATACGGCGATAGGTACAAGCCAAACAGCGGTCGTCTCGCAAGCGAAGGATGGCACGCAGAGTATGTCATCCAACTCCAATTTTCAACTCTGAATTTTTATCGGAAAGGCTAACAAAGTGTCAAGTATAACATTCGAACACGTCCCATCTGACTACGCTCTGCTGAAGATCACAGAGCTCCCCGAAGACCAGTCTGGCGGTGATACGCTCTGGGCTTCGGGCTATGAGCTGTATGATAGACTGTCACCGATTATTCAGAAGTTAGCCGAGGAGTTGAAGGTCGTGCATCACCAGGTATGCAGAACCACTCGATTCCCAACATAATATGTAAGGTAACAAATAAACTAACAACACCCAGCCTTCGTTCAACAAGATCGCCAAAGAACAAGGTATAGAGCTCATCCAAGGTGATAGAGGCGCACCGGAGAATACGGGATTTGATTTCAAGGCGACGCAGTAAGAAAAGAAACACACCACCCGCCCATACACTAACCTACCTCTTGCCTTCTAACCCAGCAATCCCAATCCCATCAACTAACCAATCCATCAAATAGTCCCCTCATCCGAACAAACCCCGTAACAGGCTGGAAGAGTCTCTTCGGCGCGGGACAGCAGGTCGAGCATGGCTGGATTGAAGGTGTGACGCAGCTGGAAAGTAAGGTTTTGAAGAAACTATGTAAGTTCATCTACAGACTGGATGGTAGAAGCTGGAAAGATACTTCGCTAACGAATCTTTGAAATATAGTCAACAAGCTTCTCTTTGAGAATCATGATTTGCAGGTTCGGTTTAGATGGGGCAAGAATGACCTTGCTATTTGGGATAAGTATGATACTTCCTGGAGAGATCACGCTGGTAATATGCTGACGTCTATGTTTCTAGTCGGTCGGTTTATCATACCGCTACCAAGTGAGTACTATTTTCTGCTTTGTTTTATAGCTACAATGCTAATGAGGTCAGTGACTACGGTGGGAAGCGTCAGGGTAATCGGGTCGTTTCGCTTGGGGAAATTCCGTACTTTGATCCGTTGTCAAAGTCGCGGAGAGAAGCGCTTGCTGAGGGGGTTTGAAGGTTGGAATTACTCCAAGTGGAATAGGTATTGGAGAGGGTCAGTCTTCTGCGACAGTTTACTAGCCAGGGTCAGAATATATGAGCAGTTCAGCTCCGTTTCATTTAACACTAGACGTAGATACTAAGGACTGCTATACACCAACTAGAAAGCATCTCGCCATCCTCCAATTTGCAAAGCCCAAGCGATGATCACCACAGGGTAAAAGATGAAAGCCAGTTAAAAAAAAGATACATGTCAGGGAGAATCGAAAGATATGAAGCCCCTTCAAAAAAAAAAAAAGTAGGAGCATTACAGGAGGATGAAGCTAGCGCCGAAGACAGTCGACAGGACAGTGACGAGGCCGACGGTAGCAGGGGCGAAGCTGAACTGGAAAGGCTTGAGGCTAGCGGCAGCGCCGGTGGAGCTGGTGCTGGAAGCAGCAGAGCCGCTGCCAGTAGCAGCAGCGACCTCACCAGAGCCCTGGGTGGCAGTGCCGGAGGACTTGGTACCGGCGTTCTGGCTACCCTTGCCGGCGAAGCCATCGCCCTTGCCGGCACCCTCGGTCAGGTACTTCTTAGCGGGGGCGGGCATGGCAGGGAGAGAGTCGGAGTCGACATCCCAGTTGGGCTTCTGCATCTTGGGGCAGCCGGAGGCACCGCCGGTGGAGTTGTAGCCGCCGTTACCGGTGGGGTTCTTGGTACCATCGAAGGCGGTCTTGAGAGCGTCGTAGTCCTTGTTGGTGGTGACGGTGTCACCGCTGATCTTGACCAGACCGTACTTGTTGCCAGCCTCGGTGTACTCGTAGACGAGACCGCCGGAGTAGACGGGGGTCATCTCGGTGGAGTAGAGAGCCTTGACCTCCTGGAACTTACGGGTGTTGATGTTGCAACCGTACTCGGAGAGGAAGAGGGGGAGACCGTAACCGGTGAAGTTCTTAACCTTCTGGTCCCAGCCGGAGGTAGTGAAGGAGGAGGGGTCGCACCAGGAGTAGTCGTTGAAGGCGAAGAAGTCACTACGCTCGTCATCGGAACCGCAGTTCATATACTCGGCCATCTCGAGACGGTTAGTGTCGACATCAGCGGCGGAGTATCCGACGGGGACCTCGCGGAGCTTGCGAGAGCGGAGGAAAGTACGCATATCACGGGTGACGGCCTTAACGTAAGGAGCGGCCTTAGAGGAGGGGCCGTCGTTGATGACCTCGTTACCGGAGAAGAAGGCCAGGGTGTTGTCATACTTGGCGAACTTCTCCATAGTGGCGAAGATGTACTGGAGGTAGACATCGTTGTAGGACATCTCGGGTTCGGCACGGTTGATAGAGTACTTAGGGGTGTTGACATCGAGAACAAGGTAGATACCGGCCTCGGCGAGGGCATTCATACACTCATCGTGGTCCTTGGAGTTATCGACAGAGTAGACACGGATGGTGTTCAGGCCCAATTCCTTGAAGTTCTTGATGTCACGCTTGCAACCATCAGCATCAGCGATAGGATCGCTGAGGTCGGAAGAACCACCGGGTTGGTAGTCGACACCGCGCATGTAGAAACGGTCGTTGCCCTTGAAGAAGGCATTACCCTTGACAGTGATGGGGGTGATATCGCTGTCGCGGGCCTTGAGGTTGGTTGCGGCACCGAGGACGGTCGAGGCGCCCAGGGTGATGGCCGTGGCCATGGAGGCGACGGAAGACTTCATTGTGAGAATAAGTGAAAAAGAGCGAAAATTGGGTATGAACGAGAGTGGGAAATAGATGCGCTCAGAGTATTAAAAGAGAGTGAACGACAGACTGAGAAACGAAAGTGAGGTCAGAAAGAATGAAAAGAAAGAGAAAAGGCAAGGGATGAAAGGGTTATGAGGCCAAGGCCCCTCCAAGCGGCAAAGGGCTGGGCTGTGCTACGCCAAGGGACCGGCAGGGTACTATGTACATTGGCTGTCTGCTTTGTCCTGATCAGCAAGGGTCATTATTACAGTGGATTTTATGTGGGGATGACCCTAAATCAATGGTTTTAATTGGTTGGTTTGGTCTGTTATTTATTTATGTGATTCTTTGGATCGTCAGGTTCCTTGGTATTTAACATCTGATGGAGGCACAGTACAGAGAATAGAGGTCTAAATGTACGGACATTTATACAATAGAGGTATGTATGACTATATCAACCCTTTTGAATGTATACCTATAATTCCCCATAATTCCACTAACACTAACTATATCCCCGAATTATCCTGCTGCCTCCATGAAACCCTGAGTGGACCCTAGCTTGGCAATGACGCGCTTTATGGGCAAGTCGATCGCACTTCAGGGGTCTTTGATTATTCTAAGGGTCTAAGGGGGTCAAAATTATAGGGGTTGAATATCAAACGCGTTCAAATTCTAGAATCCAATCAAAAAGTCAATTCGATCCTTGTCTTTTTATTATTCGCTAAATCAATTTGTCTCGGCGCCAACCCGCCTAGATACCCATGGCTCTCACTTTCAAACGGTCTATACATAGACCTGAGACACTCCTGGTACAACAATGCCAGATCGTCCCATGCATCAAACTGATGTATTATTTCTCGCTTACTTTGTACAACGCATTGCCGTGAGATGGTTGAATGTACATCATACATTGTACGCACTATAATAGTAACTTCGACCAAATCCATAAATCATGATAGATCCTGTAGATCTAACGCATATTCTAAATTTCCGACCGTCTCAACAATTCGGCATTCTTGCCATTGTCAGCTATACATAAACTCGATCCACCCCCAGACTTGACCGCTATGTTGTATATCTTTAGTGACCAACTCAGCTGCATCGGAATGAGCTTGAAGAATATTTTGAGTGTCCAGATGAACCTGAACCTTACCAAGACTGAGATAATTGGACTGCGACCGCAATATTTTTCTTTGCAATTGTCTTACCCGGGTATTTATAGTGGGACATTTTTTCACTGGGCTTTTTCACTGGGCTTTTCTGACTTGGGTGTTTATAACCGAGTATTCCACCGCCTTGTGTCCAGGCCATGTGCGACCCTGTGAACTGCAACCATGGAACCCCATCGTATTCGTATCTTCGGAAGACCCCGGGGCATCTCAAGAAAGTTATATATGAGACAACCCCACGGTGTACCACTGGCCGCAACTGTCGATATTGGCTCTTAAAACAGTCAGATTTATGTACACAATTAGAGCTACCCAAAACAATAACCGAGGTTTACACAGTACGACGCTTCTTCAATTGATCCGTTCCATGCAGCCAATCCAACAACCCCAACGATCCATAATTCAAATTGAACTTCTCGTGATGGAGATCATGCGCTCTGGCCTTGTGACAAAAGAAATCATATCCACTGTGAACCGTCGCGGTATTGACAAGCTCGTAAGCCAAGAATACCCAGAACGTCACAATGTGGCTCCCTAACAACTGCGGTGGGAGGGAGATGGGCAATGTATTAGCGAAGATGTGCTCAATCGGATGGGCGAACTGCGCAGCCAGCGCGATCGGAGCAGTGAATCGGTGATGCTTCTTATGGATGCGGACGTAGAGGTTGGGTATATGAAGGATTCGATGACTGTAATAGAACAAAGCTTCGCGCATCAACAGACTGAGAAAGACGTCCCGAAAGATCTCGACTGGACCTGGTAGAGAGGTTTCGATGCGATATGTTGATTTAAGGCCCGCGTAGCTGGCTACAGACAGCAATGTCAGATGAAGTATCGATGATATGACCTGGTTTTGTACTACGACCGTAAAACAGCGTGCGATCTCCCGACGGGTTGGCTGTTTGGGTGCCGGTTGGATCTTGTGGCGCTGGGAAAAAGAAGGCGCTATCACTTCGAGGAGCATATAGCATATTGATGGTAGCCAGAAGGTAAGCACCTGAATGAGAAATGTACCCACGAACTCGATTCTCTGAGGCGAATAGTTCGCCACGATGTGAGCCCAGGAGGCTGTGGCTCGGGGTAGAATCTGATCCAGAAAGCTTTTTGCAGTATCCATGGTAGTTTGCGCAGAAGAGGCTTTGTCTCAGAATTGACAGGATCTGGGGTCAATGTTAAATCTGTATTCTTCACGCTCTTGATATATCTGCCTCGGTTGGTTCCCCAGACTCTTTCCCCCGCACTCGGCATTGCTGCCAATGATCGTTCTGCTATATACCATGTGAAAAAAAAGCTTAAAGCTCGGGCATGTGTAACTCGTAAAAGCTCGCTGGAAGTGTTCAAAGGCAGAGGAATTTCATTCATTAAAAAAAAGGAAAACAACGTGGGAACATTAAGAGAGGAAGGGGCTATGAAGCCGTGAGGTTAAGAGCGGCCTGGTTGAGGAATTTAGGAATCTACACTGCAAAACAAGAGATCAACCCTCCAAGGTTGACATGAAGTTCCAGCGTCAGTTTTCAAAATAAAATATCCAAAGTACACACCGCGAGTTCCCCGGAGCGCCATCCCCGATATCTGGTCACCCCCAAGTATGTTCAGCTGCCTGGAACGCAGTCCGAGTTCTCTTCGCCAAAGCTACAGCATTTTCCGAGTTCCACAATCCCACCATCAAACTAACTCCAGTATGAAGGAGTGGGCCCGTCCGCATCGCAACTAGACGCACAGCGCAGAGCACAAGCAGAAGAGGTCAGCCGATTCTCAATGCCGAGTTAGTGGTCTACATCACCAGTGACCAAGCATTTTATTCTCGCCAGTGCAGGTCTAGGAAAATACGAGGTCTACTATAGCATTCGCACCACAGCGATAGGACAGACTGGTGCAAATCTCGAGGCCATCCGGTGCTCCTAAGAATAGTTCTCGATATGGGCAGACTCGTAAAAGCACTGTTTATATCTCGCCTAGACCGTTGCTTGGCCACGGGCCACATCGGTACTTTTTCACGCTGGTTGCTCTCACCTAATCGATCAATAGTAGCATGATGAGTCCATGCATAAGACCTAGTGACGATGCGAGAAAATGGAGTTGGCTCTCCTTTCGGGATTTGGTGATGCCCGCTTGCTGGGGTTGTGGCAGGGTTTGTTGTGGATTGTGGACTCACCTTTTTGAGTGCTGTCACATTGTTACAGTGATTGTTGAAGCTACGCATATATCAACTAATTCGGATAGGAGCTATACAATTATGGATTAGCCATCTCTGCCTTGTGGTATGAATCGCTTTGCACTCGATGGTATATCTTGAGCATTTCAATATGAACAATGTCATTGTCAATCGAATGAAATGGCTTTCGATATTCAAAAGCATGTGATAATAGTTTCTCTGCAGCATCACAAGCTTAGAAAGCTCAGGTACTTCCAAACTTCCTACAGTACGTAGCACAATTCATGTTCCACACACCCTATGTGGACTTATAATTGTGGAGAGAACTAGTCTAACGTGGTACGGCGTAGTTCCTACTACAACGTACCTCGGTCTTGGTGAATTAATCATTGATCTTGACTTGACAAGAGATTGAAAATAGCTGATCAGTTAGAAAGATGGTAATGTAATGCTACTACCTTATCCGAGTGTCTGCTTATGTAGGTACCATGTACGTCGTCGGTCGCTTATGAGCATAATCAGAGTCTTCCCTCGGCTCCCTGAACCATTGGCCGTGGCCCTGCAGACGGTCCCATAACAAATGCGACTATAATTTCAAGATCAACTAGAACACCCCTCTTCCCCACCGCCCGAATACAGGGCCAAGAGCAGAGTGTACACATCAAATCTAGACACAGTTCAACTGGGTGCAACATTGATCTCGCCGATAAACCCCCTCCTAAACAAATAAGATACTTGGGTTGGAGCTCTACCTCGCTATGCTTTGGGAATGACCTACTGCTAGGATCTCCATAGCCCCATATCATGTAGGGGAAAACTGTACCGCCACTAATGGAGTATGATGGATGCACCTGGGCCCTCGTAAAGTGATAGCTCACACACTGACAGGCTTGGAACCTGCATAGCCAATTTTATTTTTTCGGAGTTGACCAAAATAGGCTAATCTAAAATGCTCAGTCTACTCACAGATCATACAAGGGATGACTTCAGGGTTTATTGGCTTGTTAGTGGGGGTCGGGGGTTACTTATAAACAGTGCTCATGGACCAGGCAGAGGGAGATTCTGGGGGAATTTTATTAGCTGCCGTCGATCGGGACGTTTTTTTATTGGGATTGATAAAATGGTTGGTTTTTATCAGTCTTTCTTGGTCATTGCCTTGGGGGTTTTGGGTTCGGCAGGCGATTCCTCCTTACTCGATATCAACATCGACATTTCCCTGGCCGAGCGATTGTGTGGAACTCATAATACTGCTGTCCGGAAGGAATGGTTTGTATTTCCTGATTTTACTAGGGCCAATTGAGAACTAACATTACATAGGGGAGAGTTGAAGAAGGCTGAGCGGATCGACTATATTGATGCGGTATTGTGTATGCAAGGGAAGCCTCAACAACTTCCAAGAAAAGAGTACCCAGGAGTGCAGAACCGGTTCGACGATTTTGTGGCGTAGGTTTTATATATCCTCATCCTATATGTGACTGAATACTAACATAGGATACAGAACCCATATCAACTACACATTCAATGTCCACCTTAGTGGTCTGTTCCTTCCGTGGCACCGTCACTTCCTCTGGCTCTGGGAGACAGCCCTGCGAGACGAGTGTGGTTACTCTGGACATCTCCCGTAAGTGCCATTCATTTACTACCCCAAAACCATAATAACACGAACCACATGTGCAGGTATTGGAACTGGCCATTATGGTCAGAGAACCTAAAAGCCAGCCCTCTCTTCGACTGCAGCGACAGCTCCCTCTCCGGCGACGGAAACTATAACCCAGACGAACAAAGCCTCTCCGGTGGCGCAGTAACCATACCACGAGGATCAGGCGGCGGCTGTGTGCGCTGCGGACCCTTCAAAGACATGGAAATCCACATGGGACCATTTGACCGCAACATCGTCTCATTCGACAAACTTCCCGCCCCAGGCTTCGACTACAACCCGCGCTGTTTCAACCGAAGCCTGAATAATTTCGTCAGCAGCAACTACGATAACGAGACTATCGTCGACCGACTCCTGTCCGCGGCTAATATCTCCGATTTCCAGACCGTCATGGACTTTTGGCCCGCACGACCCGGCGGAGTGCTGGGCGTGCACGGCGGTGGGCATTTCAGCCTCGGAGCTACCCTCCAAGACCTGTTCACGTCGCCGCAAGACCCAGCTTTCATGCTTCACCATAGTATGATCGATCGGCTATGGAGTATGTGGCAGGCCAAGGATGAGGACCATCGTCGGTTCGCACTTAATGGTACGAATAGGCTCTCTAATCCGCCGGATGCGCCGCTTGTCACGGTCGATATGGAGATGGAATTCGGTGTTCTCGATCGGCCTCGACCGGTTGGCGAAGTTATGGATCCGACTAGATACCAGTATTGTTATTCATACACCTGAGGTACATTAAGTGAACCGGTGAAGTGTGAGTATGTTTGGGATATTTTATGCTGTAATAATTCATGATATAGAACCATGGAAGTTCCAGGGGAAGTACGAACCCCCCTTTCCCCTTTTCACCAAATGGAGTAAAAAAGCAATAGTGCATGACAACACGACTCTGACTATTTCCAAGGTTACTATTGTTAGCCCTGAGACCGGGCCAATGATAGGAGAGAATGGACTTTCTTACTTTTTTTTTTGTGGCACGGTTTACTACCCAAATCCAGATGATTACCATGTACTATGTACATAAGATCTAAAATAGTTCATCTATGTATATGTCAAGCCTTGTTTTGGGCCGATCCGAGACATTTAAGTGGCCGTGAAAAATCAGCCACGCCGATGATTTTCGGGATTGTCTTTTTACTAGTGTGGAAAATCAAGAAAAAGGCATAAGAAAAAAAAAATACGAAAAGAAATAAGAAATAAGAAAAAGATAGAATTGCCACTCTGGGACTTGTGTGGTTCCTTCCAGTCATCTTCCATCTTTCTTTAATAATCTCACCTGCTTTGTTGTTCTCCCCTCTCTTCGTCTTCACCCAACTCATCTTATCAGCAAGATCCCGCCGATCTTCAACCTACCATAATGTTGCGTATCAGCTTTCTTCAATTGCTCTTTGTGACACTGCTCGCTCTGTCTGCGGTCTTCGCAGCAGATGCGGTGGAGGGGACTTCGTCAAGTGAGTCTATCCAAGAAGCGTTTGCCGACATCAAGGCAGTCAAGCTCCATGATGCTCTGCATGCTTTCTCCGCCAAATTTCGTCATGGGATCTTCCCGACTGACCTTCAAGCCGCCGAGGCTTTGCAAGCTGAAGAACCCACTATTGCCAGCCTTATCAAGCTCGCCAAGCGTCAGGATAATGCCACTGCCTCAACCCCGGCCACAGTTCCTACTGTGACTACTGCCAGCACCGAATCAACCTCTGAGCCCGCCACCACCTCAGCTGCTGAGACCAGTGAGACCACCTCGGTCTCTAGCACTGAGCCGACTACCAGCGCTCAGCCAACCGTCACCTCGGCCACCTCGACTAGAGAGACCACCAGCGAGACCACCAGCGAGACCAGCTCTGCTAGCTCTGCATCTGTCCCCACTGAGACCTCCAGCACGGTCTCGACCCAGACTACTTCTCAGCCGACCACTTCCACTACTGCGTCTTCGACTGCTGAGACCACTCAGACCACTCAGACTACTCAGACTACTCAGACCACTACCAGTGTTCCTTCGACCCTGTCGACTACCCGGAGCACTTCGTCCACCTCGTCCACCTCAACCACGAGTGATCAATCAACTACCTCTACCCCCGCCACCAGATTGAGCACTTCCACCTTCGAGAGCACGACCACCTTGCCCGACGGCAGTCTGAGCACCATCACCTCTATCACGGTGATCACCCCATCGGCAACCGGCCAGGCCGCATCCGCAACCACCGCTGGCAAGCCCGGTCTGCAGACTAACGTCGCGGCGATGGCCACCGGTATGGCTCGTGAGGTCGTCGCCATCGTTGGTGGCGCCGTCGTGGTCGCAATGGCTCTGTAATTGATGATCAGTTTCGCTTTATCACCTACTTGCATCTTTATCTCTTTGAACGGCGTTTTTCAGCACATCGCATTGGCTCTGCATCTTCATGACATTCGTCATTGTACTATCTTTTCCGCATGACCCGTGACGACCCTACTTATGTCTCTCCTTATCTCCTGGACCTTCAATCCGGCATTCATTGTCTGCCTCATTTGACCTTTTATCGCGTTTTACACAGCGGCCTCGAACATTTACGGCGCGAAGCACACGCTAATATTCCATGTGATTAACTTTTAGTCCATGCTTACCCTTCACTTTGAGGATAATGCAAAAATTGTGCTTCATTATTAAACTCCTTAGCTTATTAACCGTAGCGATTCGTTGATTCGTATATGTAGTAGGCAAAAGGGTATCTGAGATGATCGGAATGTGCCCAGCGGTGCGGTATGTGTGGTCCGAATGTCTCAACTGGTTCGGAGAAACCATCGTCACCGTGCAAGATTCCAACCTTCTTCCAACCGCATCTCCTCGGTCAAGTACCGGATAACACTCTCATAACCAGCCATATCCCCTTTACGCAGCAGAACCGAGATCTCAACATTTAGCGGCGAATCCGGATTCGGATACGTCAACAGCCTCTGAATAGCCTTGAGTGTGGTCTCGAGAGTCATAGCCGGAGACCAATCGTCATCCAAGAGCGAAAAACAGATCGTGCCCTTCTCGAAGTCGATGTTCGGGTGGATTATCTTAGTCGCGAAGTGGATGGTCGGCGGCTTCTTGGGGTATTCTGGCGGGATTGCAATGCGAAGGCGCCAAAGTCCACCTGTTGCCGCGTTAGATTGACTGGAATGGCCGCTGCAGGGAAGTTGGGGTTCGTTAACTTACCCTCGTATGGCGTATCATCTGGCCCCTTCAATACGGCTTCCCAGAGTAGTAGGTCATCTTCCTCGACCGGTCGGAGGTACAGGTAGGTTTCATTTTCCGGTTCCTTAATAGAAGCCTTTAGCTCTTTCCTAAGCCGAGATAGCGCAGTGGCGGTAGAGGAGGCCGGGGACTGCATATGGAATGTGATAGATTGTATAGATTAAATGTGTATGTTGTAGTTGAAGTCCGCCCCCTCACGGAGTTGGGAAAGTCGGTCGGCACTGTGATCGCCGAGGTTGGGGAAATTCTGCCCGACCCACCCATGGATGATCGATCATTCTCTCACGTGAAATTGCTTTTGGACTTGCTCTCCTGATCCTGAGGTCATTTTCTGTGTTGTCTATTTTTTCAGTCTCTGTTAATCGATCATGCGCACTTCTCGCACTTCCAGGGACACCGCGAAGGTGCTGGAGGCAGTCTCACCCCCTATCCGACGACAAACGCGTAACTCCAATGCGAGCGCTCTAAAAGGTTTCGCCTACAACGCGAATGCAACTCCGACCGCCAAGACGGAGCCGGAGACAGAAGATGTCTCGATAACGTCCAGTCTGTGTGCCGTCAAAAGTGACGATGAATCTTCCCTTTCCGAGGCCGACACGGCCGATATCGAAGACCTCCTTGAACCGCCATCGAAGCGCCCAAAGCGTAATGCGAGCCCCCTAAATCCCCGAGCCCTCAAGCAAAGTGCAAGTCCTCGCATACCACGCAAAGTTATTGTGAAGGATGAGCCCGACCAAAAACCAACAGCGGCACCAAAACAAAGACGCCTCCCGGCCCGAACAACCCGCGAGATCGACGGCTCGGTTAAGGTCGAGCCCCCGTCCAACTGGGAGACAATGTACGAAATCGTGAAAAAGATGAGGGCAGCCAACCCGACTGCCCCGGTAGACACAATGGGCTGCGCGGAGCTATACTGGCGTGCCTCGTCACCAATAGACCGCCGATTCCAGACTCTCATCGCATTGATGCTCTCATCCCAGACGAAAGACACAGTCACAGCGGTAGCGATGCAACGCCTTCACACGGAACTCGGAGATGGCAATGTGCTGGCTGAAGATATCAAAATCAAACAAGAAGACGAGGATTCAAAACCTGTCGACAGTACCCTCAACCTAACCAACATCCTAGCGGTGGACCCAACGCGACTGAACGAACTAATCCGCACAGTCGGCTTCCACAACAATAAAACAAAATACATCAAAGCGACCGCGCTGATCCTGCGAGACCAGCATAACAGCGATATCCCCTCGACGCCAGAGGGCCTCATGGCGCTCCCCGGCGTAGGACCCAAAATGGCCTACTTGTGTTTGAGCGCGGCATGGGGCAAACACATGGGTATCGGTGTTGATGTCCACGTTCATCGCATTACCAATCTATGGGGCTGGAATAAAACCAAGACACCGGAAGAGACGAGGAAAGCGCTGCAGTCGTGGTTACCACTTGAAAAGTGGCATGAGATTAATAAGTTGCTTGTTGGACTTGGGCAGACGGTTTGTTTGCCTGTTAAGCGTCGCTGCGGAGATTGTGATCTGGCTGGCTTAAGGCTTTGCAAGAGTGAGATTCGGGGCCTTGAGCCGACAATGCTGAAAGTTAAGAAGAGTCCTGAGATTGATGAGCCGAAGGTCAAGATTGAGGCTGTTTGATTGGGACTTGTCTGCTGGTGTATTACTGGTTCAATTTATACAGTTCATCCTTCTCTGGATGGGATAATGTGGCGACAGCATATTCGCTTGATGCAATTTTCCTCTAATGGTCCGATGTGATCATGTTTCGAAGAAACGCCGGCCTCTCGAACCGTGGCTTTGAGCTTTGAACCACAACTCAATCATCGGATGGCGCATGGGCCAACTCCGCTAATCTTTTTTTGGTGCAACATCCCAAGATCCCTTTGTTTGGAAGATTGTGTCCAATTGGCCAGCCATGCTGTATTCCTGAATCATCGCTGCCGCCGTTGGCCCTCGGGCACAATTCTCGGCGCTTCGCCATCGCCTATCACAAGCCACAATACCCAAAAGACGAATGGTATCTGTTCCTCAACCAACTCCGGGCCTAGGACGGGGTTGATCTGGGTACTGACAATCCATCCTGCAATCCTGAACATTCTTCTTGTGCTTAATAGAATCAACCAACGAAAAGCATTAGCGGGATGGTTACATGTTCATACCTTTTTTCCTTAGAACGCTTCTAGTTAAAGACCGACTACAAATCTAATCTTGTCCTATATAGCCGTTGGGAGTTCTGTACCGTACCGCGCTTCTACGCGTGTCTACGCAGACGGTGCCAATACAGGTTCATCATGCATCTCGAGCCAATATCCAATTACTACCTATGAACTAGCTGACGCTCAACGCACTTTGTGTATCCGCTTCCATTCGCTACTTCGAATGGACTTCGATCCACCTGGAAGCATTCCAAATGCGAAGTGATAGGAGACTAATTCTAGAAAGTCGTAGCTAAAGATATTTGTTGGTAAAGAAAGTAATACACACCGGTTGTAGATATTCGTTATATATCCAAGTAGCATGCTAAATCCGACAGAGCATTGGAGGCGCATCCAAGCCAGTCCATTTTGCCATTGAATCAGGACGATAATCTGTTGAGACGCCGCGGCCTGACTTACAACAGCCTACTGGAGATCCTAGAAGTCTATGATTGTGGACACAAACTCCAGAGTGAACTGTAGAATACAGAGGATAGGACAAGTTGGAAGCTGATCTGAACCTCTTTCAGAATGTTAGAAATATATTGAAGGCAAGGTTTTGTCTTCACGTTCTAGTAAATCATTTCCCCTTCCAGTTGAGGGTTGTCGAGGTCCTAGAGGAGGGCGGCCAAGGCGGGGCGTGAAAGGGACGGAGAAATTTAGAAATTTATTTGGTGCTCTAGGTATTGGCTGTTGACTGTTGGTTTATCTCTTAGCCGGATGATATTGTTTATATTGGATGCTAGTACGCCCGTGGACAGCATTAAAGCCTGCAAATCCACAGCCAATCAAATCCCGATCTCGGAGATAAGCAACCTGAAGCTTCTTTATCCCCGGTCCCTCCCCGAACCAAGCTCCAACCATCAACCCGTGGAAGTCAATCGGCACCAACCAAACGGGGAAACTTCCAATCTATCTACGAGAGCACCCATTTACTCTCCAAATATCATAAACTCCAAGCTCCACACATCCCGCGCCGCCCAAAATGCCCCCTCCAACCCCGATCCCAATTCCCCGCTTCGCCTCAACCCAACTCACCCTCCTCCATGAAGAACACGCCGCCGAAGTCTCCTCCTCAAAACTCGCCAGTACAGCCGCATCAGTCTCCCCCGCGACCCGCCGAACCCTCCAAGCAACCGGCTACGCCCTAACCGGCCTCATCCTCTCACAATGCCGAACTGGTCTTGGCGGGCGCGTCGTCGGCGAGTTCGCCCCGGACCCAGCAGTCACATCAGAAGAGTCCCGGGCTGCAGATGGGACGCCTCGTCTCGGGTCGCATGGGATTCGCGTCGGGGATGTTGTAAGAGTTAGTGATGTTGTGGGGGCGGGGAAGAAGGCTGGCGGGAAAGACAAAGATAAGGAGAAGGAGAAAGATGAGAAGGGGGTCGAGGGCGTTGTTACGCGTACTGGTGATCGCGCTGTTTGGATTGCGTTTGGGCGCCAGGGTGGTGGGGGGATGTCGAAGGAGGATGATGAGGCTGTTGAGGAGCTTTGGGGGAAGAAAGTGTGGGCTATTAAGCTTGCTAATGATGTTACGTACAGGAGGTATGTTGGATGGAGTATTGGATTTGGATTTGGGATTGCTGGATGAGTTACTGACTTCAGACTAGGATGAGACAAACTATGGAGAAGATGGTCAAGATGATTGAGACTGAGTACTCTCATTTCATGCGCGTCGCGTTTGGGCATACGACGCCGTTGGAGCTGGATACTGAGGCTTGTGGACTTGTGGAGTTCACTGATCCCACGCTCAATGATTCACAGAAGGATGCTATTCGGTTTGCGCTGGCTTCGCGTGATATTGCTTTGATTCATGGCCCGCCCGGGACAGGAAAGACGCATACGCTTATTGAATTAATTTTGCAATTTGTTCAGCGGAAAAAGCGGGTTCTTGTCTGTGGACCATCGAACGTTTCTGTTGATAATATTGTGGAACGACTGGCTCCCAAGAAGGTTCCCGTTGTGCGTATCGGTCATCCGGCTCGTCTGCTTCCTTCTGTTCTTGAACATTCTCTTGAAGTTCTTACGCAGACCTCTGATGCTGGGGGTATTGTGAAGGATATTCGCAAGGAGATTGATGAAAAACAGGCTAGTATTCGCAAGACCCGGTCTGGTCGCGAACGACGAGGTATTTATGATGAGTTGAAGTTGCTCCGGAAGGAGTTCCGACAGCGCGAGTCTAAATGTGTGGATAACCTGGTGCGTGAGAGTAGCGTGGTATTGGCTACTCTTCACGGGGCTGGAGGCCACCAACTGAAGAATCAGAAGTTCGATGTTGTGATTATCGACGAGGCGAGTCAAGCCCTCGAAGCACAATGTTGGATTTCACTTCTAGGTGCAGAGAAGGTGGTCCTTGCCGGTGACCATCTGCAGTTACCACCGACCGTCAAATCTACTGGACAAAAGTCCAAGGATGAAGCCTCCAAGGGCGTCGATGGAAGGACAGACAGCGACACCGAGACATTAAGGGGTGTCTCTCTTGAACGCACATTATTCGATCGTTTATTAGCCCTGCATGGACCGGGGATCAAACGCATGTTAACCATCCAATATCGCATGCATGAGAAGATCATGCGCTTTCCTTCCGACGAGCTCTACGAGGGCAAGCTGATCGCCAGCGACGCGGTGAAAGCCCGTTTACTGATTGACCTACCATACGAAGTAGAGGGTACAGACGACACGCAGGAACCCCTGGTGTTCTGGGACACCCAAGGCGGGGATTTCCCCGAAAAGGCAGAGGATGAAATCAGCAAAAAGGGCGCCTTGCTTGGCGACAGCAAAAGCAACGAGATGGAAGCTCTGGTCGTTGCTAGACACGTGGACAATCTGATTGACGCGGGTGTTAGACCCGAGAGCATTGCCGTGATCACCCCTTACAACGGGCAATTGGCACTACTGTCGCGGATGCTACGAGAGAAATACCCTGGCCTTGAACTTGGCAGTGTGGATGGATTCCAGGGCCGCGAGAAAGAAGCCGTTGTGGTGAGTCTAGTGCGTAGTAATGGGGAACACGAAGTGGGTTTTCTTGGCGAGAAGCGACGATTAAACGGTATGTTTCCCCCCTTTTCTTGTTCCTGTACCCTGTACCCGCAAGGTATTCGATAATATTGCTAACTATGCTGCACGTAGTTGCCATGACGCGGCCCAAGCGGCATTTGTGCATTTGCGGAGACTCCGAGACGATCAGTCAGTAAGTGCGGGATGAACCATTGAGTTTAAGGGTTTAATGCTGATCGACATTCTTTTTTTTATTATTATTATAGTGGGAGTAGTTTTCTGAAGCAGTGGATGGATTTCCTGGAAGAACATGCTGACCTACGATACCCGGACGCTGGAGATTTGCTATAGACCTCGGGTCTTTTCGGTGTAGATCGAGAAGCCCCATTTGCTCTTGCTCGTTCCAGAACAATGTCGATCTCTTAGAAGCGGCATAGACGGGATACTATTCTCCAAGGTTAAATTTAGTCCCGGGTGCACGGTCTAAGGGATGAGCAGGGGGGGGGGAAGATGTAACTTAAACAACTCAAATACTTTTCACCCAAAGTCATTTAGGACATTGGGACACAAAGATAAGATATTTTGAAACGTCCAGTTAGACGATCATTTCTGCAATAAGGTGTCGGAGTTGCATTTCCCGAAACAGAATCGGGCGGCTTCTTTTCTTCCTTCCATTCCAGGAATGAGGGACGGCCATGACCGAGGGGTTGTGCTGGCACAAAAAAACATACGGTGGGCTTATGGACTAATGGACGAATGAGATGATGGGCTGCTGGACTTATGGGCTCATTGAAGTTGAAACTGTTGAAACTGTGTCGTGTCACTTGGGCTAGTGCGGATAATAGCATCGGTGTTTCAGAACATTCCACTTTCTTTCTTTTTCTATGTGGAAGGTTAAATAGAAAGTAGAAACTATCTATGCACAGAACACAGAACACAGACTATAGAGTACAAAATAGAAACAGACTAACCTCACTCTATCTTTGAATATCTGATTCCACTTTTCCCTCTTTGCTACGAAGTCGGCTGTGGTGTGAAGAACTCCCGGTGTGGGGATAATAGCTCTCTCTCCTCTCTCTCCCTCTCCTCTCCTCTCCTCTCCTCTCTCTCCCTAATCTCCAACTTCTCTCCCCTTTGTTTCTTCTCTCCCACTCACCCTTTGTCCTTTTTATTTTCTTTCTCTCTTTGTTTCTATTTCTTATGAGACTGGCAAACGGGAACAACCGTGATCATTATGTTCCTGATCATATCCGACACTGTATGTTCCGTTTGTACCACCTTGGTTCTTCAGCTAACATGCGTTTGATAGCTTTCCATAGTCTCAGTCGATTAAATCCAGCCTTTATTCGAATTCGTTGATTCCCTCTGATACCCTTCGATATTTATTTCCCGACACTCGCTTGAATCCTCTTTTTTTTTTCTTTCTTTTCTTTTGCGCCATATACCCATATTGCTTGTAATGATCAGAGTTGATATCTTACCCGTACCTTCTATGCCCACTATTTTTCGATTGCGACCTTCCATACCCCGTCGTCATGTCGAGACAACCACGATCCATAGCGAGCGCGGGCAGCGAGTCCATTGGGAGTATTCCACAGCGATCTTCTCCGCACGGAGAGCGCTCCGGCTCGAACCCTGCATCTTCCACGGGAGACAACGATGATACGGCGCTGCCATCAATGGAATTCCACTCACATTCCCACTCTCAGCCGTCTATTGCCCATCGCCGAACGGGAAGCACGTTGAAAACGGTCATGCGCAAGATCTTCAACCGCAAAAGACAAAGTCAAGCCGACGAACTGGAGGAGAACCCATCCGAATCCACTTTTGCGATGCCACCGATGCGAAAATCAGGACCAGCGAAAGGCAGACCGTTGTTGGCTGTTCCGCCTCCTTTGAATTTGAATTTACACCGAAGCAGTCCACTCTCGGCGGAGAACCTGCAGCTCGCTGGAACACATCTGTCTCCGATTATGTCTCCACTATCTCCTCTATCCTCTGCAACCTTGCGCGATTCAATGCCGGGTAGCATGCAGCCACGTCGAAGACGCGCAACTCTCCCTAGCGTGGTTTTCTCAGACGATGAATCTCGGTTTGCCGTGGCGTCAATAGCAATATCCGATCCGCAAGAGGATAGGAGCCATATCCTAAGAGCGCAGACACAGCTTGCTCTCCCACCGCCTATCAAGGAGCACGGATGCATTGCGCGAAATGACAGATAACATGCCAGAGATCATGACCTCTTGGCCACAGCGCACATCATCCGCGCCTAGGCCAGCCTCGGTTCCTGACTCGCAGTCCCCGCCATTAGATGAAAGCTCTAATAGTGGATATTCGGGGCGGCCCTCACCGGGAACAACAGTAACCAGTGTGACCCGAGTGTCCGCCGAACCATCCTTGATGGAAGTCGAGCAAACACCAGAACGACCCAGCCTCCCGTCGAACCTCGCAAGTCTAGTCAGCACAATGCAGCAAGATGACAGTGTCACCCTGGAACAGCGGTTGACCACACTCGAAGTGAAACTAATTGATTTGGAATTCGCTATTGCGCGAATGCAAACCAACGGCCCCGAAAATTCCACCGAAAAACCATCGCGCCCCCGACAGCCCCCTTCAGCAGACTCCTTCCCTCCTCACATGCGCAACAAACCCACCGCAAGCGACCGCGACGATTCCCCAAGCCCCCTCCCAAACATCTCCACCCGCCCCTCCAGCACAAGCACAATCCGCGCAGACACAATGGCCCCACGCACCCTCCGCCCCGCCCCATCAGCCTCATCCCTGTCCGACTACCACGGCGTCTCAATTGAGCAATACAGCACGCTAGTCACGCTCCTGCGTCGTGAACAAACAGCCCGCAGAAACCTCGAGACACAAGTCGGCAGTTTGCGCGATGACATTCGCGATCTGCAGCGCGCAGCTCTCGAGTCCATGCAGTCGGGTATAGGCATGAGCATGATGCAGCCCGCGTGTTCCACGGAGTCGCGACAGTTCCTGCGTTTCCGTCGCGCACTAGATGACTCTAATACCTCTCCGGCACTGAGGTCAGATGATAAGCGCACTGGTATTGAGGACACTGACTCCGATTGGGATCGGTCAGATATCTATTCCCGCGATGATCCCTTCGGTCCTCCGAAGTGGGAGCGTCAGCGGATTATCACTACCCCTATGATTTGAAATTTTTTTTTTTTTTTTTTCATGTTGCACAATATGCGACTTTTTCCACCATTTTCTTTCTAGCGGGTTTCACATTTTTTTCTCCATATATTCTAGACTGCCTAAACGGGTAGGTACCCCAGGCTTGTCGATTCTTATACACATGTCAATGAGCCCATTTCGGGTTCCCAGGGGCATCCTCGCGACAGGATCGCGACTTCGACCAAGGTCACCGCGCTGAGATATATGTCCAGTACATGTCCATTCTCTCGTCTCATGGAATGGGACAGACATGACAGATTAGAGTTGCACACGCAAACGCACGATTTGTGGCGGTTGGCGCTATCTCGTACCCTTCCAACTTTAATGTCAATATATACTTGTCCCTCCAAGATGATCCCTGTAGAGACCCTGGATACCAATACGTACCTTATCCATGCTGTTCATTTCTTGGCAAACTCCACGCACGCCGCTAACAGTGCAGGGTGAGGACCAGCACCACCACGGGTTGTCCGATAGCCCACTTCCCTGACGCCTGTTCAATCCCCCATCTTCCGTTCCAAAAGTCCCGTATTCAAAGGGTTGTACCCCTCTGCCTGACTCCCCGACGTCGGACATACAGTCATTGTCATACTAATCACCGAGGTTCCACACCACCACATACGCCCATGTGGCTGCTTGATACGTGCATGCACTACGACTCCCAACCTTACCGACATACAATCTTGAAAGTACCTGACAAATAGAACCAACCCAAAAGAAAACTATTTAAACTCCAATCCCAACGACCAATCCCATTTCCATCTCAATCCCTATGCCAGTGCTCCAACATGTCACCCAAACCAACAATAACAATAATCGGCGGCGGAATAGGCGGCCTAACACTCGCAGCAGGTTTACACCTCCGTAAAATCCCCGTCCAAATCTACGAAGCAGCCCCAACCTTCAAAGAAATCGGCCTAGGAATCTCCCTAGGCCCAGCAGCCTACCGCGCAATGCCCCTAATCCACCCCTCAATCCAACAAATCTACAACTCACTCATAACAACCCACGCAGACAGTCCAGGCTACGAAGAATACCTTCAAACCTGGTTCGAGCTTGTCTGGGCAACAGGCGCACAAGAAGGAGACGTTCTAATGAATCTAAAAGCCTTACCATCCGGCCAGACGGCGTTGCGGAGAGCGGATTTCTTAAATGCGCTTGTTGAACTTGTCCCCCCACAGATCGTGCATTTCCGGAAGAGGTTGAGTAGCCTTGTTGAGAATGAGAATGGCGTTGTGTTGGGGTTTGAGGATGGGGAGGTTGTTATTGCTGATGTTGTTGTTGGTTGTGATGGCATTCGGTCGAGGGTTAAGGAGTGTATGATTCCCGTTGAATCGTTCCGAACGAGGCCGGTTTATAGTGGTATGTATGGGTATCGGGCTGTTTTGGAGATGGGGGATATGATTGAGGCGGTTGGGGAGAAGAGGGCGCGCGTTGCGACGATCTATGTTGGACGGGGGGCTTACGCCCTTTCGTATCCTATTATGCGGGCTCGGTTGGTTAATGTTGGGATCTATGTTTTGAGTAATGAGGATTGGGAATATGATTCTTGGGTTAGGCCTGCGAGGAGGGAGGATATTGAACGGGATACGAGGGATATGGGGCGGTATGTGAAGGCTCTAGTTGAGGTATGTTTTTGATCTTGTTTAGGGTTGAGGTGCTTTTGCTGGGTACTGGATTACTTACCTTGTTTCTCAGCGCATGCCCGACCCTTCTCAATGGGCCATCTTCGAACATCCCCATATCTCAACCTACACTCGCTCTAAGGTAGCGATTCTCGGCGATGCCGCACATGCATCTACGCCACACCAGGGTGCCGGCGCTGGTCAGGCTATTGAGGATGCTCATGTGCTCGCGGAACTACTGACTGATTCCCGTGTTAACTCTGTTGACGATGTTGTTGCGGCTTTGAAGGCATACGATGATATTCGTCGGCCTCGGAGCCAGAGGGTTGTCACTAGCAGTAAGGAGAATGCGGATATCTTTTGTCTGTGTTTTGATGGGGTTCGTGATGATCCGGTGAAACTGAGGGAAACGCTTAATCAACGTCTGAAGTGGCTTTGGGATTTGGATGTACAGGATCAGGTTGAGCGTGCCAGGGAGAAGATGGTTGAGTATTTGGAGATACCGGTAACGGACAAGGATTGACCACAGCGAATTACTGAAATATTCACTTGGATGAACCGTTGTATAAAAGGACAGTTGATGCCTTCCCATGAGCTTGGCAGAGTCCGTCTCCGTGTAGCTCCATGGTATTTGAGCCAACACCGCCACATGTTGTGCTCTGGAACCATTAAATATTGACTCGGCGAAGGAAATACACATTGGGCCTCAATTGAAATAAACATTGATGCCCCTTTGAAATATAAGAACTCTGAACGTCCAAGCCTGCTTGCTAGTCAATTTGAAAATTTCCGTTAGGCAACTGTGACATCCGGCGCATAGTTGTTCTAGATCTGGGATCGATCAACATGCATCCTTAAGCTTGGCATCGTGGCTTATTGCATCTCCATGGGGGCCGGCGCACGATATTTCCCGATTGGGTTATGGATCACCCGCCAAGAGCAGCGTTAGCACTTATTATACGTCAACATCGATTTTCATTTGCAGTTATTCAGACACCGCCGTGTTGCCTTCCCGTATGCAACAATGACAGCTAATTCCTGCGGTGGGCTTTATTTCAGCCCGATTCCATGACGTCTTCGGCGTTCTAGAGATGAATATATAACTAGACTATGTCAGTCGAATTATTCTGCTTTATTCACGCACGAACTCCACGCAACACAACCCACCGAAGCAAGATGTACTTAACAGCTTGGATCCCGCTTTTGCTCCCACTTCTTAGAACCAGCGAAGCATCAAACCCGGATCTCAATTTCTTCAATCGCCGCCAACTCCCCGATGAACCTACTGGCGTCAAGACTATCCAGACTGGAAACAATGTTACTATTCGCTACAAGGAGCCTGGTATCTGCGAGACTACCAAAGGCGTCAAGTCGTATTCGGGCTATGTGGATCTTGCGCCAGACTCGCATACATTCTTCTGGTTCTTTGAGGCCCGACATGATCCAGAGAATGCACCGATTACCCTGTGGCTTAATGGGGGACCTGGTAGTGACTCTTTGGTTGGATTGTTCCAAGGTATGTTATACTTGAATAGACGGGGAAACTAAGCTAATCGAGTATAGAACTAGGACCATGTTTTATCAATGAGGAGCTGGAGACATACCTTAATCCTCACTCGTGGAATGAGCTTTCAAACGTTCTCTTTATATCCCAGCCCGTTGGTGTCGGTATGATCCCTATTCCCTGTTTATATCTCGACGGATCAATTTGCTAACGTTGGCATACAGGCTTCTCGTACGCTGAGAAAGCACCCGGCTCCTTTGACCCTATCACTAGGTCTTATCAGAATGCTTCTTATGGGAATGTTGTCGGCCGTTACCCCGTGATAGACCCCTCGGATATTAGTAAGTGATCCAGTTTCGATGCACTGATCCGCTATCTAATATTGTGAAGCTACGACCGATCTCGCCGCCAAAGCCACTTGGGAAGTAGTTCAAGGATTCCTTTCCGGCCTACCAAAAATTGACTCAAAGATCAACTCGCGAAGCTTCAATCTCTGGACTGAGAGCTATGGCGGGTAAGTTTATCTTTGAAAGTATAAGAAGATCCTGATCTAACATCCCTTTTGTTGTGTTTAGACATTGGGGTCCTGCTGTAAGTGCTACCAACTTGGAATGATACTTTATTCATCTGACTAGTATAGTTTTTTGATCACTTCTATGAAGAAAACCAGAAGATTGCAAACGGTACTATCGATGGTGTTCAACTCGAGTTCAATACCCTTGGAATCATCAATGGTCTCATTGACCTAGGTATCCAATCGAATTTCTATCCCGAATTTGCCGTCAACAACACCTATGGGATTCAAAGCGTAAGGGCTTATCTCGTTCAAGTGAGACAAAGGCTTACACAAAACTCATACGCAGGTCAACGATACGGTATACAACTACATGAAATTCGCCAATGAAATGCCCAAGGGCTGCCAGACTTTGATAGCACTGTGCAGAGCTACGAAACGAATTTCAACCGCAGACCTCTCGCTTTGTTCGGAGGCTACAAACATGTGTCGCGATAACGTGGGTATGTTTCAATTCATATCCCTCTTTTCTTTCTTATCATAGTTTTCTCACACCTTCCTACAGAGGGCCCATACCATGTCCTCAGCGGCCGCGGAAGCTACGATATCCGTCACCCGACCAACGACCCAATCCCTCCAAAATACTACCTCGAATACCTCAACCAAGCTTCCATATTAGACGCCATCGGTGTCGACGTAAACTACACCAACTCCAACGCCGATATCCTCTACGGATTCACACAAACCGGAGACTTTGCATACCCCAACTTCCTTGAAGACCTAGAAGTCCTCCTATCACGACCTATACGCGTTGCACTAATCTACGGCGACGCAGACTATGCCTGTAATTGGTTTGGTGGCGAGGCAATCTCCCTTGAGACGGAATACGAATATTCTAAACAGTTCCGCTCCGCTGGATACACACCCTTTGTTGTGGATGGGAAAGAGTACGGTGTGACTCGTGAATATGGCAATTTCTCGTTTACTGGCGTCTACGATGCGGGTCAAATGGTGCCGTTTTATCATCCTGCAGCATCTTTGCAGCTTTTTAATCGCACTTTGAATGGTTGGGAGATTGCGGCTGGTGAGGAGAAGATTAGGCCGGATGCTGGGAGCCATGGTCCGGCTAGTGCTATGCATACGCAGTCTTCCGTGGCGCTTCCTTCTTCGACGGTAAGGCCTTCGGCTTCGGCTTCGGTGGCGAGGCGGCGGTGGTCTTGAGTGGTTTGTTCAAACGGATTTGTCTGTTTTGTGGTTGGGAAGAATTCAGTACAGTATTGTGTTGGAATGCAATATCTTATGAAGAATACTTACTTCTAATTGATATCTGGAATAGATAAGAACCAGATTTCTTGCTCAAATCGAAGATCAACCTAGGCTATACAATGATAGACAGTGGCTTATACGACCTAGGTCCTTGATGACGCAAATTGTTAATGATAGCTCTAGTCTTTCTGGTTACTGACGAGAGGATGATTTACTTCAATCTTTGAAGAAAATGGAGATGAAGATCTAAGCTTTTGCTGGTTATATTAGGTTCGAAAATATGCAAGGTGATCATTTATGCCAATAAACTTTAAAGAAATGAAAAAGAGATTCTCAGCCTCCAAGCACCACTGGTGGCTGTAGTTGTAGTCTCAGAGGCAGACCAAACCGGCGCGGCGGTTATCACCGCAGCAGTTGGTGCTTATTTAGTTGGGAGGGTTTGTCGAACTTGCGCTCGTGCTAACGGAGTTTACACATCGCTTCCATCGTCGCCGCATTGAATGACAGTTTCCCAACCACCAGCAAAGGTATCCTCCCAGTATGAGGATTGGTTACCAAGAGAAAAGTAGCTAAAGAAATATGCCGATCCAGGTTGCTCGTGGGCGTTTTGGAAAAACTTGACCGCACACTTGTCGCTACATTGGAAGTCGGTTGTGGCCCAATCGTCGCTTTTGGGATAGGTCAAGTAGCAGTAATCAGACCTGCGGAAAGAAAGCATAAGCACGTACAGCCTGAACAAACCACTTTGTGAATTCACCCGCTTTTAGGGCAACTTTGGCCGTATTTGTACTGAAAGACCTCGCCGACGGTGGCCACGGGAGCCTGGTAAATATACTTGTTCCCGCTGGAAACCCCGGCTAGATCGCCGTCTTTGTCACATGCGGCATTGATCTTCTCGATATACTGGGATAATGCCTCACTGCACGTTGTGGTGCATATAGCCTGCAAGTCCGAATATTGCGGGTCGAAGTCAGGATCCATAGATGCCACAATCTTGAGGAGGGTTTCATCATAGTTGATACTGGGGCTATAGGCGTCCTTGCAAACTTGTGAGGTCGTGTTTGCTAGATCCTTGGTTGTATAGTCCCAACTAGGACCAGCAGTGTTGAGATTGAAGGTAGCGAGTCACCTGGCCCAAAGCAGCGGACAACGCGAAGAGGCGAAGGATGGTGCGGGCCATTTTGCTAAGAATTGAGAAAGAGCGACAAGAACAGTCGAAGTAAATTACCCTTGGAATAATGGCAGATGAAAGGCGAATCAGTGTGTCTTCGACAGAGGGAAAAAAAAAAAAAAAAAGTATGGAGCTAATAGATGGCCCCCGAAATTTCAGGGGCACTACCAAAAACTTAAGCCTCAAGACACGTAAAATCTAAAAGGGGTTGTATATCGGGGCCACATTATTATATGTGAGTTGATGCCTGAGAACAATAAATTACACATCATGCGCCGACGCTTTAACATCACAAGAATCTTGGAGTGTAACAACTACGACAGGATTAAAGTCAATGTCTGATGTGGTGATCCAGTTGCGTAACTCTCCTCCAAGACTGGCCCACATTGGGAGCTCATGTTCTCACAGAGGGCCCATTCATATGAGGCGACTCCAGAATAGGTATCCTACCAAATAGGATCAATATTGGCTTCTTGTATGAGCCAACCTCCGAAGTTCACGCCATTCGCTTTGAAGGTCTTCCTATTAATGTAATCTGAGGGCTCTACCTGACGGCTCGGTTTGTCCCAAGCTCGAGAAGCAAAAGTGACACAAGAGCAACTGTCTTCCAAAGCATGAAGGAGTGGTAGCAAGGAAAGCAAAATGATACTGTTGTTGAGTTCTTTCATAAAATTTCCGCACGGGATCGAGACTTTATATCTCACAGGCCTCCATGTTTACCAGACTACCGAGTTTAGGGCCTATCTGTGTAGGGTCCACCCCACAAGTTTCAAAGTTCTCAATCGAGCATGGTATGGGTTACATCTAAGTTGGTTGTTCATCGCAATCCTAAGTAGTTTCCGGTTATCGTAAGTTTATCTTTCGAAACTCTATATTTTCTTCGTGATTATCTTTTTGAAGTTCGGGATATAGATCTCAAAAACCAGGGAATCTGGTTCACTGATCAAGAAAGATCGAGAGATCAACACCAACCCTACGATGTGGACAACAGAGATTGCGGGGGAATAGACTGGTTGGAGTTTTAAGAGATTGCAGCAGAACTAAAGTGCTAATTTCTCCATACTCCCACTGCCATTCTGATTGCCTTGAGAATGCACTCTAGCCCCTTTATTTGAAAACTAGTGCGGGCCCCCTCGCGCTGACCTAAACCGAAACCGCATCGCTGTAATATCCTGACACTCTGAGATCAGCACTACCCCCCATGGATCAGGTAGAGATATTATGGCTTCATAGTTCATTGTCATTTTACGATAAACTAAGACTCAGATCTCTGGATTTTCAAGATAGATGTTGATATATGCGAGACAACAAGGCTCCGTCCAAGGTTAATCTTTGATTTCCTCTGTCCAAAATCGGACAGACGTTTCACCGCAGCCCTTGATTTGGTACGACCTGCCCAATAAAAGGCCCACCCATACTAGGGACTTGGCGGTAGGTCTCGGAAAGAGTTTCTTATGTGATATCAAGCCAATATCGAGACTGTATATTGCAAGGAGCGAGACTTATTTCAGCGCTAGCTATGGAACAATCCGCATATCAAAGCTATCTTGTCGTGGAGTTCCCGACCCGAAGAATTCCTAACTGACCCTTCCAACCATGCTCGGCTTTGGCCACTTGGTCCCTAGGTCTCTCCAGAACAATGCGTATAGTATTAATGGTTTCCGACTGTATTGGCTTTGGAGAAAGAAACTCGGCACTTTGCTTTTTACTGCCTCGGGTGTCAAAAGATAGCGTGCGCACCCGCACCCTGCAGGGATATTCTTAGATGCATACGACTGTTCATGAGTTTTGACTCTCCACGGCCCCATATCTCCTCATAAAAGTGGGGTCATGGGAGTGGAGCACCCCACACCATCTCTTGGCACTCCCAGGGGAATCTATACTACAGTAAACCGGTTATAACGAACCCGGGTTTAACGAATACCTGGTTTTAACGAAGTAATACCGGCCCACCAATTAATCCGCCATAGTAATAACGAAATCCCCCCCTTACTACGAACTTCGTTAATTCACTATTCCCCCTATACTAAATTCGTTAAAACGAGGTTCTATTATATCATTTTTAACCAATCAAAATGCCTCGCCGATCAATCCTTATCTCCTAGAAAGTAGCACTACGAGAGTACTGCCGAAGCAACCCTCAGTTCTCTAGTAAACAGCTCAATCAATAGTTTTACGAAGCCTATAATCATCGCCTATCTCCCTCTATAATATCTAAGATCCTTTCCTCCCGATATAATCATCTTAACGCCGACCTCTTAAAGTATCAATCTAATACTAAACGCTCCCGAATTGCTAAGTGGCTAGATCTCGAAAAAGCCCTAATCTATTAGGTCAAACTCGCCGAAAGCCATATTCCTATAACCCAATTGATAAGATTATAGACGATGATTTAGGTATAACTGATCATATTTTACTTAGTAAGTTCCCTCTAGAGATTGATAAGGTTGAAATTAAGGTTGAAGCGGTCTAGATTCTATATGATAAAGCTATTTAGGCATTAAATACGCTTTGTCTATATAGAGAGTAGTAGGATTAAGGTAAAGCGCATTTAATTAGCGCGCTTTATAAGCATAGAAAATTGGTAGAAGCGAAGAAAGTAGGGGGGAGGAAGCAGAGTGATATTAGGGACGTTTTTAGAGTATGAATTTGTATATAAACCAGAAATATATGTTTATTATATGGTACCTGGATTTAACGAATATTTTACCGTGTTTCATTTAATTCGTTATAAATAGGTTTTACTGTACTAGATTATTTCCCCCGTTTTCAAGTTTTCAAGGAAAGTGAGGCTCGAGCACGAGTTTAGCTATTAGCTTTCGGCATCGGGCTCTGTTGAGCATGGGGTTACAAAGACGGATGCCAAAGCGCCGAACACCGACGGCGACAATCAGATCCTTGAACTATATAAATAGGCTAGGGTAATTCAATATCCGGGAGGTTCAATGCCCCCGCTTTTAAATGAAAATTAACCTCTGATGCCGCTCTGGCCCCACTGGAGGCATTGGGTAATTGAGTCGGCACGGCGAACAATTGTAGTCTACCGTTATGTCGCTGAGTCAGCGGAATGAAGACGAATTCGGCAAGTGAGCGACAAATTATGTGGGCCAAAGGCATTCAATGACTTGAAGGACAAATTACGGATACTTCAAACTTGCCGGTGAATATATCTACCGGCTCACAAGTCCCGATCAAGGCAGAATCCGGCTAAATTCCGGCTTCTGTGGCCCCTTCTACAATTTTATAGAGCACACCTTACCCCCCTAAATGTGACCAATTTGTCTGCAATAGAATTCACCATGTACTTTCTCTTGGTCGTTTTTATAACCGTCGCTGCTGGAATTTCCCATGGCCGACCTTCAACCGCTCCGAACAAACTCAGCACGTCATCAGTTCCCGATCTCTATGTTGAAAACGCCCCCGACTATCTTCGACCATATGTGATTCCGCACTATGCGAACTCTCACGCAGTCTCCGTTGGCAGCCAAGTATACAGATTCATGGTAACGGGTCCGTCCTCCGACTATGCCTTCACTCTGATGGGCACAAACGCTCCTGTGAGCGCAGAACTGGGTGTCCTACCGCATATCCACCAGAGATACTATGAAAACTTCTACAACTTGAAGGGCCGTTTTCAACTGTGGGCAGATAAAGGAAATAGTGGACAACAAGCTCGTCTTTTGTCTCAAGGCGATTATGGCTCGGTACCTCGTAATACGACCCATACCTTTCAAGTATTGGATCCAGATACCGAGATTATCGGTACTATTGTTCCCGGAGGCTTCGAGTGAGTACCAACCCTTGACGGCGTATTCCCTAGTTGGGAAAATAAGTCAGTAGTGAAACTCGAATTTGACACTTGAGTAGGGACTTGTTCTACGCACTAGGCACTAATTTTACTTCATCCACAAACACTCCTTATGTTCCGGCAGCTATCAATGCTTCAACCTCTGGCGGCAGCGATCCTAGTACCATCTCCGCCCTTCAGCAGTTTGACGTCTATGCGCAACTGGATTTCGCCCCTCGCCGCGATTTGATTAATGGAACCGCGCCGTCTGGCACAGACTGGCACACCGGCTCTAACTCTCTGGGAGCTCCCGCTACACCATATTTCATCGCCAATGGGTACGGGTCAAAGTATCTCAACTCTCGATATGGATACCAAATTGTACAGCCGCTTGTCACACCCACCCAGGCCCAGGATCTCAATTTCACTCAGTCCACGATCACGATATCCAGGTTGCAAAGCAATATCACAGTACCAGTTTACCGCCAGTCTGGTTCCAGCGCGTTTCAGGTTATTGAAGGAATCCTGAAAATAAAAATCGGGGACTATCCAACTGCAATCTTGACCTCGGGTGATGTGGCATTCATACCCGGAAACGTGTCTTATAGCTACTGGAGCGATGTCTTCTTCACCAAGGTACTCTATGTGAGCCGTGGAATTGATGGATTGGACCAGAAGCTGATCAAAGGCGGTAAACACTGGGACTTCGTTACATTTCCCAAGGACTGAGCAAGGTGGGATAGAGGAAGGTAGAATGGGCTAGTGCAAGCGAGGAGAGTTTGGGATTCCGGTCGACCCTTTCGTCGAAACATTTGGCCTGTCACGATCTTCATTGTCACATGCTTTGCTTTCTTTCTTTCTGTATTTATTTGTTTGAATTATCAGCAACGGTACTCTGTATAAACATTTCTAGGTCATACTATTCCCACTTTATCCAAGATAGTGTCCCCAGCTATATGTTTGCGAAATGCCGTGACTATCCTGGCAGATCTTCGACTGAGACGAAACATGTGAGCATTGGAGCACCAACGGGCCGAGATGCCCTGGTGATAAGGGGATGCATGTGCTCGCAGGTGCGTTCAGGGGAGATCGCGAGAGAGCTCAGGGGGTATTGTAATCCATAGCGTCCACTGGGGATTTGGGTGCTATTAATTAGCCTCTAGGATTGGCCGCTCATATCTTCGCTTTATTTGATTATATGGTTCAGTTTATCAACGTGGCAGGACGTTCTAAAGACCCATAGTGACGTGGTCATTTAAATAGAAGCAGAGTGTTCAGTCGTTTTTACACAGGGCCTGTGGAATTGACGCCAGAAACGGCCGCCTTTCTTGTTTTCACTGACGACCAAAACGACGCCGAAATGGCTCCTTTCTGCGACCAAATCCAATTCCCCTTCCATTTCACCCAGCTTGATCGTGTGCTTATAAGAAGCTGCGTCTTCCCTCTCTTCCGGTGTCATTGTACACCCCGATTCTCGCTCCTCATCCCCATTGCCCTCGCCCTAAGCCAACCTTGATGTTTCCTACACCGAAATCTTGCATTCTGGTCTTGATTCCTGGCCGTTCCATGGCACATGTATAAAGCAAGTGGTAAAATAAGTGTATATGATATTATTCTCCTGTAAGATACTTGTACTAGATAAAAACTGGAAACAAATGAATAATTATTTCACTTCGCAGAAACTGCCGAGTGAGCCCTAGAAATTAGGAAGTCTTTTCCCTTGACCTTCTTAACCATGGCATTCCAAGGTGTCCAGCCCATGATCAACCCAGTACCGCCCATTGAACCGACCGGCACCAACATCATAACCTTATCGCCTTGGTCGTATGATTTGACTTTCCCTTGGCGCACAATGTCTGCCTTCAGGTTAGCAGCAACAACCGCTGCCTGCTCCTGTGCTTTGAATGACAACCTCATCGAGTTGTTGGTGATATCGCCCGCTGCAAAAATCGGCAAACGAGCCGCTGATCCGCGCCGTGACTTGACTCGAAGCTCCTTGTCGACGATCACCCATCCATTCTCGTCCAAGAGGTTCTCCGGGATGAAATCGTTGTTCGGCAAAACACCGGTTGTGGGGATGTACAAGTCAACATCCAACTTTTGTCCCTCGCTAAGCGTCACTGTCCAGAGGGATTCTTTGTTTTGCACGGCTGCGGCGACTTTCTGATTCTTCACGATTTTAACTCCCAACCCATTAAGGAGCTTCTCGGCCGTAGCGCTGCCTGCGGGCTTCAGCATCGGCAAGATGCGATTAGAGGCGGACACAAGAGTAATGCTAACTCTTCTGCCGCTCTGCCGGGCAGACTCTGCTATTTCTCCCGCAAGTTCGACCCCAATGGGCCCAGCACCAGCAATGACAATGCTTTCAGCAATACTGATGGTGTCTTGTGCATTGTGAATCAGGGTCTTCATGTCATCTGAGTTGGACTGCTTGAATGGGATGGGAATGGCGTTCTTCTGACTGGTAGAGGCAGTTGTGCTTCCTGATGCAATCACAAGGTAATCAAAGTGGATGTTCCTGGTGTCATCAAGGGAGACTGTTTTTGTCGAGACATCGATTGCTGAGGCGCGGCCTTGGATGAATTCGAAAGATTTCGTTGGGTACCGGCTGAACTCCTTTTCGATTGGAATAAGGTATTGTTCAGATTTGAAGGCATCCCGCTTAGCGAGAATTCGGGGGGCAGCAATGGCAAAGTAGAAGGTTGGCGAAGGATTGATCAGGGTGACTTTGACAGTTGGGATATCTTTCAGAAGGGAATGAGCAATCGGAATACCGGCGAAAGATGCCCCGACGATGACGACATGGACCTGGGAGGCCATCTGGTAAAAGGGCAAGAAAAGTTCAGAAGGATTAAGAACAATGTGTAGGATAAGGTCAAGCAAAAGGAATATGAATGTAATTATATAGATGGAAATGTATACTGTCTCCAGCACCGTAGACTATATTTATACTCATCGTATTATATTGATGCTAGGATTTTCATTTCCAAATCAGTAATCTAAATATTGGTAATGTTTAGTTAATCTATTTTCTTTTTTCTAAAAGTGTTAACTAGGAATGTACCTAGTTAGGGTTAGTCAGGGTCTTGGTTGACAAATGCGATGTAAAATCCGGAAGCAAAATAAACTTTTTTAGGGTCTTCGGGACCCACCTTAGTAACAAGTTGGTAATCTCATCTCATCAAACCTCGAGGTAGTGCGCCAAATATATTAGTATGTAATCATTTTCTAATTGATTGTAACACTAATGAACAACGCAAGGTTAGAGAACCACGTACATATATAGACGGTTAATATTCTGCTATCAACGAAAGCCAATACGACCGAAGTAACTAGTCGTCGCTATGCGTGCAATAGTCGACTTAGGCTATATAATAAAATCATGGTCTTGAACACCATATTTTTCTATCAATCCAAAACTATCTTCGACATATTATCGGCGCGGAGTCCAGAATGCTATACCTTTTTGATCACCAAAAAATTGCTTGCAGGCCAGATCAATGCCGATATAAAGATTATTGAATGCGCGAACTGCACAAATGGTGCGCAGAGCAATGTCAGAATGATATGCAAAACCAAGGAACCCAGAGGGGTGTCACCAAGGTGTAAGTCCTGGAGCACACTACCCACAATAAGGCCATTCGTGTCCACAACGATATTGTATAGATTCCACACAAAGAACCAATGCGAAACGGATATATTCCAGCCGCTGACTAATGTATATAAATTGCTAAATTTGGTGGATATCAGTGTCAGAACCTGCAAGACCCTTCGAAATACTTACAGACTTCCATAAGCTAACGGTCCCATCATAGGGATTGCGAGAGCCAATTTAACCAGCCAGCTATCCATAGACATGATCCCCGTGTACCACCTCCTACGTTGCCTAATCAAGTCTGAAACGCTAACGGGAGGTTGTTCTCGTGCGATTGCGTGAATCCAGCCAAACTTGACTCCCCGGCGGGCGGCCTGCTCGGTCAGATATTTTAAATTAGCAACTGGCTTGTTGATGTAATCAGATCACATACGTGGAATGCAAACCAAAAGTCTTCAGCAAGACACCCAGTATCCCAGGTTACCTTGTTCTCTACGGCACCATTGATCAATATAAAGGAGCCATGCATCCAGCCAAGTAGCGGACGTTTGAAAAGTCGGATTGGAAGTTGGAAACGGCCAAAGTCCTCAGCCACCCTGAAAACCTCAGCAGTGGTCAAGAATGGATTTTTCCAATAATTATGCGATGTGTAGTAGATTGTTCCCTGTACATGTTTTAGTGTTGTGTAAGATAATAATTCAAGCGGAACATATACCATTCCAACGTCCTCTGTTCCTCGCTCAATAAAGTCAAGGCATGCTTGTACCAGATACTCGTCGATCTCAGTTTCTTCGTCCAGATGAAGTACCCAATCAAGCTTGGATAGTTTCCAATGCAGGCGACACCATTCCAATGCCCGTGCTTTATATTTCGCATGGGCCGGTTGAAACGAGGCTGGTACACTCACCACATTGACAAAATCAGGAAGTGCTGCCTGGAAATTATCATTGGTGGAATCTAACGCCACGTGAAAAGTGATGTTCTGATATTTTCTGCAATTTTGCCATGGTCTGATAGAGCTTATTACGGTCTATCACTAATGTATGAGCTTTGATATAGTACGCAAGGCTGTTAAGGGGAGAAGAGAGGTAGCTTACCTGAACATTTGTTCCCTTCGTAACTAAGCATACTTTGAGTTCACGGAAATAACGTCCCTTGGGTGACTCTTTATATGCAAAAGGCCGCATTGGTAGACAAAGACCCCATAAGATCGAGTATGGTGGAAGCTGCCCTAGCAGTAACGGAGCGTAGATAATGGCTAGAATGGTGCAGTCGGGAGTCCAGAGCACCCCCGGCTTAACAAACATGTCGTATAAGCCAGCCCACGTACTTATGCGATATAAAGCTATGCCGTTTAGGTACATATATTTTACAATGTGCTCATGGTGAAAGACGTACCAACAAACCAGATAGTAGCTGTTAGAGGAAATATTGCCCAATTATAATTTAGACGCTCATAGAATACTCTTGCATGTTTCCCGGAAGAGTGAATGTCTCGGGGATTGACATAGTGTTGGTTATGTTGGCCATAGCCATTCATCGCCATAACGAAGATGTAGAAAAAGGTGTGTATAGGGAGCAGGAAAGCGACAAAACGAGCTTTAGAGCTATCTCAAGTTTGGGGTCCTTGGTTTATATTCAATTAATATTTTAGTGTACAGGTATTTGCAACTAGATGTATTAGGCGTTATTGATATATCACAGTCAGCGGCGAACCGGGGACCCTTGCGTCACTAGGATTGGCCTTGCAAAAAGAACAGCATCAGGCTTGAATTAGCAAAAGTCCAACAAATAGGTTAGAATCCTCATTTTACTGAGAGTTAAATGACTAGGTATTGCTTGCTTTTTATCTAGGCAAACCCAGAAGGAAACTGAGACCAGCAGCCATACTGGGTTGCGCAGAGAGAACAATGAGAGGAGCGCACACACTTTCTAGGTACTCCAGTTTGATTTATATAAAGATGTGCCTGTGAGCGACCACGGGTATTACCATTTAATAATCCTGACCTGTGATGAGAATGAAATACCTAGCCGACTCCATTGGGCTTTTCGGCGGCTTTGTGCTGTTTCTGTCGTGGTTATGGAGTATCTACTTGCCTCAAAGTGAAAGACCAGAAGCAACCAGAAAGCAACAAATAATCTACGCGACTTATCTGAGCGCGCCCACCGAAAATAAAGATCATTTCATCTCCGAATTCCGCAACACCAGCGATCCATATTTTGACGCGGCTCGAATCCTCACATATCAGTTCCTCCACGCACCGGAAACGCGAACCAGGTTGGCCATCCCTTTCGTGGTCTTTGTTCACCAGAATGTTGATCAAGAAAAGAGAGATCGTCTCCAAACCGACGGTGCACAAGTCATTGAGTGGTCCGATTTCCGAGTGGACTGGGTTCGACCGACAGAATCCCGATGGGTCGATGCCCTGACGAAACTGCGGCTGTGGGAGATGGTCCAGTACGACCTGATTGTGTTTTTGGATGGTGATTCAGTCCTAACAAGATGCCTCGACGGAATTCTCAGCGCCTCTGTGACTTGGCTTGCAACATCCACACAAACCTCATTATCTATTAACGGGGTTGAAATACCCCTGCCAGAGACTTACATTGCTGCTGGCTTGCCGCAACTCAGGTCGAATCACTCGTCGCATCCGTCGCGTGTACCAGAGGACTTTTGGGACTGGGATACCTTCAATGCTGGCTTTATGGTTCTGCAGCCGTCACTGAAGATGTTCCACTACTTTGAGGCGTTGCTGGCAGTTGAGGATAGCTTTGATACCAGTATAGCCGAACAGAGCGTCTTGAATGTTGCCCTTTCTCGAGGAGGCCCTACCCCGTGGACTACCGTGGACTTCTCGTGGAATATTCAATGGCCATGGCCGGAGGACATTAAGACGGGTTATGATGTTCTTCATGAAAAGTGGTGGGCACCTATGCACTGGGAATCTAGGGAGTATTTGCTCTCTTGGTATTGGCGAATGATTGGGTATTATTCTGCCTCTGATTGATGATCCACGCGAAGTTTAAGAATACGAGGGTTTCCTATTTTGGATCTTATTTCTTGGCTTTGCTTAATCTGAAACAGTGGAGATGTGGCGCACAGACTGGCCATTGATTGGGGCATCCAGCGCTATCTTGCGGTTTCGGTTAGTCCATGTCTATCACGCCCTTCGCTTGACGAGTTACATTCTTTTAAATTCTCCAACTACATTATTATTTATATCCTTTACTGAATATCGTTTTTCTGGGGTATTCTTTTCATCCTCAAAATGTCTACTACCACTATGGAAGGCCCACTACAGACTCCGGAGGTTATAACAATCATCCCATCTTCACCAGCTCCCTCCTACAGAATCGAAACCTTCACTCAAAGCGATCTTCTTAAGCAGCCATTCCTGTCCGAGCTCCGGGACGTCATCAATATCAGCTATTGTGATACCGCTGGCACCTCTTTCGTAAAAAGCGGACCCCGGCTCACGAGCGACACGCAACTTGCCGATGAACTTGAGGAGACTGGCTTCACTGCAATTGCATTCGCTGAAAATGCAATCATCGGTACTGCAAGTTTAAAAGTCTGGTCACCATATTCTGAAGCACCCCCGTGGAAGTTCCCGGGCCATTTTGAACAATTCAGTGCGGATGAGATCTTCGCCGCCAGCTCTACAGTGCTCGATAGCCTCCATGATGAATCTCAAAATGCGCTCTGCGAGGGAGGTTTTGAACTTGTAGCTGTCGCAATCACGCCGGATCCTCGGTATAGAAGGAAAGGCATTGGTGAAAGCTTGGCCAAGGCGTGTGAAAACGAACTGAAGAGGAGAATTTCTCTGTCTGGGTGCACTGAATTGTCTCGCTCGTGCATGATGCTCAGGACCGTTCGCGAGCTCCGAGGTGCTTATTGGCTAAAAAGGGGGTTCCGTGTCGTGGGGGAACAATATTGTCCTCCTTTGACCTGGGGCTACAGCAAGGGGTTTGTTCTTTGGGCTATGGAGAAAGAGATATCAGTTTAAATTTACATACTTCTTGCATCTTTCAGGAAAAGTCGTTTAATCATGCTTTGGCCGCCCCCAAAATGCGAAGTAGCTTGCCTGTCTTGTCATCCGTGTTATTTTACATTCTGTATTCGAAATCCAGAGACCTAATTATGTGTTTTCGATGTTGGAGATTCGAAGAAACTAATGATTCGTGGGGTGGGAATAGCTTCGATTTTGCGGAATAGAGATTTCAAAGTCTTGTACAAAGTATGCCTTTTTTTTACCGCCTTAGTATATACCTAAAAAGACACTTAAAAAGATACCTAAAAAGATACCTAAAAAGATACCTAAAAAGATACCTAAAAAGATACCTAAAAAGATACCTAAAAAGATACCTAAAAAGATACCTAAAAAGAATATCTAAACACATCACCTAAAAAGACATGACAAGGCCGTATAACCAACCAACTATTCTTATATATGGTACATATAACTAGGAATAGCTTCAATTTACAGTACACGGTATAGAGCGGCGTTGAAAGCAGTCTATAATTCAGACATATCACGGTGGACCAACCGAATATCTATCCAAAGCTGAGATGGTTGCTGCCCTCTGTATCCTCCCGCCTAAGGTCCGCCTCCTGATTGTCCACGGGGCTTGCTACTCCGACACGTGGACTACAATAGCCCACGACATAAGTGCCCAGCAAGGTTCTTAGCGAGATGTGCTTATGGAGACAACAACCACCATCGGCGAGAAATCCAGGGCGTATGTCTTGGGCTCCGGCCGAAACCGATGTTCTTTATTCGGGGTGGCGTTTGTGGGGGAGATTACCACTCACCCTGAGGGTAGAACCTCTCTGCATCGCAATCGAATAGTCGACGAGATGCTCTATATTGGGCCAAACCAGGAAACCTCTACACCGCTTGCGATCCCCTCCACCCGCGCTCTTCTGTCCCACAATATCTCGCACTTTATCCTGTCGCTAAAGATTGAGACTACAACCAAGAATGCGCCTTCTTAGCAGCGCCATGAGGCTTTCCTTCAATCACGGGCATCCGCCCGGTCTGTTTGGAGAAGACTTCGTCGCTGGGGAGGCTCGAAACGAGGACCGATGCAGGGGTTGGTGGGAGATAGCCCGACAAAAATCTCAAAGACCAAACAATTGCTACTATTTCCTGGCAAGCAGGCCAGATACAAAGAGTTGGCCAGTTGCTGGAACATCTCATTAGCCTGAGACTGATTATAGACGTGGTCGACGTAGAACTAGCCACTTAAGCACTATCGGATCACGCAGACAATATTGTTCTGCCCCTGGTTGAGAGACTTATGTGTGATGATAATCATCATCTGATAAGCTTGGTACCCCCCGGGGATGAAGGCCATGTTAATGTCTTCTTCGAAGATGCCCAGGACTGGTTGATTGATGGATTGGCTTATAACTGGCTGACACGCAATGCTTTTTTACTCTTGCATGAAGCTCTCAAGTCGGAGGATAGGGATGATATGGAGAAGAATAAACAAGGGACCGGACCTCGGGAACTTTCTGGGGTAATAAACAAAAATCTGGGGAAGCGGGTCAGTGGGTCCATATCATCCATATCAATGACAACTTAGAAGTTGGTCTCTCATTGTTTATTTAATGCCAACGATATTCCTACATGTATGAATCGAGCAATATTTTGAATTTCTACAGAATCCAGTGTACAGCCTTAGTGGCCGGCAGTCCACATTCCGAATTTACAGATTCGATAGAATCAATATGATTTCTTTTTTCTTTTTTTCTTTTAAAAATATTATAAAAAAAACCTTTGGCCTACCCCGTTTGTATCACGAGCGAGGGCCCCGAAGGGATAGCTCAAACTCATCTTCACCGGCTGGGAAGCAGATATTTACGGTGTGTTGTTAGCGAATCTCAATCGCTCCTGCCCCTCGGGCCAGACGGGCCAAACGCCTGTTAGGAACTAAGTTCAGAGAGATCTCGCTCGTGGCTCGAACACACACGCTCCGCTCTCCCAGTCAATCGGAAGGTGTCTCGCCTAGTAACCGTTTTCCAGTCTGACACCAACGGATGCTTGTTTCCACTGAGCTAAGTGGGGCTTGGGGTTGAAGATCCTCTCTGGATCTTCATGGTAACAGTGCTTTTTTTCTCTTTCTGATGATCTGATTGGCTGGATCCTATGTGTCTCAATTAGGTGATCATGAAGCTATTCAGAGTCCCGAGGTCCACTTTTTCCAGATACCTTCTAAAGCTATTACCACCCTTTCTCTTCATTCTTGAAGCTATTCTTTGCTAGACTTTTGATGTCTTTATTGGTCCCCTCTCCATATGGCTTTGAAATCACCACTCCCTTCATGAGGCTATCCCCACCTGTCTTTCCGAGGTAACTCCTATCTCACCGATTCCTACGCTTCACGGTTGAAGTTATTCCCAACTGTCTGGCGCTTCCCCGATTACTCTTTTCTTCTTGAAACTTTCTCTTCATTCTCATAGCGGCTTTTTGGAAGTCATTCACGTCCCTTCTTCCCCCCATCTCGGTTCCAATTATTTTGACCCTATTCCTCTCCTTCCCTCTCTTTCCTTCCTATCTTCACCCATCCCATTATTTTCCTTCCCTCTTTCGCATCCCATTCCCATTAATCACTTGACACGCCCCTCGTTCGCCTTTTTGACTTTCTCCTTTCTCATGTGAAGCTATTTTTCCTATCACATTATCTCCTCTTCCTTATTTGATTTTTTACTACCTCCAACCACTTTCTCCCCTCGATCAATAACACATAAATGAATTTCATACACATGCATACATATATACACGTATATAGCCTCTCATCTCTAATAAAATACATGGAACTCGAAACAATCACATTCGCGGTCGTTATACTTCGGACGGCCGCTATCCTAAAAGGGAATTATTTGTGCCTGAGGCCTTAACATAAGACCCACTTGTTGCCTTGGCTCCCCAACTTTATTCTCCAGGAACTATTCCTTTGTCTTCTGGTCATTCTTGTACTTTTCTCGAAACCACCTACAATACCCTCCAGTCTAGACTTTTTATAGGAAAAAAAATCCATAGATACTGGAAGTTATATTCATCGCGCAAGCTTATAACAAAAAAAGGGTATTAAATATACACGAGAGTGAACAAACCGCCAAACAGCACATAAAAATCACCGAATCCCACTACCGGTTATGGTAATAAAATATAGAAATGTAGAAATATAGAACGTAGAACATAAACCATGAGCATAAACAGAAACGGTATACCACCCACAAACATAAAACCCTACTGCAGGGTAATATTAACACCAGCCGCGCTCAGTGCAGACTTAACATCCAACTTGATAGATAACTTGTTCGCAGTCAGCGCCTTGCTGAAATACGGCAGTTCCTTGCCGTTGTATGTTGACGTCGCGTTTCCGGTGATGTCGAAAGGCATGATACCATCTTTGTAAGGGTTGGACTTTGATGCGAGCAGGGAGATGATGGCGGCTTGGTCGACCTTGCCGATCATTGGCACGGTGTTGTTGCCTGGCTTGAGGGTTAGGTCGGTCAGGTAGGTTGTTCCCACTGATTTGCCCGCTAGCTCGAGGTTCAGGGTTACGTTGCCCTATTTCTCTGTGTTAGCATCGTGGACAATGGGGATGTGATATATAGGAAGAGGAATAAGTACCAGTGGAATGGTCATGACGGAGGCATTGGGGATGATGACAGTGCCGTTCATCCCGTACCCGTTGACTGGTGGGTACATGATGAAGAACTTGGCCACGGTGAAGCCCTTGAGTTGGTTCAGACCTGGTTCATCGGTTAGTCTAGGATGCTTTCCCAATTTCACACACTTAATGAGGTGAAGAAATAAGAAAATAGAAACATACCTTTCATAACAACAGTCTTGTTATAAGTAACCGTGGTCTTCGGCAAACCACCCTGCTTCAAATCAGGTCTTCCGTAGATATTCAACGAAACCTCCTCATTCAACATAACAGCAGTGGTAAAATCCCCAAACGCAGAAGCATCAGCCAAATCAACATTCTGCTC